TTCGATGACCATCCCGCCATCACTTTGATCCTCCTCCTCCTCCTCCATCCTCCATCCTCCTCTTCATCCTCCTCCTCCTCCTCCTCCTCCTCCTCCTCCTCCTTATCGTCGGAGTCCTCGATCACGATCGGCTGCCACTGTTCACGTCGTCGTCGTCGTCGCTCCGGGGTCGGTCGAAATCGCTCCGGGATGACGTTCGCCGTGCTGACCGGGGACTGCACCACGGTTATCATGCCGGCTTCGTCGACGACGACGACGCCCGGGTTGTCCTCGGGCGTGTCGACCACCTCGTCCCCGGACAGGCCCTCCTCGCCGAGGTCTTCCTCGTCGTCCGAGCTGTAGATGACCGACATGGCGGCGCGAGGAAGTGCGGCGACTTGTGTGCGACGAACGTCGACGCCGTCGGTAGTCGTTTCACTGTTTCCCGAGAAGTTGAAACGCCGCAGCCTCCTTCTGTTTCGGTCTTGTCTCGGAGAACGCCGAAACGTCCCCTCAGCACGCCGCGACGACGACCTCTGCGCGCCACTCTTCCGCGCGCCGCGCCGCGCCGCCGCCCGCCGCACGCTCGTATCCGAGCAGCAGCAGCAGCCATGCGGACGCGTTCGAGGACCGGCTTCAACGTCATCCCCGAGAACTGCGCGGCCGTCGTGTTCTCGCACCTCGGTGACGACCCACGGGACCGCATCGCGCTCGCGCAGGTGAGCAGGGTGTGGAGAGACGCGGAGCGGACTGACGCGTCGTTGCCCGTCGCTCCGAGTGCATTGATCGAGCTCGCTCACGACGTTGGTAAACAACAATACCACGAGCTCTACTGGATGAGCAAGGCGGCCGATCTTGGCGACGCGGAGGCGATGTACTGGCTGGGGCGTTTCTTCGAAGGACGGGCGGACGAAATTGAAGAATATGAAGAACAGACTTGGATGCTATACCTGACGAAGGCCTACCAGTGGTTCGAAAGAGCGTCCGAGTGCGGCCACGCCGAAGCGAGCGAACTATTTCGAAGGCGACGGGTGTCCGTGCCGTGAACGAACGAGACAACGATTTGATTTGATTTGATTTGATTTGATTTGATTTGATTTGCCCGCGGACGCGCGCGCGCGTGCGATGCGATGAGGAGAATGAGGAGGACGGAGTACTTGTCTTTGAATTCAATCGAACAAAATGTTGTCTTCTTCGTTCTTCTAGTTGTCGTCGAAGTCCTCGTCGGAGTCCTCGATCACCACGATCGGCTGCTACTGTTCCTCTCGTCGTCGTCGTCCACCCTGGAGGATGTTCGCACACTGAACCGGCGAGACAAGACTTCAGCCTGGCGGTTTCCGCCCTCTCGAACGCCGCGTCCGAGTCACGACGACAACGCGCCGGCCCCGTGGCACGCACGACGGCGCGCGCGCGGGGGCGAACGCGATCCCCGGCGGCGCGGGGTCGCCGTCATGTCCGACCCGGGCGACGCCGCGGGTGCGCGCGTTCGACCGTCGTCGTCGTCGTCGTCGTCGTCGTCGTCGTCGTCGTCGTCGTCGTCCCAGTTGGTTTTCCGTCCACCTCGATCCCGTTCGCTCGCCCCCCTTCCGACCGTCGCGCCCCCTCCGTCGTCGTCCCCAGGCGGCGCGTCGTCGTCCAACGTCCGCGTCGCGGTGCGATGCCGCCCGTTCAACGCGCGCGAGAAGCAGCTCTCGTCCCCGTGCGTCGTGAAGATGGACGGCGCGCGGACGACGATCACGAATCCGGTGAACGGGACCTCGCACACGTTCGAGTTCGATCACTCGTTCTGGTCGCACGACCCCTCGGGCGGCGGCCGCGGCGGACCGACGCACGCGTCGCAGGAGACGGTGTTCGACGAGCTCGGGAGGGACCTCCTGGAGAACGCGTGGGCGGGGTACAACGTGTGCCTCGTCGCGTACGGACAGACGGGCAGCGGCAAGTCGTACAGCATGATGGGCGGCGGCGGCGGCGGCGGGGACCACGCGGGCGTCGTCCCGCGCGCGGCGAGGGAGATATTCGATCGCATGCGCGGCGACGACAGCGCGCGCGTAGAGGTGACGATGATCGAGATTTATAACGAGCGCGTGAAGGATCTGCTGAACGCGGGGGGTGGGGGGGGGTCGACGAACCCGTTCGCGGAAAACGGCGGCGGCGGGTTGAAAATTCGAACGCACCCGACGCGGGGACCGTACGTCGAAGGCCTCACCCCGTGCGCGGCGCGCGATTACGACGAGGTCGTCAGGCTCATGGACCGCGGCGAGAAAGCGCGGAGCGTCGCGTCGACGGCGATGAACGCGACGTCGTCGCGAGCGCACACGATCGTCGAGTTAAGGATATCTCGCGCGGACGCGGACGGGAGCGAAATTCGAAGCAAAGTGAGCCTCGTCGACCTCGCCGGGAGCGAGCGCTCGGACGCGACGGGGGCGACGGGCGCGCGGTTGAAAGAAGGCGCGGCGATCAACAAGTCCCTGAGCGCGCTCGGGAACTGCATCTCCGCGCTCGCGGAGAAGGGAGGCGGGAAGAAGCTCGTGCCGTACCGAGACAGCGCGTTGACGCTTCTGTTGAAGGAGAGCCTGGGGGGGAACGCGAAAACGGTCATGATCGCGGCGTTATCGCCCGCGGCGGTGAACTACGAAGAGACCCTGAGCACGCTCAGGTACGCGGACCGCGCGCGGAGGATCGAGGGCACCGCGACGGTGAACAGGGTGAAGAAGAGCGTCGTCGCGGCGGCGGCGAGCGAGGCGGAGACTTTATCCGACGAGCTCGCCGCCGACGCGGAGATTTCCCCGCTGAAGACCGGGGGCCCCGAGGAGGACGACGTCGCGCGGCTCGAGAGCGCGCTCAAGGCGAGGAGAGAAGAAGAAGAAGAGAAGCGATCGTCGTGGGCGAAGAAGCTCAAGAACACGGAGGAGGCGACGAGGGAGGTGGATTGGGAGAAAATTCGCGACGAGGAAACGCGCGCGGCGGCGCTGGCGGTTCGAAAAGCCGCCGGCGTCGCGGGCGCCGCGGGCGCGCGCCGCGGGCCGCTCGACGACGCGCTCGCGGACGCGATCGCGATGACGAACGACGCCAACTTCCTCGCTGACGAGTTCGACGTCGGTGTTTCGTTCAAGCCCGCGCTCGTGGACACGCAGCACTCGATGCTACACATCCGCGCGCCGTCGTCGTCGTCGTACAGAGTCGGCGGCGGCGAAGAGCCAACGCACGGCTTGGAAGTCGCCGTGGACGTGACCTGGCACAGCGGACGACGCTCGACGAGGACGACGCGAGCCCTCGAGACGCGTCTGAAGGAGTGGAGGGACGTGTACGCGCACTGGGCCGAGGGCGAGCTGTTCACCTCGGAGGCGTCGGACGCGATCGCGTCGTCCGCCGCCGCGGAGGCGTCGAGCGAGATGCGCAAGCTCGGCACCGCGGAGCTCCTCACGGAGCCGCTCGCGTACGCGCTCGACACGGAGACCGCGTTTCCCGCGATCGTGGGTCCGGACGGCGAGCGGAGGGGCACGCTGGAGGTGAGCGCGGTGCCGTGCGCGCGCGACGGCGAGCCGTTGGGCGAAGACGCCGCCGTGGACGACCCGAACAAGCTCCTCTCCAAGCCGCTCTATTTCCTCGTCCGCGTCAAGGCCGCGACCGGGTTGCCGCGAACTGCCGCGGGGTGGAGCGACGACGCGCCGCGCGCCGCCGCGGACGGCGCGCGGCCGTCGACGGGGAGCGTCACGGCGACGATGAAGGTGCGGTACCACGCGGAGCTCGGCGCGGGGTGGGGGACGGTGCACGCGACGCCGCCGGCGCCGGTCGTCGCGACGCACGAGTCCAAGGGCAGCGCGCGGTTCCGCGGGTTCAAATCCGCGATAGGGCTGGGCGGCGGCGGCGGCGGCGGGGGCGTCGGCGGCGCGAGCAGCGCGCTGCGGTACGAGCGCACGCACTCGTGTCCGAACGTGACGCCGGCGGTTTTAGAGTCGCTGCGAAAAGGGAAGATCACCTTCGACGTGTACATCCAGCACGACGGCGGCGCGTCGATGGGGATCGGCGAGATGTCGAGACCCGGCAGCGCGGTGGACACGGGCCGGGAACGACGCGCGGCGAGAGAGGCGCCGCCGCCGAGCCTCGTGGACGAAGGCAGCGTCCCGGGGTTGGAGCTGTTGCTTTCGAATTTGAAGGCGACGCCGACGAGCGGCGAGGGGACGCGGACGATCGATCGCATCGACGAGGTCGCCGCGGAGCTCGAGCGCGAGATCGAGGAGGATCAGAAACGGACGTTCCGATCGTGGTCGATGGCGAGGAAGAAGCCGACGATCCTGGACGACGACGACGACGACGAGGAGGACGACGAGGAGGAGGAGGAAAAGAGAGCGTCGGACGCCGGCGGGGAGATCCGGAGCGCGGCGCAGAGCGACGCGAGCAGCGCGAGCTCGTACGAGACGGACAGCCAGCAGGGAGCGCGCGATCGATCCGACGACGACGACGACTACACGGACGCGAGCGATTCGGATTCGTCGTACGCGGAAGACGAGGAGGACGACGATGGCGACGGCGGCGGCGGCGGCGGCGGCGGCGGCGACGCGACCAAACGAGCGAAGGGCACTCCCGGAGCGTTACACGGCGGCAAGGTCACCCCAGCGGGAACGCCGGCCGACGCGCGCGCGTACCGCGACGTGAACGCCGCCGACGTGAACGGCGGCGTCGTCAAGCTCTTCGACGACGGCGCCGCGGTGGCCGACGACGCGTCCGGGTTCGCGTCGGCGATGACGTCCCCGGTCCCCGCCGGCGCGGCCGCGGGCGCGTCGCGGTCCGCCCCGGCGTCGCCGTCGCTCTTCTCGTCGCCGATGCACAAGGGGAAGGTTGCCGCGATCGGGAGCCCGGGGTCGGGGTCGGTGACGCTGACCGCGGCGAACCCGCTGTACGACGCCGCCGGGGAGAAGCCGTCGCGGCAGCCGCGGTCGTCGCTCGCGCCGAAGCCTCGCGACGCGGACGGCGGACTTCCGAAAGTGGTGAGCGACGCGGGGGGAGGGTGACTCGCGTGACTTTGACTTTATCATCACGTAGACTAGTAGCTAAGGTGTAGCGGCGCGCTCGCGCGTCATCGTGACGACGACGAGCGACGAAAGAATTAGCCAACGCGGGCCTCGTCTAGCTAGTTTTTGGTTTTGGTTTTGGTTTCGCTCTTCTCGCGCGAATGTGACGCCTCCCCCGTCGCCGCCGTCCACGCCGCCTGCGCCTGGGCGTAATCCTCGTCCGACGCGAACGCGCCCATGTTCCTCGGCCCGGTCTTGATCTCCCACATCTCCCCCACGTCCAGGACCCTGACCCACTCCTTCGGGTACGTCGGGAAGCTCTCGTCGCTATCCTCGGGGTGGCCGTTGCGTTTCACGCCGACGCGTCCGCCGCCCTCGCCGCGGACGGCGACGACGTATCCGATCTGATGTTCGATCTTCCACCGCTTCGCGCCAGCGTCGCCCTCGGAGGCGACGCTCGTCCCCGCGGAGCCCGCTCCGTGATGACTCCCTCTCCCGGCGCCTCCGACGTCGTCCTCGTCCCAGTCGGAGCCCTGAGACGCGCCGACTCCTCCTCCTCCTCCTCCTCTCCGTCCCGAGCTCGACGGATCGTGCCCCAGCCCCTCGCCGCCGAACGGGTCCGTCGCGTAGTGGTAGCGCTTCACGCGCTCCGGGTACGGCGCGCCGACGCGCACCGCGACGGTGACCCTGTCTCCCGGCTGTATCCCGCGGTTCTTCAGCATCTCCTCCCTGAGCTTCTTCTGCTCCGCCATGCGCGCGTTGGCGATCTCCATCGCCGCGCTGCTCAGATCTTCCACGCCGCTGCCGTAGCTGTCCTCCATCGCCATGAGGTCCTCGTAGTTGGCCTCCCAGTCGTCGTTGTGCCCGAGGTCGGACGACATCGAGCGGCGCCACGTCGCGGGGGCGTCGCGGGGGGGTCGCGACGCGCGGCACCGCCGCGCGGCGGCGGCGGCGACGGCGCGCAACATGCTCTGATGACGACGGGACGGACGTCGAGCCACGACGACCGCGAAAACATTTCTTTCAGTTCGCTCACTCGAGCGCGCGCGATGACGTCGGTGACGACGAAGAAAGGCGAGGTCACGCTCACGCTCGACGAGTTCCGGACCAAGGACGACGTCCGGCTCGTGTACGAGGTCGGCAAGGGCGACCCCGCGACGACGACGTCCTCCTCCCCGGTCGTCCTCGTGCACGGATGGAGCGGCTCGCGGCGGTACTTCGACGACTCGTTCGCCGCGCTCCTGAACGCGCCGTCGCCGCCGCCCAGGGTGGTGAGGTACGACCTCAGAGGGCACGGCGACAGCGACAAGCCGGAGTGGGGGTACCACGTCGCGAGGTACGCCGCGGATCTGAAAGAGCTTCTCGAGCACCTCGACCTGACGGACGTCACCGTCGTCGGGACGTCCATGGGATGCGCCATAATCTGGAGCTACCTCGAGCTGTACGGCGCCGAACGCTTGAAAGGCGCGGTGTGCGTGGACCAGGCGCCGCTGCAGAACCGCGCCCCGGACTGGAACCTCGGGAGCAAAGGGTGCTACGACGTCGCGTCGCTGACGCGGCTGCAGGAGCTCCTGAAGCACGACTTCGAGGGGTTCGCGAGGGGCAACGCGGAGTGCTGCCTCTCCAACGAGATCGACGAAGAGTACGAGGCGCTGCTGATCGCGGAGACTCTGAAGGCGTCGCCGACGGGGCTCGCGGCGTTGATGGCGGACCACACCGCGCTGGACTGGCGGCCGACGTTGCGGCGGACGACGCTCCCGATGGTCGTGATGGCGGGCGCCAAGTCGCAGATTTTCCCCGCGGAGGGCGTCGCGCACGTGGGGAAGCTCGCGGCGAACGCCGTCGTCGTGACGTACCCGACGAGCGACCACTGGCTGTACATCGAGCACTGGCAGAAGTTCGCGGACCAGGTGTGCGACTTCGCCGCGAACGGGAGGCTGAGCAGGAACTTCTTAGGCGGGATGCAGCAGGCGGTCACCGTCGTGAGGGACTGATCTGACGCGCGCATCTTTTTAAATTAAACCGATGATTTGTCGTATGTAAACCGTTCGTCCCCTCTATTATGACCCTACTCGATATATTGTCCTCCTTCAGAACTCTTCGCGCTCGAGCACGACCGCCTTCGCTTGGTCTAAGATAGCGCTGTTGAACCGCAGCTCCTCCTCGTTCATGTTATCGTCGTGCTCCGCGATCCTCCGGTCGAGCTTCTCCGTCATCTGCCGCTCGAGCTCCAGGCGGTTCATCACCGCCGCGCGTCGCCGCGCCGTCTTCTTCTCTTCGTCCTCTGCCTTCAACTTCGCCTCTCTCTCCTTCATCTCCTCCGCGTATCTCATCGCGTCCGCCTTGATCTTCTCCTTCTCCTCGCGCTGCAAGTCGAGCTGAAGCGACAACATCTCGAGCTGCTTCGCGGTCGCGTCCGCCTTCTTCGCCTTGACGGCGTTTTCCTTGGCGCGCATCGCGTCCTCGCGTTCCTCGTGAAACTTGAGCATCCTCGCGTGCTCCTCCGCCTCCTTCGCCGCGCTCTGCTCCGCCACCTTCTCGCCAGCCTTGCCCGCGCGCGCGGCTATCCGCGCGTGGAAGTCCGCCATCGCCTGCTCTCGCGCGCGCTCCTGCGCCTCGAGCATCTCGTCGTACTGCGCGGCGACGCGAAGCTCCTCCTCCGCGACGCGTTTTTGCTCCGCGAGCTTGATTAGCTTTTGCTCCTCGTTGAAACGCATCGTTCGCGCGTACGCCGTCTTGGCGTCCTCGATCTTCTTCGCCTTCGCCATCGCCTCCGACTCGAGCTGCTCCTGAATCTCTCGCAGCGCGCGGTCCTCCTCCGCCTTCTTCGCCGCGACCGCCGCACGGCGCTTCTCCTCCAGCTCGGCCATCATCCGGTCTTGCTCAGCCTTCACCTCGGCTTCGAACGCTCGGCGGCGTCGCTCCTTGACGAGCTCCTCTTGCTTGTACTTGGCGACGTCCGCGGCGACCGCCTCCGCGAGCCGCTTCTTCTCCTCCCTCGCCTTTTCAACGCGCAGGCGTTGGATCTCGATCTGCGAGTCGAGGTACGCCTTCTGTTCGATCGTCGCGCGGCGTTTCTCCTCCTTGACCTCCGCCTCTTGCCGCGCGTGCACCTCGCGCTCGAACCGAGACATGATCGCCCAGTCGCGCGTGGTGCGATGGTCGTCGCGCTCGCGGAGCGGCTCCGTGGGTTTCTCCGCCGGGGGCATCTCCGACGGCATCTTCGGCCACGACGCGTCGAACTCGGGCGGCTCGGGCGGCGGCGGCGCGGGTTTCTTCTTCGCCGCCGCGACGGAGGACGACGTCCTCTTCGGGAGCGTCGCGCCCGCGCGCGTCGTCGCGGGGACGCGCGGACGCTCGGGTTTCGGCTCGCCGTTGATGAACATCCGCCGGTCGCTCGTGGAGAGGACCATCGTGCGCGTCTTCGCGCTAGGGGACGCGGCCTTCTTGACCTGCGGCGCGAGCGGGGACGGGGGACGGGGCGTCAGATGGACGCCCGTTTAGGAATCGGCGCCGACGCGAGCGAGGCGGGGGCGAACGATGAGCCGAACGCGGGGACGAGGGTAACGGATCGTTGGTCGCGACGCGGGCGGCGATCGCGCCTTTTGCGCGAGCGCGGATTTCGCTTGCTCCGCCGCGAGCGCGCGCTCTAAGCGCGCGCGTCGCTCCGGGGTGAGCGGAGCCATCGCGGGACGACGTGGGTGTCGACGCGCCGACGTGCGGGCGCGGTTTGGCGTCAGATTCTCCCGTTCAAACGCCTTCAAACGCGAACGACCAAATCGAGAAAATGCGAAGTCGGCCCGCGCGCGTCGGAATGTTCCGGCATTATAATTCGCGGGCTCCGGAAGGAAGGCGTCTCGCCGCGCCGCCCGCTGTCGTCATGGGCAAATCCCGGCGGCGAAAAGACAAGAAGAACGGCGTGGACACGACCATGGCCGTGGCCGCGCCCGCGGGCGACGCCGGGTGGGTCGTCGGCGACGGCGTGACCGCGATGCTCGAGGGCGAGGACGGCGCCGCCGCCGTGGCGCCGACGACGCCGACGGTCAACGCGAACGGAGGGAAGATGACCGCGGGGATCAGGGTCGGGAAGAAGACGCCGACGGTGCTCCGCGGGATCACGAAGAGGAAGAAGAAGATGGTCGCCAAGGGGATCGCGCACGCGGAGCGCAAGGAGGGGACCCTCAAGAAGAAGACGTTCAAGCGCGGATTGCGACAAGAGGCGAAAGGCTACTGGGGAGGCGCGAACCAGTGACGCGTCGTCTCTTCTCGTCGTCGGAGGCGTCTCGTAGCCCCACCGCGAACCTGTATCAACGCTCAGCGCGGCGCGCTATCACGCTATAACAATACATAACACTCCCCGCGCGCTACAACTACTACACTACGCGACGACGCCGTGCGACTCCGTCCACGTCTCGTACCGCCGCGAATGCGCCGCCGCGTGACTCGGCTTCGCCTCTCTCAACGCGCCCGAGACGTCCTCCTCCGTGATCGCCCCCATCGCCGCCACCTCCTCCTCCATCCCGTCTCTCGGCTCCAAGTCGTCGTCCAGCTTCGCCATCAGTCGACGCAGCGGCCGCATCGCGCACTCTTTGCACAACGAGTGGACGTCCGAGCCGCTGTGCCCCTCCGTCGCGGCGGCGATGCGGTCGAGCGCGCCGTCCAAGTCGTCGACGGCGTGCGCGCTGACGCGAGCGAACGTCGGGGTGGAGTTGAAAGGCGTCAGGGGCGGAGTTGAAAGGCGTCGAGGTGTGTCGGGATTGACACCGAGGGACCCTGGGGGGAGAGATGCGCCGGGAAGACAAGTCCTTAAGGAACGGCGTTCGCCACGCGAACGCGGTCGTACGGGGACCAGTGTGAGGAGAACGCACCTTAAGAGCGACGACGCCATCGCGCGGCGCGCGTCGCGCGACGGCAGCGACACCATGACGCGCTTCTCGAGGCGTCTGAGCATCGCGGGGTCGAGATCCCACGGCAGGTTCGTCGCCGCGAGGACGAAGACGAGCTCGTCGGACTTGGCGAGGCCGTCCATCTGGATCAGGAGCTCCGTCTTGAGCCGTCGCGACGCCTCGTGGTCGCCGCCGCCGCTCGCGCCGCCGCCGCCGTCGCGCGCGGACATCACCGCGTCGAGCTCGTCCATGAACACCGTGCTCGGGGCGTGGTGCCGCGCGAGCTCGAAGAGCACGCGGACGAGCTTCTCGCTGTCGCCGCGCCATTTGCTGACGATGGACGACGCGGCGATGTTGAAGAACGTCGTCCCGCACTCCGTCGCGACGGCTTTCGCGAGCATCGTCTTCCCGGTTCCCGGCGGTCCGTAGAGTAACACCCCGCGCCAGGGCGTTAACAGCCCGTGAAAGAACTGCGGGTACTTCACCGGCATCACCACCGCCTCCTTCAACAGCCGCTTCGCGTCGTCTAGACCGACGACGTCCCTCCAACGCACGTTCGGGTTCGCGGTGTGAATGTCCCGCGTGATCACCCGTGCGAGGTCGCGAAGTTCGCTCGAGCCCCCGAACGTCGGCGGCGGCTTCAACACGCGCCGCGCGTTCTCCCAGTCCTCCTCCTCCTCCTCCTCCTCCTCGGCGGTGCCTTCCTCCTCGGCGGTGCCTTCCTCCCCACGTCGTCCCATGAACCCCGAGTACCCGCCGCGCTCCAGCCGCGACGACGAGTCCTCCGCGCCGAGACGCGCCGTCCCCGCGGGCGGCGCGTCGCCTCTTCGCGTCGCGTCCCTCTTCGACATGTAATCCATCGCGTTCGACAGCGTCGTGCCCCCGGCCGGGCGCTCGACGCCGACGCCGTCCGCGTACTGCCTCAGGAGCGGGTGCCCGGGGGGCAGGTCGAACGACGACGGCTCGACGCGCGACGGCGGCGGCGCCGTTTCCGCCTCCGCCGCCGCCGCCGCCGCCGCCGCTACCACCCGCGCGTCCGCGTCGGCGACGGCGGCGCGCGACGCCTCGCGCTCCGCCGCGATCCTCGCCGCGCGTCCGCGTCGGCGACGGCGGCGCGCGACGCCTCGCGCTCCGCCGCGATCCTCGCCGCGCGCCGCGCCGCCCCCCCCGTCGCGCCCGCCTTCCCCGGCGCCGCCGCGGCGAGGACCGCCGCGAGCGCGGGCGCGTTCTCGTCCTCGCCGACGCGGCGGACGACCGCCGGTCGCCTCCCCGCGAGGGAGGCGTTCGTCGCGGCGATGGTCGTCTCCCAGTCGCGCAGCCACGCGCGGAGCTCGCCGACGGGCCGCAGACCGCACTTCGGGCCGACGCCGGACTCGCGCTCGAGCGTCTTCGCGCTCTCGTGCAGGCCGAGCTCGGTGAGGAACTTTTGCGCGAGGAGGAGGATCGCGCGCTTGCGGTCCTCGAGGCGTCGCGCGCGCTCCTCGCGAGCCTGGTCGGATGGACGGACGGATGGTGGATGTGAAGGAGGAGGAGCGAATTTAGTCTAGGATGGGCACCGAGGGCGCGCGCGTCGGGGGACGCGCCGCGGCGACGGAGCGACGACCCGCGCGGGCGGCGGCGACGCGGAGGACGGGAAACGGCAGACGTGGGCGCACCTTGCTCTTGTCTTTGACCGCCTGGAGGGACATGACGACGACGCGCGCGCGCGTGGGGCGCGCGGCGAAGTGTGAAAGCGGAGATCCTCCGCGCGTCTGCCGCGAACCGTCGAGACGAAAGAGCCGTGGCGGATAATTGACCGCGACGCGTCTCGCCGCGCAGTCCGCGTCGCGCGAACGAGCCGAGCCGCACCGCGGCCGCTCGAACGTCGCGCCGCGCTCGCGGGAAGAGGCGGAGGCCGCCGGTCGGTTGCGCGCGGGGTCGTCGCGAGAAGAGGCGGACGCGGAGAGCGCCGGCGTCGTCGTCGCGCGAGGGCGACAGGAAGTCCCAAAGGGGATTGATTCTTCGGCGCGATGCCGCCGAAAAAGAAGGAGCCCGAGCCCGAGCCCGAGCCCGAGGAGGAGCCGGAGCCCGAGCCGTTCGTCCCCGACGTCCTCACGGACGAGAGCCTCGACGCGTTCTACGCGACGTACTACGACTCCGCGACGGACGACCCGGACGCGGCGACCGCGGCGCTCGCGACGTCGCTCGGGATCGATGATCACCTCACGGACGGCCGAGCCGGCGCGAAGCTGGACTTCATCGTGAACACGCTGTCGTTCGCGCGCGACGGCGGCTTCAGCGTCGCGCAGACGCACGCGCTGTTCGACCTCGCGCTGCTGCTGCTGAAGATCGCGGCGGACGACGACGTGGACTTCACCGCCGCGGAGGGGTACTTTAAGAATCGACTCGTGATGAACGTGTCGGCGACGCCCGCGGAGGGCAAGTTCACCGTGGACGACGTCAAGGTCATCTCCGCGCACTTCGCGAGCGGGTTCTTCGCGCACTTCAAGCTGTTCGCGTTCATGTACCGACGCGCGCAGGCGCTGGAGCAGCACGTCACCAAGGTGCGAGTGGAGACGGCGGTGCGATTCCCGGGCTTGTACCTCTCGCTGCCCGAGGAGGAGCACGAAGCGAAGCTCGTCGCGCGCGCGGAGAGGGCCGAGGCGGCGCGCGTCGCGAAAGAGGAGGAAGAGGCGGCCGCGAGGGCGGAGGAGGAGCGCGCGAGGAAGGAGGCGGAGGAGGAGAAGCGGCGCGCGGCGGAGGAGGCGTACGCGAACTCCAAGCCGAAGACGTTGGACGAGGCGGTGGAGCACGCGGTGCGAACGAAGATGGCGCTGGAGAAAGCCGCGTTGGAGTCGGAGTACAAGGCTCGGGAGGAGCAGCTCATGGAGAAGATATCCGTGTTAGAAGCGCAGCTCGCGGGGTAGACGGGGAAGGGGGATGGATGTGAGTATCGTGTGATTCGTAGCGCGCGCGGGGTCGGCGTTTGGGGCGCGGCGGCGGGAGACGACCGACCTCGCGTTTGGATCGAATGCGCCGCGTTCGTTCGTCGTTCTTCCTCCTCCTCTTCTTCTTCTTCCTCCTCGCCCTCCTCCTCACTTAAAAGCGCCCGTGATGTTGAACCGCTTTTCAAACGCGCGCTGGACCTCCTTCGGGTCCGTCTTGAACTGCTTCCCGGTGCCTTCCAAGACGGACGTCGCGGTAGCCGCGTGCGCGTCGTCCATCGGCGGCGGCATCGGTATCTCGTGGCCGTAAAAACCGCTAGTGCTCCCGCCGAAGAGTTTCACCAGCTTCTGGAAGCGCTCCGCGCAGTCCGGGAACTTCCAGCTCCGCGGCGTGTACTCGACGTCGTCCACCACCTCGTCATCGTCCACGCCGCCGACGTTCTCGACGTCGTCGACGCCCGCGACGTCGCGGACGCGCCAAAACGTGCCCGAGTCTGGGGGCCTCGCCGACGCGGCGCCGCCCGCGTCGACGACGCGACCCGCGGCGGTCGCGATGGCGTCGGACAACGCCTCCGACGGCTTCTCCGCGCCTTCCGCCCACATCGCGTACACGTACAGCGCGTCGGCTGTGGCGTACTCCGCGGCGGTGCCGACGAGGTGCATCCCGTGCACCGCGCGCGCGAGGCCGTACGCGCCGAGGTTATCCCCGGACCCCGCGCGCGGGGGCGGGCAAAACGACAGCACCGCCCTCGGCCCGTCCGACTGCAGCAATCGCGTCAGACACTCGCGGACGATCAAGAACGGCGCGCGAACCGTCGGGTGGAAGATTTCGTCGAAGTCGAACCCGCTGCAGTGCGTCAGCGACGTCGTCGGCCGCAACGGCGTCGCCGCGGCGCCGACGCCCATCAAGTTGACGACGGCGTCCAGCCCGTACGACGCTTTCGTCGCCGCCTCGACGTGCTTTGGCAGGCTCTTCCCGTCTCGGAAGTCCGCGGCGTGCGTCTTCAGACGCTTCTTCATCTTCGCCGCGACCGCGGGAATGGGCTCGAGCGGCCATATCGTCTCCGGGGCGCAGTGCGCGTTGAACGCGTCCGCGAACGACGTCGGCAGCGACGCGTGCTTCGTGTGAAGAAGCATCGACACCTGTTAGAGTCACCCGCACAAAAAAACAATCAGACACGCACACGCCCGAGTAGTTTGTCAAGTCATAACGCGAGCGATATAAGACGTGGGGAGCCCGACGCGGTAGATAAGAGGCGGGACGGTGTAATTTGAGTGATGCAGACGGAACAGACTGATGATCAAAGTTCTGGGTCCAGCCGATCCCGAGGGCGACGCAGCCGGTGCGACGATTCATGTCAAGGTGGGAGAATTTGCAAGGCTGTCATGCGTATCATCGCGACGATCACCTCCGCAGACGTCATCGTGGCCTTTTATTCCTCCACGGAGAAGGGCGTTGCCGAGCAAACCCATCACCTCGACCGTTCACCGTCTTTAAGTGCTACGCGAAGACGTCACCGCGAAGCTATTGAAGCAGGAACAAGTCCGTAACAGTCAACACATGACTTTCCGTTCGCGACGGAAACGCGCCTCTCCACTGCGACCACGATCGCGCACACGCACGTCCGTAAGAGCGCGACCGCGGCGCGGCGACGCCGAGGGGTCGCTGCTCGCGCGCCGCGTACCCATGACGACGCGACGGTGACGCCGTCGACGACATCAGGCGCGTGACGCCGCTCGAGGCGCCGCGGCGGCGCGCGTGAAGAAAAGAATCTTGTCTCAGTTCGCGTACGCGAGCTTCTTCGCGAGCGCTTCGGCCTCGTCCATGAGCGACCCGAGGTGCGCGTCCAGGGCGTCCGTCCAAAACGCCGGGTCCGCGGGTTTCAGCCCGAACGGCTCGAGCGCTTCCTCGAACCCTTTCGTCCCGCCCGCAAACCGAGCGCGTACATGACGTCGGGCACGCCCTTCGCGGTCTCGTCTCCCGCGCCGAATCGCCACTTTGGACGGACTCGGATTTCGACCTGAATTCGTTTCGACAGCGACAGCTGTGCCCGTCAACCCGCGCAGTGCCCGTGCGCGTGCGTTTCGTGAAAATAATCAGTGAGCTGTGGCCATCGCTCCGCGTGACCGCACTCCCCGCCCGCGCGCCAGCAGCTCTCGCGCACGGAAACGCGAGTCGAAGCCGCGAACTTAATCAGCGCAGACAGGTACGCGAGCTCTCGGACGATGTCATAGCGCAATTATACACGGCTTCGCGCACCCCCCCCCCCTCTTCGGAATCGCGAGCTCGTATTTTTTCCGGAACGCTTTTTCTTTCGCGGGCGATTCCGGTCAGCAGCGACGTCGCGCGGCAGTCTCTCGAACGCCCGTGGTGTCCGCGCACAGTCTGAACGACATCTGCGTGATGTCTGCCACGATCGACTGCGGAGAATCGCATTATTTAAACCCCGCGAGCGTTCGTCGTGGGCGAGATCCGTCTCGACGATCTCGCGGTCGGCTCTGACTTTCTTCCGTCGCTCAAGCGCAGACAGAGGACGACCGCGGCGCGGCACACATCACAGCGACGCTATGGCGATTACCGCGCCGCGCGAACGTTCCTAAGCTTCCAGAAGGTCAAGCTCGCGGAGCGGGTAGACGTCTTCGGCGTGTGCAGTAGCGCGCGCGGCGACGGACCGCGGCGACGAAAGTAGGCACCTGTCGAGACGCACGCACAGCTGTCACCGACGCTCGACGAGCGATGACGCCCGAGCGCGTAGTGACGTGGGGCGTCGTCGCCATGTCCGTCGCCGTGCTCAGGATCGTGACCGAGGCGTTCATGGCGGTGATGTCCGGCTGCGGCGACGTCGAAGGTTCCAGCGTTCACGCGACGCTCGTCGTCTCGCCGCCGATCACCAGCGTGAGCACCGCCGCCTCCGTCGCGACGCCGACGCCGGATGACGCAGACGCGAAGGCCACGCCGGTAAAGGCGTCCACTGCGACAGACGAGACTGTATTCGTCGCGACGCCGCCGGACGCAGACACGGCGCCGAGCGAGGCGTCGTCGCCGGAGCCGGAGCCGCAGCCCGAGTCGTCCGTCGCGCCTTCGGCCGCGGCGGCTTCGGCCGCGGCGGCGATGACGGCGCCGAGCGAGGCGTCGTCACCGCCGCCGGAGCCGCAGCCCGAGTCGTCCGCGCCGCCCGGGGCAGCGACGCTCGTGACCGCCTCTAATCTCAACCGCTGCCTTCGCGGCGGCGGCTCGAGTACGGGGGCGAAGACTATCACCTCGTCGCCGAACGCGGATGAAACGTCCACGGGCCCGGCGTTCTTTCCGCGGTCGTTCATGAAGAAGCTCCGGAACAATATCTTGGGTTTTGAGCTACGCTCCGGGGGCGAGCCAATCCAGGCTGCGATCGGTCGCTTCCTCACGGCGAGCGCGATGAAAATACTGAACACCCGCGGCGATGGGAATTGCATGTTTCGCGCGCTGCTCGAGTGCATGACGGGGAACAGCGACAAGCACGTTGAGTTTCGGCTTCAAGTCGTGGGTCTAATGCGCGATGATCCGGATTCGTACCGAGCCGAAGCCGAAGCCGATCAGGTAGATGATGCTCCGCATGACGATGATGCTCCGCATGACAGACCTTTCGATTTCGATTCTTACTGCGACAATATGGAACGAGATGGCATCTTCGGCGGGACTCCCGAGCTCCACGCCGCCTCCGTCTTGCTCAAGGTCGACATCATGGTCATCGACGTGAGCTACGGGAGGCTCGTTTTGGATACTGGTGGTGACCAGCCGCAGGAGCGAGGGACCATCGCCGTCGCCTTCGACTCGGACGGGAAGCACTATAACGCCATCGTCCATCTGGAACTCTCCCGCAGAGGTTTCCCCGACGACACCGAGGCGTCGGCTGCGACGTTTTCGGTAAATACGACGAAAGCGTCGTTCGCGGACGCGACACCGACGTCGGGCGTTTCAACCGCCGCTTCCGTGGTGAAGACGCGAGCTCGTGCGCAGATCTCGACGTCCTTCTCCGAGGAGGATGAGGTCACATCGCCCGGTGCGGACCCAAGAGACACCGAGTTCACGCCGCCGCGGAGCAGCAGCGATGCGCCCAACACGCGTGCGAGGGCACGCGCCACTGGGAGATCGCGCGACGCGCCCACGGCAACCTCGCGCGACGCGCGCGCGGCGGCGCGATCCAAACGGAACGCGAAGCACGCCGATGACGACGTGGATCCCGAGTCCGAGTCCACGGCGGCGGCGTCGAAGCACTTCCCGCGCGCGACGAGGCCAAATCTCTCTGCTCACGGCTCCAAGGCGGCGAAGCGCATCAAGACGTCCCCGTCGACGTCCGCGGCGAGGACGCAGGCCGCGGCGCCGACGCCGTCGCGTAGCCGAGCTCAGCAGGCGACGGCTGCCAAGCCGTCCCGGTACAACCTCCGCCCGCCGAAGAGAACTCCGACGTCGACGTCGGCGACGCCCGCGGCGACGCCCGCGGCGACGCCCGCAGCGACGCCCGCGGCGACGCCCGCGGCGACGCCCGCAGCGACGCCCGCGGCGACGCCCGCGGCGACGCCCGCGGCGACGCCCGCGGCGACGCCGCTGCAGTCCGTCTCCTCGCGCACGCGATCGAGGGGTCGCGACCGAGGCGGAGGCGATGGATTCGATGCGAACCCGCCGCGACTGCAGTCGTCCGCGCTCGTCGCCACATCCGCGGCGCCGACGCCGTCGGCGCCGCGGACAAAGCCAAAGTCCAAGGCGAAGCCCGCCGCGAGGACGAAGTCGAAGTCAAAGCCATACAAAGGAAAGGCAGTGACGCGCGGTGCTCACTTGGTGGTTCAGGACATGCACAGCGTCGAAACTCGCAACTACGAGGCGGGCAAGGTGGCTCGGCAGCAGCGTAAATCCCCCGATGAACGCAGGCGTGACGATGCTGCCGCCGAGGAAGCTCGCGCGGCGAATGCCGCGCGAGATGCCGCGGAGCGGGAGGCGTTAAAGCTGAGATACGAAACCATCGACAAAATGCGCGCGGCGGCGGTCAAAGCGGTCCAGATGTCCGAGGACGCGTGCGTCAAAGTCATCAAAGCAGAGCACGACGCGATGGTCACCGCCGCGAAGAAACGCGCGGCTGACGAGGCCAAGGATGAAGCCTCCCGGTCGGTTCCCGCGCCCGCGGAGCTGAAGAAACGCATACTCAAGCTCGCGGAGCGCGCCCGCGTCAAGAAGATCGACAAGCCGTGGCGCGGCGTCGCGAAGGCGTTCCTCGAGCACGACTGGCCGCTGCCGTTCTGGTTCTCCGCCGGCGCGCTCGCGCAGGGTAACGAGACGCTCGAGCTCATCGTCAAAGAGTACAAAATCGACACCATGGACGAGCTCGGCCACTGGTTCGGCGCGATGTGCAGCGACGCATACTTCGATGCTAAATCATCTGGCCGCTTTGCGCTTACGACGACAAATCGCGATTACGCCGATCTTCAACGCGCCAACCTCCACAACGTGCAGTGGAAGACCGTACCCAGACCTGGCGCCGAGATGGAGTCCGACTTCATCGAGAAATTCGAAGCCACGTGTTCGAACGGAGCAAAGTCTTGGCATTACGCCATCAGGACCACGCCCGGCGGCAACAAGAAGCTCCAGGAGAAGTTCTACACGAATCGTCACGGCAAAAAGGTCATCCTCCCCAAGGACCTCGAGAAAGACCCGCTGTTCCCGCTCGCGCTTACCGCCACGCCGGCGTGGATGGACGCGATCGTCGCCGGCGACGGGTCGCTGGGTGAAGGAATTTTCCGCCTCGCGTTCTGCGACTTCACGCCCCGCGAGCTGGACTGGTTCATCAACATCCTCGCCCGCCCGAGATGGAGAGACGGCACCGACACGGTCGTCCACGGCGCGTTCCCGGTGGTGAGGAAGAAGACAGGGCGGAAAGGCCAGTACACCACGCTCGACATGACCGAAAAGTCTCTCAAAGACGCTGGGTACGCGCCGCGCTTCGGCTGCGGGATCCGCACGCACGGCATCCGCGTGAAGGAGTTCATCGACACCGCGGCTCTTCCGGTAACCCGCGCGTACCCGCACAAAGGCGTCTTCTTTCCCGACAACGACCTCTACAGTGCCGCGGGCGCGTGGCGATCCCGCGGCGAGTCGTTCACCCAGATCATCGTCGACGGGGTCATCCGCGGATTCAGCCTCGAGGAGTTGCAAGCCGAACTTCTGCGTGCGACGGGGTTGAACTTCACGGCTGCCGACCTCTTCGGGATCATCTCGAAGCCACTGCTCCCCCCGGGCGAAAGTTCGGGAAGAAAGAAAGTTCTCGGAGAGCATCATGGCTTGGGTTTGCCCTTCCCACCGCGGCGGACGTGCGACAAGACCGGGAACGCGGACCGCGTCAAGCACACGATACACGACGTGAACGCGGCGAACGTGATCATCGGCATCGTTCGCAAGGGACACGAACACGCGGTACTGCACGGCGGCTTGGCTTGCGGCGGTGAAGATTCCGTCAAGCATTTCATCAAGATGCGCGGCGCCATGTACGAGGAGTACGGGTACATCTTCGACGCCAAGCAAGGGCTGTGCATCTTCCCCGGGGGCACGATCGACCGGGACACCACCAAGCTGCTCACTCAGGAGGTGTTAGACGCCCAGCAACGGTACCACAAAGGCTGCGTCGAGAACGGCAAGTTCACTCCGCCGGAGCTCCTCCCTCACCGCACCGATGCACAGCTCAAAGTGCAATTCGCGCCACTGCTCGAGGAGAAGCTCAGGTTGAGCGCGCTGATCGTGAAGCTCCAGGGTTGGCGCATTGAGTTGAGACGCACAGCCAGCAGCAACCGGGCAAGATCCTACTTCATCTACACCGATCCCGGCACCGGCACTGTCAAGAAGGAGACCCTGGACCTGAACTTCGCCATCAAGTGGATCATCGCTAACCAACCGGAGAACGCGCAACAGCTCAAGGATTTGCTCACCAAGTACCAGCCGGAGATCGCGGAGCAGTTTAAGAGGACAGCGACAGCGACAGCGACGGCGACGGCGACAGCGACAGTGCTGATCGTGAAGCTCCAGGGTTGGCGCATGGAGTTGAGACGCACAGCCAGCAGCAACCAGGCAAGATCCTACTTCATCTACACCGATCCCGGCACCGGCACTGTCAAGAAGGAGACCCCGGACCTGAACAGCGCCATCAAGTGGATCATCGCTAACCAACCGGAGAACGCGCAGAAGTTCAAGGACTCGCTCACCAAGTACCAGCCGGAGATCAAGAAGCAGTTTGAGTGGACAGCGACAGCGACAGCGACGGCGACGGCGACAGCGACAGTGCCCGCGGGCGGTGCGGAGGGAGATGGAGATGATGCCGAGGGTGCTCGGGATGAAGACGAGATCGCCTTGACGCAGCCAAAGAAGAAACGCAAGACGAAGCGATGAAATAGCAGAGTAAATCGCGACGATGTCGCGAGATAGCGTCGTCAATCTGACGGAACCGACGGAAACGAACACGTAGACCATGATATGTAACGAAAACGAACGAAGATACGGGGAAGGGAGGGACCTTGCAGCCGTCCGAGAGCAGCGTCTTCGCGGTCTTCGCGATAGTCTCGCGCGCGGTGGCGTCGTCCGCGTTCGCGAGCACCAGCACGACGACCGCGCGCTCCTCCTCCTCGGTGGTAGTCTCAGTTTTCTCTTTGATCTTTTTGTGGCGCCATCTCGACGCGCGTTCCTTCGGTTGATACGTCGGCGCGGAGACTTCGTTGACGATGAAAAAATCTGGCACCGGCTCGGACACGGTCGGGTCCACGTTGTAGTACGCGTTCACGTCCACGTCATCGTACGCGCGCATCCCGCGCAGGACGTCGTCGTCGATGAAGTGACGGTTCGAGAACTCCGATCCGGGGGCGGAGAGAATGCGAAACGCCGCGTCCGCGACCGCCGCGGGCGTTCGAGACAGGTTGGTCAGCTTCTCGCCGCCGATGAACTGAGGGTCGTTCCATACGAGCGAACGTCGGGGTGGAGTTCAAAGGCGTGTCAGTTGGAGTTGAAAGGCGCCGAGGGCGGGGATTAAAACTGAGGCGTTGGCGGAGAGAAACGCCGGCAAAGTCCTTAAGGATCGGCGTTCTCCACGCGAACGCGGTCGTATGGGGACCAGTGTGCGGGACGCGCCTGAATCGCGGCGGTGGCGACGGCGTACCGCGGCCACAGCGTGTTGCTCGAGACGCCCTTGTACGCCGCGGGTTTCTCCGCGTCCCCGCACTCTTTCGCGAGCGCGCTCGAGAGGAACCCCATCGCGATCTTCGACGCGCTGTACACCGTGTGCGGTTTCAGCCACGCGGCGTCCGCGATGGGCGCGGGCGCGACGAACAACACGCGCGGGTTCGGGCTCTCGTTCAAAAACGGCAGACACGAGTTGGTCACGATGAACGACCCTTTCACGTTCACGTTCGTCATCTTGTCGAAGCGGCGGAGGTCCGTGTCGATAACCTTCGTCGGCCAGTGCGTGGACGCGTTGTTTATCAAGACGTCGATGCCGCCGAAGCGGTCGACGACCGCGCGTATCGCGTTCTGGACTTGCTCCGCGCTCGTGATGTCCGTCTTTATCGCCACGACGTTCGGGGTGGAGTTGAAAGGCGTCAGTTGGAGTTGAAAGGCGTCGATGGCGGGGATTGAAAGCGTGGGGTGGGCGGAGAGATGCGACGGTGAAAGTCCTTACGGATCGGCGTTCACCACGCCATCGCGGTCGTATGGGAACCAGTGCATAGAACGCACCTTTATCGCCACGACGTTCGGCGCGCCCTCCCGGAGCGGGCGGTTCTCGAACTCGCGCGCGACGACGCGCTCGCCCGCCTCGTGGCACGCCGCGGCCGCGTCTTGGATCGTCCCCGGGAGCGCCGGGTCGTTCTTCGTCGTCTGCGCGAGGAGCGCGACGTGCGCGCCCGCGCCGGCGAGGCGCACCGCGATAGCCTCGCCGATACCTCGCGACGCGCCGGTCACGACGACGACGCGGCCGTTTAAGTCGAACGCCGCCTCCTCGATCTCGTCGTCGTCCCCGATCGGCGCGAGCGGGTCGACTCCGCCGAGGACCTCCTTCACGCGCGCGGCGCGCTCGGCGCGGAGCGCGGGGAAGAACACCGGCGACGTCTTGTCGAGGACGTCGCGCGCGCGTATCTTCGTCACGGGCGTCCCGGCGTTCTCTCGCTTGTACCCGTGCTCGGCCTGGAGCTGCTCGAGCGTCGCGGCGTCCATGGCGACGCGATCGGGGGGGCGTTCACTTTACGTCGGTGGGGGGGAGGCGCGCGGTGGTGCGGCGGCGACGCGAGCTGGCGCGCGCGGGCGTGTGCGGCGATATCGCGAGAGGAGAGAACGAGAGAACGAGGGCGGGAGTTCGAACGTCGCGCGAGTTCCGAGGTTTCCGTTCCGTTCGTCATCGCTCGATCGAACTCTTCTGCTACTGTAATGCTACGTCGTGGTTCACCGTCCGTGCGACCGCAAGTTCGCGACGATCTCCTGCGCCTTGATCGCCGCGGCCTGGAGCTCCTCGTGCGTCCGCGGCGGCACGCCCTTCGCGAACGCGCGCTGGTACTCCGCGATCGGGAAATACTCGATCTTCACGCTTCGACCGTCGAAGAGGCGTCGGTGGAACCTGTGCGCCGCCACCGTCGCGGTCTCCACGCGCGCGAACTCGACGAAGACCTCCCCGCGATAGACGGAGGTGTCCACGGGTCCCGCCGCTTCTTCGGCTCCTTCTTTATCTTCTTCTTCTTCTTCTTCGGGCTTTTCATCCGCGTCGTCGTCGTCGTCGGCAGTTTTAGTTTTCGCCCCCTTCGCCGCGTTTTCTCCGCCGCCGCCGCCGTCCTCGCCGTCCACCTCGTCGACGTCCACGACGTGCGTGGACAAGACGTTCCCTAACGACTCGCACTCGAGCTTCACGTCCTCGATCGCGGCCTTCATCGCGGCCGCGTCCATCCCCGCGGCGAGCACGTTCTCGAACGCGAGAACCCGTTGCTCCGGTCGCAGCAAAGGCTCCGCCGCCGCCGGAACCTCGTACGCGCACGCGCCGTCCTCCTCGCGCACGTCCCCGACGTCCGGCGCGTCCGGGGTGGCGAACGCGGCGACGAGCCTCCTGCCGTTCACCATGACCCCGGTCAGTCCGGACACCGCGTGCGGCGCGACGGTGGGGTCGAGATATTCGAACCACGCGCGGCCGCGTTTAATTCGCCCGTGCGCGTCCGTCTCGGCTCGCATCGCGCGCACTCTCCCGAACGACGCGATTATCTCCTTGAGCTCCAGGACGTCCAGCTCTCGGTCGCCCAAGTTCCCGAGGAATATCTTCGTGTTCGTGTCCGGGACGGACGGTCGGATGATCTTCTCGAACGTGCGCTTCATGACGTCCTTCATCGTGCCGTCGACGACGAGCGGGTTCTCGCTCGCGACGTAATCCTTCGGCCTGCGAATCTTCAACAGGTTCCCCCTCACGACGATCCCGTCCAGCGCGAGCAGCGCGCACGCGTCCTCCACCGCGGTGCCCTCGACGAACGAGTACCCCTTATCGCTGATGAACACCTTCTCGACGACTCCCGTCGGCGCGTCGAGCTTCGGGTGCAGCTTCTCCGTGCCGTCGACGCCGTGCCACGGCGCCGCGCCCGCGACCATCACCGCGTCGTGGAGCGTCTTCCCGAGCTCATCCTTCGCGTCCACGCCGATGATCGCGGTGTTCAAGTTGTGCACGTACACCCGCCGCGAGTTCTTCGTCGCGTCTCTCCACATCGTCCGGTGATACTCCACGACCACGTCCGTGGCGTTCCATCGCCCGTGTTTCATGAGCGGCGCCGCGGATGCGCCGCCGACGGTGCCGGGCAACCCGAACCCGAAGCCCTCGCCGTCGCCGGACGGATCGCCCATGGATATCCCCCCGACCGTCGACTGCACGACGAGACCTCGCTCATGGTTTAAGCCCTGCGCGGGGATGAGCTGCCCGGACATGATGTGTTGCATGTTGGCGAGATACGCCGGCGTCATCATCGCCGCCGCCGCGCGCGCGGATTCCATGTCCGGGCCTCTCATCGGTGCCTTCTTCCGCTCTCTCTTCTCCCTCTTCGATTCGTCCCCGTCCCCGTCCCCGTCCCCGTCCGCGTCCCTGTCGCGGTCCCGGTCCCGGTCTCGGTCCCTGTCTCTGTCGCGCTTCTTCCGGTCTCTGTCCTTGCGACCGCGGTCGCGGTCGCGGTCGCGGTGGCGGTCTTTCCCCCCCGATCGCGAGCGCGAGCGCGACTTCGATCGCGACGTCTTGCGGCTTTTTCGTTTGCCGCGTTCGCGCGATCGCGACTTGCTTCGCTTCCTCCGTCGGTCCTTCCCGCCGCCCCCGCTGCGGCTGCGGCTTCGGCCGGAGCGCTTCTTGCGATCGCGCGTCCGGCTGCGGCTGCGGCTGCGACCGCTGCCGTCGCTGGAGCGGCTGCGGCCACTGCCGCGCCTCGAGCGCCGGCTCTTCCTCGACGATCGCTCCTCCGATCCCGCCGCTCCGCGCACATCATCTCGCTTCGCGTCGCCCGCGTCGTCGTCGCGTCCCGACGCGCCCGCGTCGCGGGCGTCCCCGCGCTCGCCCATCCCTCGCTCGCTCCGCGCGCGCGCGCGGACGACCCCTGCGCACCGCCGGCGCTCGGCGCGACGCGAAGTGACCGCGACGCGCGCGATCCCCGCGCCGTCGTCGAACGCGAACGAACATCGCTCTCGTCCGCTAGTGGCTGGAACGCAACCCTGCCTGCAGTGAGTTCTGGAAATAATCGCGCTCGGCGCGCGGTAGGGTTCCGCGGTCGATCACTGCTCGCGCGCGCCGAAAAGCGCGACGCACGACCCGATCTCGCCGCTCGCGTCGCCGCGACCGTCGTCGCCACCGCGCTCGCGAGCTTGGACCGCGCGGAGCGCGTCGCGAGACAGTTCGGATCGCGCGGCGTCGACCGGCGGACGACGATCGCGATGAGCGGGCTCGCGTGCACGAAGAAGGTCGTGGAAGACGAGGACGCACAGGAGCTCCGACTCGGGGAAGATTTCACGGACGCGCACTGCCTGTCCATGGACGAGGTGAACCTGATCTGCGCGGCGAAGTTGGGCGACGACCTGGACAAGATCGGCGAGCCGACGTCGACGACGCAGACGAAGGTGTTCGAAATGACGAACGCCTACGTGAGGCGATTCGCGAAGGAGGCGGCGAGTAGGCAGACGGAGGCGTTCCGGAACTTGTACGCGCAGGCCGGGTTGACGGACTTCGAGGGCGCGATCATGGTGAACTTGAACTTTGGAGACTACGAAGAGGCGATCGCGCACTTGCCGAGCCTCGCGAGGAAAGGCGACGACGGGATCCTGATCCACTCGGAAGAGAAGGTCTCGAAGCTCATCGACGACATGGCCGACGTGCGGCGGTTCGAGTAGCGCGGTACTCTAGTAGTTTATTAGCTTTCAACGGGACGCACGTTCATCGCACGCCGTTTCGTTCGTCTTTCGATCGACGAGAGCCCGGTCCCCGCTCGCGCGCGCTGCGTCCTTCGGATCTATCGCGCCGCCGCGCGTCTCGACGCGACGTCGTCGATTGTATTCGGGTTCAATTGGTAAGACAAAGATTTTCTTAGGGCTAAGGAGATAGTTGTGTTCACACGCTCCGACCCTCCTCGACGTACATCTCGATGCTCTCCTCGTCCAGCTCGTCCTCGTTCAAGTGCAGGTACGGGTTATCCGGTATCGGCCGGAACATGTACCCGGTCACGCAGTAGAAGCACATCGTCGCCGCCTCGGACGCGAGGTCCGCGAGCCACGTCATGTTGTACGCCATCGTCTGCTTCAAAAGGTAGACGATGATGCGCGTGAAGTAAATGTACGCGACGACCATGACGTAAAACTGCCGGAATAAGATGAGCTTGTTCATGTTCCGAACCTTCTTACCGTCCGTGAGCGCAGCCTCGCGCAGGTGCTTGATGCTCCACACGATCGGGAACAGGATCGCGCAGCAGCACGCGATGTCGAGGAGGTGGAACAGGTCGCGCCATTCCAGCCACCCGGCGAGCGCCACGCCGTTGTCGTCGAGGACGATGGTGGCGATGTTCGCGAAGACTTGCATCGGGATGACGATCATGAGAACGTTCTTCTCGCGCTCGTTCAGGAACGGCTTCAAGAAGCTCCACCCGGTGCCGATGAGGACGACGACGGTGAACAACATCAGCCCGCGCACCGACGTGAAGAAGTAATACGCGATGTTCCACCCGTCGGCGTCGCCCTTGACGCGACGCGAGTGGAACATCAACGCCTGGCACAAGACCGTGAGCGCTTTCATCATGACGAGGAGCAGCATGAGGAGATGGATCTTCTGCACGCTGCCGGGCTGCGTGTTCCGCGACGTGTGCAAGTTCCACGCCCACGCGCACCCCATCGCGACGAACGCGCAAAAGCACAGAAAGTACAACGTCGGCAGCGGCTTCTCCCCCGCGCTGAGATAATCCTTCTTCCCGCCCTCCATGTGGTTGTACAGCTCGACCGTGATGTCGAACGACACCGCGGAGTGCTCGACGCAGTTGACGAAATACAGCGAGTACTGCCCGGCCATGTCCTTCGCGATCGTGTTCGAGTACACGAAGTCCTGCCCTTCCTCCGTGGTCTGATCCGCGATGTCTTGCATCGTGAAGAGCTTCTTGACGTACTGCGAGTCCAGGATGCACGTCCCCTTGGCGAGCTCGTCCTCGAGCTCCGCGTCCGCTTTCGCGAACGAGATGAGGAAGCCCATCTGCGTGCGATCCACGGGCTCCGCGCCTTCGGTCGTGTAGATGTGCACGGGGTTTTTGATCTTGATGTCGATGCCGCCTGGGGTGGGAGTTAATCGACGATAAAGGAGGGGCGCGCACGGTCAGAAATTGCCACCAGCGCCGGGGAGGATGGAGGGTGGAAAGTCGAACGCGGCCGCGGGGGGCGGGCGGCGCGGGACGACGCGCGACGGCGCGCGCGCGGCGGCGTCGAGCCGCGCGCGCGCTTCCGAGACGCGCGGCGGCGCGACAGAGCGCCCGCGGCGAGGAGAGGCCGGGTCCGTCCGTTCCGTCCGCGCGGCGCGGCGCGCACCTTGGGGATCGAACCCGAAGTCCAGCGCTATGGGGATCTTCGGTCGCCCATCTTTCTCGACGCCCTCGTTCGTGATCAGCGCGTGCGTCGGCGTCGCGATCGCGAGGAGCGCGAGCGCGAGCGCGACGAAAGCGCCGCCTCGGGACGCGCGCATCGCGGTCGTTCTCGTGCGTGTGCGTGCGCCGCGCGCGAGACGGAGTGGCGCGGCGACCGCGCGGCGCGTGGACGCCCGTCGGTCACCTCGCTCGACAGGGTGGCGAGTTTTCACGAACGAGGCATTGGATTTCCGCCGGTCGCGGCAACGCAACGTCTCTTCGGCTTCGAGCGCGCGAGCGAGGGCGCGCGCGCGCCGCCGCCGGGACGTCACAAACGAGACGCGCGGGGCGACCGACGCGACAGATCGAGAAGCGTCGATCGCTTCGAGCGGACGCGCGGGGTCGATCGCGGTTCGATCGAGGGCGGACGCGCTCGCGGGTCCACGCGCGCGTCGGAGGGTTCGATCGTCGCGGGGTTTGAACGAACGCGAGGAAAGGAAGAGGCGTCGTCGCGATGTCGGCGGAGGGGCTCCCGATGACGGGGTACCTCCCCACCGCGCAGCAGAACTTCGCGGCGATGAAGAAGGCGTACGCCGCGGGCGACGTCGCGAAGACGTCGTCCCTGCTCGCCACCCTCAAGGTCCGTCCCGGACCGCGCGCGTCGACCTCAGATCTCGCGCGATCGATCCGCGCGTCGGCGTCGCGTCGTCGCCAGATCCGTCGGAACCCTCCCTCCCTCCCTCCCCCCTTCCTCCCTCCTAAACCCGCCCGCCCCGCCCACCCCCACCGCAGGTCGCGCTCACGACGTTCCCCGCGCTCCCGCCGCTGTGCGCGCACACGTCCACGGTCGAGAAGGAGCTCCTCCTCGCGCGCGACGTCCTCGAGTACGCGGCTCTCTTCGCGGTGTCTCAAGACGACCACGACGCGGTGGAACGCGCGTGCACGCAGCTCAAGACGTACTACGCGGACAAATACTGCGTGACGAGGATGAAGCGCTCGGAGCGGCAGAACCTCATCACGGGGCTGAACCTCACGCGTTTGCTCGTGCAGAACCGGATCGCGGAGTTTCACACCGAGCTGGAGCTGATCCCGGCGGAGACGCAGGCGGATCCGCGCGTCAAGCTGCCGATCGAGCTCGAGCAGCGGCTCATGGAGGGATCGTACGATAAGATCCTGAAGCAGAGCAAGGCTGCGCTGCCGAGCCCGGAGTTTGGGAACTTCATGAAGTCGCTGACCGCGACCGTGAAGGACGAGATCGCGGCGTGCATGGAGAAGGCGTACGCGACGCTCTCCGCGGCGGCGGCGGCGAAGATGCTCGGCATCGGGTCGGGCGTGGAGATGAACGCGTTCGGCGAGTCCAGAGGGTGGGTCCGGAGCCCCGACGGGCTGAGGTTCGTGTTTCAGAAGGAGAAGGCGCCGCCGAGCGCGAAGGATATTCCGAGCGGGACGCTCATCGCGCAGACGATGATGTACGCGAAGGAGCTCGAGAGGATCGTGTGAGAGGGCGACGGCGGCGGCGGCGGTAGCGGGGACGTCTACGGGAGAATACTAACACGACAAAACATGACAAAACTAAAACGAAACGCGCGTCGAACTCGCGAGTCGCGCCAGATCTCCTCTCCCGCGCGGCGGCGTCGGCGCGGATGGCGGTTCGGCGGTAGCGCGCGTCCTTCCTTCCACGCCGCGTCACGAGATGACGGAGGCGCCGCGCAGAGAAGACCTCGAGTGCACGGTCTGCGGGTGCGCCGTCTCGTCGCTCGTCGCTCGCGTTCGAATCGTCCGAATCGCGACGAGTGCCAACTCCGCTCGCGTGACGCCCCGCGACCTTCCCTCCCTTTCCCTCCTCGTCCCGCGCGCAGGAGCACCGCGACCATGAGCTGCAGCGCGTGCGGCGCGTTCTTCTACTGCGCGCGGAGATGCCTGGAACGTCACTGGGTCGCGCAGCGCCACTCGAGCGACTGCGAACGGCACGCGAAACAGGTCGCGCGCGCGGAAGAGCTCCGACGCGCGCACGACATGCGATGGCTCGCGGGACCCGGACCGGGACCGGGATGGCTAGACCTCGCCACGGTGGGCATAGACGACGGGTTCGCGACGCGGTGCGACGTCTTGGAACGGTGCGGCGTGCACCACAGAGGACCGTTCCGAAGGGAGTGCGACTGCCACAGGCGGACGCAGTTCGGTGCGCTCCCTCGCGACGACGGTTGGTGCCGCGAGCGGCGGCGCGCCGACGGCAACGGCGACGGCGACGGTCCTCTCCCCGCGTTCGACCCCGACCGGGACGTCGCGACGTGGAAGGAGTTGTACGCCGCGCTGCGCGTCCGCGACGGCGACTGCGCGGCGATCGTGTGGTCGACGGGGGCGACGGTGTACAGCGCGCTGTGCGCGGCGGGCGCGCGTCTGACGCGCGAAGCGGAGTCGTCGTCTGAGGCGGCGTCCGAGGCGGCGTCTGAAGCGGCGGCGGAGACGGAGACGGGCGCCGTCGTCGTGCATCTCGTCGGCGCGGAGAAAGAGCTCGACCAGATGGACGCGCTCGTCGACCTCCTGGAGCGACTCATCGCGCGGGAGGTGGACGTCCCTCCCGGAGGGAAGCGGCGCGTCGCGCGGGACGTCGTCGTGCACGTCGTCGGTCCAGAGGCGCCCCCCGAGGCGGCGGCGGCGGATGCTGACGTGGCAGGGGGTGCCGAGACGCCGAGACGCGCCGAGGAGAAGACCGGCGGCGGTGGCGGCGGGAGGGTGACGTGGGCGACGCACCGGGGGTACTACCACGACGTCGCGGCGTCGCTCCCGGCGGCGCGGGTGGCCGTCGCGCCCAACGCGGGGATCGCCGCGTTTCGAGTGTGGCGACCCACCGCGCTCGCGTTGGCGCGCGCGGGCACGCCGTTCGTCGTCACGGACTACACCGAGGAGGCCGCGTGCTTAGCGTTCGCCGCGCTGGAGCGCGTCCACGGCGAGGCGGCGGCGGCGGCGGCGGCGGGCGGCGGCGCGACGGTTGACGTTCCGTATCCCGCCTCCGTCGGACGATTGACGCGTCCTCGGCTGAATCCGTTTCGGTCGCCGGTGAGCGCGCGAGGGTCGGACAACGCGCTGCCGACGTACTCGAACGCGTTCGTGTTCGGGTGGGGGGTGGACCTGTAGACGGGCGCGACGCGACCGCGTGCCGTGGTCGACGCGCGAGGGCAGACGGCGAGAGAGCGAGGTCGACGCGTGAAGACGACGCGGACGCGGGTGCCAACTCACGAGATTATCTGTTGGCACCGCACCGTAGGTAGATCGTTCGAAACGACGGACGCGAGCGACCGCGTCGCCACACGCGCTCGTCGCGCCGCCCTCGCACGCCGCGACGACGACGATGGCGTCCTCCGCCGCCGCCGCCGCGCGCGTCGTCCCCGCGACCGCGCGCGTCGCGTCGTCCGCGCGTCGCCGTCGTCGTTCGCGCGTCGTCGCGTCGTCGACGTCGTCGTCGAGATCGTCGATCGCCGCGCGGGTCCGTCCTCGTCCTCGCTCGCGCGCGTTCGCGCCGCGCGCGAGCGCGGACGACGACGACGACACCGTCAGCGTCTCCGACCTCGTCGAGATGGAAGTCGCGGGCGTGAGCGTCTCCGACGCCGGGTTCGCGCTCGTCCTGACCCAGGCCGGATGGAAAGATCACCTCCCGCGCGCGCGAGACGAGATCGAATCGATGCGAATCGACGCCCCAGCAGACCCGGCGTCGCGCCTTCCCGCGGACGTCGCCTCGCGCCCGGTCCTCGCGCTGCTCCTCACCACCTCGGACGACGACGTCGACGGCGCGCGAAGCGAGCACGCGCAGACGACGCTGCAGCTGCTGCAGACGCCGCCGATCGACATGGGAATCCAACTGCCGTACGACGCGTTGGACGACGTCACCGGAATGTCCGGCGCCGTCCTCGGCGCGGTGCTCGTAGGCAAGGCGACGTTCGCGGACGGGAGCGATGACGACGACGATGGGTCCTTCGTGTTCGAGTCCACGCTGCTCGCCGGGAAGGAGTTCGAACAGAACAGCTACGACGTCGTCGGCGGCGCGGCGGAGGCGTGGAAAGCGACCGCGCTCGCGCTGAGGTACGCGCCATACGGGGCGAGGATATTCGCGACGCGAGGGGCGCTGGAGGACGTGAACGTGAAGCCGTTTAGGGCGGGAGAGGGGAAAGGGAAAGGAAAACGCCGCGGGGACGGCGGTTACGGCGGGGACGGCGGAGGGCTGACGCTCGGGACGGTGCGCGACGTGTTCCCTCTGTTGCAGACGGTGAACGAAGCGCGCGCGATCGACGCGGCGGCGCGCAGGTTAGTCCTCGACCCGTTCATGTCCGCGAGTTTTGACGACGACGAGGTGACGAGCGACGACGTCGGGGAAACGACCGCGGAGGAGGACGGCGTGTGAATCGAACGAGGCGAGGATTCGAATAGCAATCAGATCAAACTTCAATTATTTTTTCTTTTTCTCGTGGCCGCGGCGTCTCTGCCAGTTCACGAACGACTGCAACGTCTTATCCCCCGGGTTGACGCTCAGATCCCCGCGACAGAACACGTTGAACGAGTCGATCCCGAACTCGCCGACGCCGTAGATCTTCCGCTCCTGGTCCGGCCCGACGTCGAGCGGCCCCGCCTCAGTGAGTATCTTCGCGCTGATCTCCACGACGGATCGGAACCGGTTCGGGAAGAGCCCGAGCGGTCGGATGACTTCGAGGACGTCGTTCGGTTTCGCCGCGAGCGCGGCCGTGGGCGTGGGGTACTTCGCGAAGAACGCGCTGATCGTGTTGTGCTTGCACTCCCAGCTCGAAACCTGGAAAGAGGGCGAGAGGGACGAGGGGATGAGGGAGCGGTCAGTCGCGGCGGCGGAGAGAGGAACGGAACGGAAACGGAACCAAAAAAATCCAAAAAAATAAACACGATGACGCGAACGGTTCGTTCCCCGCCCCGCTCGAGCTCGCGCGCACCCTGGACATGAGCACGCACGCGACGAGGAGCTGCCACGCGTCGTGCGCGTAGTACTCCTGCAACAGCTGCAGATCGCTCGGCGGCGGCGGCGTCCCTATGCGCGACGTCACCCATTTCTCCCAATCGGACACCGCGTCGGCGGCAGGCACGCCCTTCCCCCATCGGCGCACCGCCTCCGACCTCCACGCGTCCCTCGCGCCGACGTTCGTGAGCTTACCCCCTCCCTTCGGCGCGATGGACGCCGTCCGCGCGAGCATGAGCGCGCGCGCGTCCTCGAGCCACCGCGTCGACGCCTCGAGCGCGGCCTGCTCGCTCGACCACACGCCCGCGCCCGCGGGGCCCGTCGCGATTCGAACGTCGTCGTCGTCGACATCGTCGTCGTCGTCGTCGTCGTCGTCTCGCCTCGCGCGCCGCCTCGCCTTGGCGCGCCTCCCGCCGACGTCCTCGTCGTCCATCAGCGCGTCCACCGCGCTGCCGTCGTGCTCGGGCTTGACGTTCCGCACGCGCCCGCTGCGGCGCGTCGGCTCCGTCGGCGGGCGCTTCGCCTTGCGCTTCGCGCGATTCGTCGGCTTCGAGGACGCCGCGGGATCAGGGCCATTCCATACAAAGCGATGTCGGGGTGGAGTTCAAAGGCGTCAGATGGCGTTCAAAAGCGTCGATGGCGGGGATTGAAAGCGAGGTTTGGGCGGAGAGAGACGACGGCAAAAGTCCTTAAGGATCGGCGTTCACCACGGCGACGGGGTCGTATGGGGACCAGTGTATAGAACGCACCTCAGGAGGCGCGATCGTCGCCGCGAGATCGAGCACGCCCAGGCGCGCCATGTACTCTCTGTTCCTCGCGACGTGCGCGAGCCTCTGGCGCTCGTACTCCGTGAGCCCGTCGTCCGTCATGATGGCGCGAGCAGAGGGGGTTCGGGGGGGAGGGGAGGTTGGGAACGCGCGGCGCGCGTGCGGCGACGTCGGACGGCGCGCGCCAACTTTGAGTGCCAACTTTTATCTCGGACGCCCTTCTGCGCGCCGCAGGCGCCGGCGCTCGCGGCTCGCGTCACGGACCCTCGGGAATAAATCGCATTGACGCACATCCGCGCCGCGCGAGCGCACGCGCGCACGATGCCGCGCCCGAGCGTAGACCCGGACTCGCTGTGCTACTGCGCGGTGACGCGCGATGACGTCGCCGCGTGCAGGCTGTTCCGCGAAACCTTCGTCAAGAAGTGGCCCGGGACGATATCGCCTCGTGCGTCCCCTCCCGATTCTTCGCGCGTCGTCCGCGTTTCCCGATTCGGGATACGATAGATAATTCCCGGGAAGAGACGCGTCTTCCCGGGACCGACCGTCCCCGCCGGGATCCCCGATCCCCGCCCCCTCGCTCACCCGCCTTCCCTCTCGCCCTCCCTCCGCAGACATGAACGACCTCGACTTCGCGGAGGCGCTTCGTCCCGTGAGCATCTGCAAGGGCGCGGGCGAGGTGACGTTCGATCACGGAAAGCTCATTCACGACGTCGACGCCGTCCCTCCCGCGGTGTACGTCGTCACGAAAGGCCTCTTCCACGCGCACGACCGCGAGGGCAAGCTCGTGACGACGATCAAGCCGGGCGAGTTCATAGGCTCGGTGTCGTACTTCTTCGACGTCTTCACGCATCACAAGGTGACCGCCGCGCCGCTCGCGGAGGGCGAAGACGCGGAGACGAAGGAGAAGCCGATGTGCTACGCGATTCCGTGGATCGGAATGGCCGCCGCGAAGACGACGAAAGAGCTCGCGGTGATTTACCAGCAGATCTCGTGGTGGGCGCACACGATACGCATGGACGTCGGGCGTCTGCAGCAAGCGCAAGCGAGACGCGCGGAGAAGGTGTTTGAGATAAACGACGAGGTGCTTCGAGTGACGACGGATTTAAAATGCGCGCTGGACGAGCGGCATCCCGGGACGCTCGCGGAGGATCTCACCGTGGAGCAGTTCGCGAAGTCGCTGTACGAGGTGGCGTACATCCCGAACGCGGGCGAGCACACGTTCGAGCCCGGGCAGGAGATTATCAAGTACAACTCGAAGCCGATCGCGGTGTGGGTCGTCCTAGAGGGCACGTTCGAGGCGTTCAATCACGACAAGAAACGCGTGAACATCTTCCACCCGGGGGATTTACTCGCGACCGTGTCCGTGTGCTACGACGCGTACACGCACAACAACGTGATCGCGGCGGACGTCGGGCCGGAGGCGCCGCCGGCGAGGGCGTACGCGATTCCGATGACGGCGCTCCCGGAGATCATGCGGATGTCGAAAATATTACGGCCGCTGTACGACTTGATCTACAAGACCGCGGCGCAGCTGCGCCCGGACGCGGGGTTGCTTCCGGGGCGGCTCGGGAGGGACGAGTGGGTCGAGCACCGGCACCTGATGAGCCCGTTCCGGCAGAACCTGGACGTCGGGTTGGGGATGCGCCTGCCCGGGAACGGCGACAAGGTTTTGTACAACTCTCGCCCGTTGGAGTACGAAGGGAGCCGACCGGAGCGGGATTTCGACACGAAGCATCCAGACTGGGCGGGGAAGGGGTTCAGGAAAATGAACATCCACTACGTCGTCAAGTAGTGCGTGAGGGTTCTCGAGTGAGCGCGGTGAAGCCTTGTAACAGTCGTCAACGACGCATCGTCTTACCTTACCGCCTTTCGTACGTAAATTAAAATGATTCCTTCATCATATCCACTCCGCGTCGCCGCCGCGCCTACCTCGACCCGCGCGCGAGCTGCTCCCTGTACTCGTCCCCCAACAAATTCGTCTGGTACTCGCTGCCGTAGTCGTACGACAGCTCCGTCATCGCCGGGATGTCGAAGCACGCGAACAGACAGATCCGGCACTGCCTCGGGTCCAGGTGACCCGTCACCACCGCCTGCGCGAACAAATTCGGCTGGTCCGAGCTGTTGATGAACCGCGCGAACGACCCCGCGCGCTTGCCGTCGAGCTCGAACTGCGTCTCCGCGTCCGCGGCGCTGAGCCCCGCGAGGTCGAGGAGTTTCTGAACCTGCGTCGGCGTCGGCGTCGTCCGACCGCTGGCCTTGAACTTTTTCACGTCCTCGTCGTCGTACTCGCCCTTCAGCAACGCCGCCAGCGGCTCCGGGTGGCTCGGGTTTAACCCGAACAAATACTCGTCGTACTCCCCGGCGCCCTCGTACGCGTCCTCGTGCTCGTGCTCGCCGCGCTTCTCCGCTTCCGAGTGCGTCAGCATCTCGCCCGTGAACTCGCACACGAACTCGCCCGCCTTGATCGGATCCCACGACCGCACGCCCCACCCTTTGCCCTCCGTGCGAAACACCTCCATCCGATGCGTCAACCCGACGCTCGTCGCGTTCGACCCGCACTTGACCGGCTCGCCGCGCACGTACCCGGGCTCGCCCTCGTACACGAGGCACCCGTCGTTCACGAGCGTCCCCTTGGCGTCGTACGGCCCTCTGGTCGGATCCTTCAGCGTGCACGCGTTGAGCGCCCGGAGCTCGCTCGACGTCGGCGTCCGCGGCGGCGGCGCCGGGACCCTGGACGCCGACCGCGCGACCACCCCGCACGGGAGGTACGCGAACGCCTCCTTCGGGGGCACGCCGCCGCTTCGGGGGAACGTTTCGAGGAAGAACGCGCTGATCTTCTCCACGGAGTCGCACCCGGGCGGGAGCTTCAGCGGCCGCGGCGGCGGCGCCCAGTGCGGCGAGCTCTCGTCGAACGCGTTCACGACGCACACCGGGAGACTTTCGGTGCCCAGGGACAGGTCCGCCATCACGAACCCGGGGCGGTCCTCCGGGCGCTGCTTCGCCGGCAGCGCGGAGCGGCTCTGCTTGAAGTGCACGCTCGCGGACGTCACCGGGGGCTGCCCGTCCAGACGCACGAGATCGAACCGCGCGACTTTGTACCCGCTCTTCCCGACGACGAGGTGATACGACTCGACGAGGTACAGACCGTCGTACGTGTACACCTTCCCGGAGAACGAGTCCTTGTCCGGGGCGCCTCGCACGACGCGGATGGGGAGGCCCAAGTCGCACGCCGCCGCCATCGCGCGGTTCGACGCGTTCTCGGAGATGGACTGGTCCGCGTATTGCCTTCCCGTGTGCAGCAGGTCGTTCATCCCGGCGCCGGTGTACGGGCATCGATCAGACGCGTCCAAGTCATCCTCGAACCCGCCGCTCATCGCGATCGAGTTCGCGACCACCACCTCCTTCTTTCCTTTCTCCCTCGCCGTCTTATACGTCGCGATGCCGGCGAGCCAGTGCATGTGCATCCCGCACGCGAACATCTCCGCCCGCGAGTTGTACTTGGTACCCACCGGAACCCCCATCAGTCCGCCCGTAACCTTCTTCGGCTCCTGGGTCCCTCCAGCCTCGTACCCTTGAAGGTACATCCCCAGGTCTCGCATCGCGGTGTTCGCTTTCAAGTCCGGCCGCGACGACTGCGCCTTCCCGCGCTCATTCTTCCCGCCGCCGACGCGTTTCCGCTCCGCCTCCTCGACGACGCACTTGAGCCTCGTCTGGTTGAAGAATTCCAACGCGTGCCAGTGCCTCGCCTCCGCGCTGAGATGCTTCTCCGCGTCGTACTTCTTCGCGCGGAGTTTCGTGCCGTCCTTGTCGTACTCCACGCCGTGCGCGCGCGGGATCGCGAAGCTCGAGGGGTCCGGGACGATCCTCGACGGCGGCGCGGCGACGGTGCCGACGACGCGCGTCTCGTACGCGAGCAGCTTCCGCCAGTCGAGTCGCGTTTTAACCCGTCCGCGTCGGGCGGCGGCGGCGACTTGTTCGCCTTGGCCACGTCGCGGCGGTGCTCCCACGCCCATCTCGAGCCGTTCGTGATGACGTTCGCGACATCTCGCTCCTCTTTCGCCCACTTCTCGTCCTCCGCGGATCCGAGCTCGAAGTCGTCCCACGCGCTGTCGTTCGTCGCCGTCGCGTCGTCGGCGTCGGCGGCGCCCGCGGCGGCGGCGGCGTCCGCGCCCGCGGCGGCCTTGGCTTTCGCGGGCGACTTCCGGCTCGCGTCGTCGCCGTCCGTCGCGTTCGCGCCCCTCGGTTTCCCGCCCTTCACCTTCCCTTTAGATAAGTTCTGCTTGCACAAGACGCACTCGCACGCCTTGTGGTGCCGCGTCAGAAACTCGAGCGGGGACGGAATGCACACGCGAATTTTCCTCGCCCCCGCGGGCACGCCCGGCGCGCGCGGCATCGGTCGGTTCGCCGCGGGCGGCTTGAGCGCCACGCGCCAGTTCGACACCGGTATCAGCGGCGGGAGCTTCGCGGGGAGTTTCTTCTGCTCGCCCGGGGATTTCGACGGGGATTTCGCGCTCTCGCCCCCCGGGATTGGGGATCTCTTCGGCGTGCTCTTATTCGGCGTGCTCTTCGAGGACCCTCCTTCCGCCGGCGAGCGCGAAGGGAGCGACGGCCGTCGCTTCTTCAGCGTCGGCGGCGCGTCCGCGGCGTCCGACTCGGACTCGGACTCGGACTCGAAGTCGGACTCGTCCGCGTACGCGCCGGGTTTCTTCCTCGCGCGCTTCGCGGACGTCTCGCGCGCGGACGCCGCGGCGTGCGCGATCGGCCGCCCGCGCTTCGTCGCGTTCCCGCCATCTTTTTTACTCGTCGGCGTCGTCGATCGCGCGATGGCGACGTCCGCGGCCCCCGGCTTCCGCTTCGTCCCTTTGCCCGTCGTCGTCTTCGACGTCTTCTTCTTCGCGACCGGATCGTCCTTCGCGCGCTTCATCGCCTCCTCGAGAAGCGGCGGGAGCTCGTGCTCCTCGTACTCCTCCTCGTCGCCGTCGTCGTACGTCGCGTGCATCCACGTGACGGTCCGCGACGGATCGCGCTCGTCCGCGACGTCCTCGCGCGAGTCGATCGTGCCGAAGCACCATCCCGCGCCGTCGAAGTGCTTGCATATGCGCTCGCCGTGGTATAAGTCGAACCTTGTGGGGCCGTTCAGCGACGGCACGGGGTCGGCGGGCGTCATCGCGCCGGCCGCGCGCGCCGGATCTCTGCCGCGCGCCGGGCGATCGATCGGATCGCGATTCGAGTGTGCCCAGCTCGACGTCAACTTTCTGTTTCAAGTGTACGTTGATGAGGCGCGATTTCGCGCGCGCCGCGCCATCGCGACGCGCGCCTCGGCGTGGGCACACGTCGCATGATGCAGATCTCACCGTTCGAGAGGGCGACGCGACTGCGGGCGGCGCTATCGACGCGATGGCCCGGGATCTTGCCCGACGGTGCGACTCGCGACGCTCCCGCCGCGCGACGTCGCGTCGTCCGACGCTTTTTCTCGTCGTCCCTTCCCCGACTCGATTCGTCCGTCGCTCATCGCGCTCCCCCCGTCTCCTCCTCCTCCTCCGCAGACCTGTCTGACGAGGCCTTCCACGACGCGCTCGTGGACGCCATCGCGCCGTCGACCATCCCGGAGTGCGCGCGCGGGTTGTTCGAGGGCGACGTCCTCCAGGCCGCGGGCGTCGCGCCCGCGGACGTGCACGTGATCACGCAGGGCGAGTTTATCGACGACAAGGGGACGACGCTCCCGCCCGGGTCGTTCGTCGGCGCCGTCGCGTACGCGTTCAAGGTGGAGACGCACCGGAGCGTGACCGCGCTCAAGGAGGGCGACGTCGTCGTCGCGCCCCGCGCGGTGGCGACGATCGAGGCGACGCCGGATGAGCACGCGGCGGCGACGAAGATCCAGGCGATGGCGCGAGGAAACGCCGCGCGGCGCGGCGGCAATCCGTTCGGCGGACTCCCTCGCAAACGCAAAGCCGCGTCGTCGGCGTTGCGAACGTTCTCGATCCCGTGGGCCGCGCTCGACGCGATGAAAACCTCGAGCACGCTGCGCGCGGTGTACGAGACGATCGAACGGAGCGCGATGCGCACGCGAGAGGAGGGCGGGATACTCACGCCGTTGCCGGGGGACGCGCCGTCGACGCCCGCGGCGGCGGCGGCGGCGGCGGCGGCGGAGAACGACTTCCCGGAAGAGGAGTCGATCGATTACGAGGACGCGGAGCTCCCGGAGGAGCTTCACGAGCGGCTCCCGGACGAGCTCACGGACGAGGAGTACGCGGCGGAGGTCCGGTCGCCGTCGCCGGTCGCGCCGGTCGCCGTGGCGGTCGCCGCGCCGGCCGAGAAAGAGAAAGAGGAAGAGCCGGCGCCCGCGTCGCCGGCGCCCGCGTCGCCGGCGCCAGCGTCGCCGGCGCCCGCGTCGCCGGTCCCCTCGAGCGTGCTGCCGCCGATCTCGACGCCGGCCTCGCCGCCGCGGGAGTCCGCGCCCGCGTCGCCGGCGCCGTCTTCCGTCCCCGCGTCGCCGCTCCCCGAGTCTCTCCCCGCGTCGCCGCTCCCCGAGTCTCTCGCGTCGACGCCGCGGCCGGAGCCGGACTCCGCCGCGTCGGGGCGACGCGACGCGGCCGAGGAGGGATCCCGCTCGGGGTCTGCCGCCGACGAGTACGCGGAGGAGGACTTCGAAGAGGACGACGACATCCCGGACGAGACCGAAGTGCCGACCGCGCTCGAGCTCTTGACGGTGGCGCTGAAGGCGCAAAAGGCGGACGCGCGGACAGGCGCGGAGGCGACGCCGGCGCGACGCGCGATTTTCGCGGGGATGGACGACGACGCCGTCGTCAAAACGCTCGCGTCTCATGCGGTACTCTCGCACGTGAAACCCGGCGTCGCCGTCGCGAAACACGGCGATCCCGAAAACGCCGACGGCGGGGCGTTATTCGTGATCGCGAAGGGGTCGTGTCGACTCGTCAAGAGCGACGGCGACACGCCCGCGTCGAAACTCCCGCTTCTCCCGGGCGACACCTTCGGCGAAGTCAACTGCGTCACGTCGGGCGACGCCGGGTTTCCCGCGACGATGATCGCGTGTGAGCCCGACGGCGCGGACGTGTACATCGTGAATTTGGCGCGCGTCGGCGACGCCATCGCGGCCTCGCGGCTCGTCCTCCTCACGCTGAAGGAGAAGACGAGAGAATCCGTCGCGAGGCACGGGGATGACTTTTTGACGAAATCCACGCGCGGTAAGGACGTCGTCCTCATCGCGGACGCGGTCCCGCACGCGGACGCGCTCGCGAGGTACGCCATGGGCGCGGGATCGTTCGCGTTGACGTACGATCACGCGAACGGCTCGATGAAGACTGTCATCGACGCCGCGAAGAGCGCGCTCGGGGATGGCAAACACGAGGCGGCGACGATGATGCTCGTGACGCCGCCGCCGTCGAGACCGGGCTCGATCGACGTCGTCGCCGCGGAGTCCATAGACGCCGCGTCGGTCCGGAGGGAGAAGCGTCAAGAAGACTTCTTGAGAGACATCGGTGGCATGTGCAAGCCGTGGGGCGCGCTCGCGCTCGCGCACGGCCCGGGCGTGGACGCCGCGGCGATCTCCGAGGGCGTGGTATTCGCCGCGGAAGTCGTCGAAGTCGTCGGCGTCGAGGTCGTGCCCTCGTACGAGCTCGGGAAAGAGAACGGCAGCGAGTCGTTCGAGGCGACGAACGCGGCGATGTCGAGGGCGACGGCGAAGCACTGGCGCGCGGAGGCGGTCGACATCGTCAAGGAGAAGGAAGAAGCGGCGGAGCGAGAGCGGCTCGAGAGAGAGAGAGAGAAAGCCGCCGCGGCCGCGAGAGAGGAGGCGGCGCGCGTCGAAGCGGAAGAGAAGAGAGCCGCGGAGGAGCGAGCGGCCGCGGAGGCTGTCGAGAGAGAAGCCGCCGCCGCGAAGGAGAGGGAAGCGGCGGCGGCGAGGAAGAAGGAAGAAGACGCGAAGGTCTCGCCGAAGATGAAGACGGAGAGATACCGCCCGCCGCCGGTCGTGGTGGAGCACAAGAGGCCCCCGCCGATCGCGAGAGAGGAGCCGGTCCTCCCGCCGCCGCCGTCGCCGAGGGCGAGAGCGGAGGCGGAGCGGAAGAAAGCGGAGGTGGAGCGGTGGCGAAGAGAGAAGACGGAGCGCGAAGCCGCGGAGAAGGCTGCGCGCGAGAGAGCGGCGGCGCAGAGTAAACACTCGCCGTCGTCGTCGCCGCGGCATCGCGAGCAAACAAAAGCGGAGCTCGAGCGGTGGCGACGCGAGAAAGCGGAGAGGGAGGCGGAGGAACGCGCGGCGGCGGCCGCGGCGGCCACCCCGGCGGCGTCCCCGAACCGCGAGACGCGCGTGAAGCAGACGAAGGAGCAAGTGGAGCGGTGGAGGCGAGAGAAGGCGGAGCGAGAAGCCGCGGAGAAAGCCGCCTTGGCGGCCGCGGCGGCGGCGGTCCCGCCCCCGCCGAAGACCGACCGCGTGGCGTACATCTCGAAGAAGCTCGGCGTCACGAAGAAGGCGGCGACCGCGGCGCTGAAGGACCTGAACATCTCCGTGTTTATCGACCCCGGGGTGACGCCCGCGGGGTGCGAACCGTTGAAGCCCGGCGAGGAGCGGGAAAACGTCGTCCTCGCGGGTTTACTCCTCCTCGAAGCGCGTCTGATGTCCTCGCGTCTGAGGAAGGAATACGACCTCTCCCTCGCGCTCGCGACCGAGCTCGCGGAGGCGACGCACGTCCTGAAGATGATCCCCGGCAGCGTGGACTTGGTGAAGTTTAAGACGGTCGGCGAAGACCTCGTCGGCGCGGTGCGTCGCAAGGCGATTCGAGCGGGGAAGTTGACGCCGACGGCGAACGACGCGGTGAGGAACGAGACGTCGAACAAGGTGTTAGCGCTGAAGAAGAAGAAAGAGGCGGAGATGTTCGCGAAGCGCGAGGACGAGATCGCCGCGGTCGCGCGGGTGAGGAAGGAGAAAGCGGAAGCCGCGGTCGCGGCGGCGGCGGCGGCGGCGGCGCGAAAGTTGAACATCACGGCGGCCAATTCTCCGAAGGGGAAGTCCGTGCGCGGGAGCTTCCTGGAGCGGTTGCAGAAGGACGTGAAGAAGCGCGGGATCGAGTCGAAACCCCGCGCGGCGACCGCGCGTTTGAAGGAATCCTCGAGCAAGATGGTCGCGGAAAAGAAGAAGACGCCGCCGACGCCGGAGGAGGCGGCGGCGAGGAAGCGACTCGAGAACCGCGCCTATCTGAGAAGCGTGATCCGCGACCGGCTCGTCGCCGCGGGCGTGCACGACCTGAAACCCGGGGAGGGCGTCCCAAAAGACGACAAGACGATCGTGGAGATCATCCGCGCGCACGCGAAGCACCTCGGGATCAAGTGGTGGAAGAAGGCGGCGTCCTCCGCGAAAACGGCCAGGGCGTCGGACGCCGCCGCCGCCGCGGACGACGAGGAAAACGCCGAGCCGCCGACGTCGCCGTCCACGCCGAAGATGAAGAAGCTCCTCACCCCGGAAGAGGCGGAGAAGAAGAGGCTGTCGAAGCACGCGAGAGACGCGGCGAAGGCGTGCGAGCGCCTGCGACGCGTGGACTTCCTTCGACGACTTTCAGACGACCTCGATAAGCGCGTGAAGCGACGGGAGGAGACGGAGAAGACGCCGCCGCGGCCCCGGCCGAAAACCGCGCTCGCGTCGTCGTCGCGAAGTCGGAAGACGAAGTCCGAGTCCGGGGACGGGATCGAGTACCAGCGCGGCGTCGACTCGCGGTCCGTGGGGGGATACGACACGTCCATGAAGGATGTCGAGGACGAGGACTGCGAGTACTCGGAGGCGGAGCCGGAGCTCGCGTCGCCGGTGCGCGTCCCGAGCGCGGTGGCTTCGAAGAAGGGGGGAGGCGGAGGCGAGACGCGGGGGATATTAAAACGGCCGCAAACGGCGCGTTAGATTTTATTTACTGGATGTAATAGTAGCGTAGTGTTGACGACGTTCGACGTTTTCGTACTTGTATTACACAAACGCGCAAAGACGCGTCGCGTCCAGTCGTAAAAAGCGTCGCGTATTCTACCGAGCGCGGTGAAGCGTCCTAGCGGCCGGGCACGTCGTCGACCCCCGCGGCGAGTTGTCGGCGCTCACGGATGGGAGTATCGTCCCTTCTTCCGTGAGGCGTCATAACGCCGCGGGTGGTTAACGCCCGGTCGCGGGAAGTTTCGTCGCTCGTCCGGGCTGCTCGACGAAGGAATGAATTCTAATGCTGTCCCCCCGGATGAATGAATTAATCATCGAGGGACGCGATTAGAGCGCCGCGATCTTCGCGAGCATGTTGTCGATGCACGACGCCTCCGGGCGATCGTCGCCCGCGGGGTCGTCCTCCGCCTCGCTGACCTCGATGTGTTTCACGACGCCGTCGACGACGTACGCGGCGAAGCGCTTGCAGCGCGTGTTCCCGAGCTTGGACATCGGCCCCGGGTGATTAAGCTCGAGCCCGAGCGCTTTCGTGAGCTCGAGGCGAGGATCGCACAGGAACGTGAGGTTGCTTCCCGCGATCTTCATGTGATCCGCCCACGCGGACATCACCGCCGCGTCGTTGACGCAGTACACCAAAACTTCGTCGATCCCGGCCGCCTTGAGCGCGTCTTGCCCCGCGAGGTAGCCCGGGACCTGGCACGTGGATCAGGTGGGAGTGAACGCGCCGGGGAGGCCGACGACGATCGTCTTCTTTCCCGCCAGGCGCGACGTCATGTCGACCTTGAAGTCGGGGGGGAAGTCCTTGTCCAGCTGGACCGCGGGGAAGGTGTCGCCCACCTTGATCACCATCTCGCTCGAGTGCGACGACGTCGGCGCTCGGGGAAGAATGAATGCGTCATCGATTCAACACTTCGTGGAATAAAAATAAAAATATCTCGCGGCGCGGCAGCCGCGATCCGAGGCGTGGGCGCGATCTTCACCCACATTTGATCGGTTTACCTTTCAACTGACCGATGAACTTTTTTTGTAGCCTTTCAAGAATCGCCGCCAGCCATTCAGCTGTCGTCCTCTCACCTCTGCCTCTCGCGCACTCGCGGTTCAAATCTGGGGACGCGCGACCGCCCCGCCCCCCCCGCGCCGTCGTCCGCGATGGAGGCGGCGACGGCGTCGCGCGCGCCCACGGCGCTGCCGATGTGGGTTCACGTCTTGCACTTCTGCGTCTCCGTCGTCCTCCTCGTCGTCGCGTCCGCGCTGTCGTACCTCCGCGCCGGTCGCCGAACGCCGAACAGCGTCGGCTTCTACCATCCGCACACGTCCGACGGCGGCGGCGGCGAGCGCGTCCTGTGGTGCGCGGTCCGAGAGGTCATGCGCGCGAACCCGAGCGCGACGTGCGTCGTGTACAGCGGCGACGGCGTCGCCGCGTCCGTCCTCGCGACGCGCGCGAGAGAGCGATTCGGTGTGATCCTCCCGAGGGCGTTCGACGTCGTCGCGCTCCGACGACGCGCGCTCGCGGACCCGGGCCTCTACCCGTGCTTCACGATGGCGTTCCAAGCCCTCGGCAGCGCGATCCTCGTCGCGGAGGCGATGCACGCGTTCCGACCCGCGGTCTTCTTCGACACCGTCGGGCACGCGTTCGGATACCCCGTCGCGCGCGTCGCGGGATGCCGCGTCGCCGCCTACGTGCACTACCCCACGGTGTCGTCCGACATGATTAAACGCGTCAAGGCGCGGCGGGTCGTCTACAACAACGCCGAGAGCACCGCGAAGAGCAGCGCGAGGACGTGGGCGAAGACGCTGTACTATCGCGCGCTCGCGCGCGTATACGGCGCGTGCGGGCGGTGCGCGGCGGTGGTGATGTGCAACTCGTCGTGGACGGAGGCGCACGTGCGCGCGTTGTGGGGGGGGACGGCGTCGGCGTCGGCGACGGCGACGGCGACGCCGAGGGTGGTGTACCCGCCCGTGGACGTCTCCGCGCTGGAGAAGCTGCCGATAGAGGGGCGCGGCGTGAGCAGGAGGCGCGCGGGCGCTGATGGGGGTGCCGAGGGGGGTGCCGAGGGGGGTGCCGAGGGGGGTACCGAGGGGAATGCCGAGATTGAGGAAGCGAAGGAGGAGGAGGAGGAGGATGGAAAATACGTCGTCTCCGTCGGACAATTTCGGCCGGAGAAGGACCACGCGTTGCAACTGCGCGCGTGGGCGCGCGTCAAGGCGCGCGAGAACGAGGCGCGGCGCGACGCGGGCGAGACGGACGGGCCGGAGTGGAAGCTCAAGATCGTCGGCGGGTGCCGAGGTAAGGATGACGAGCGGAGGGTGGCGACGCTGAGAGCGCTCGCCGCCGAGCTCGGGCTGAAGACGTCTGTGGAATTCCACGTCGACGTCTCGTACGAAGACGTCGTGAGACACCTGCGCGGCGCCGTCGCGGGGCTGCACGCGATGCTGGACGAGCACTTCGGGATATGCGTCGTGGAGTACCAAGCCGCGGGCGCGGTCGCGATCGCGCACGACAGCGCCGGGCCGAAGATGGACATCGTCGTCCCGAGCGCGCCGCGCGAGGACGCGGTTGGGTTTCTCGCGACGACGGAGACGGAATTCGCGGACGCCATCGTGGAGGTGATGACGATGCGCGCGGACGCGCGCGAGGCGATCGCGGCGCGCGCGCGCGCGCGGAGCTCGAAGTTCAGCGAGGCCGCATTCGCGTCGGGGCTCCGCGACGCGTTCGTTCCTCTCGTGTATCTGACGCGGCGCGACGACGAGATGGAGGCGTCGAGGAGGGAGGGGTCGCCGGCGCCGTCGCCGCGGAAGTTTGAAAAGGCGTCTTCGTACCCGGGGGGATCGACGGACCACCACCACTCGCGGAGCAGCTACTCGACGCCGAGGAAGCCGCCGCGGCCGTCGAGCCCGCAAACGGATGCTTTGAACCTGACCCCCGACCGCGGCCGGGACGGGTATCAATCGTCGCCGGGGATGCCGCCGAGGTCGCCGTCGTCCGCGTCGGCGTCGCCGTCCGCGCTCGAACGCGAACGCGTCGCGAGGCTTCGCGCGGAGGTGGAGCTCATGGAGCTGAAACTCGCGAACGCGCAGAAGGCAGCGTCGCCGCGGAAGTACCGGCTCACGCCGATCACGCCGAGGAAGAGCCGGTCGAGCAGTAACTCCCCGCGGTCGTCGCCGCACTCGCCGAAAGTGAGAAGCGCGCCGTTTGGCGCGGCGAGCGATTCCCCGGAGCGACGCCCGCAGTCTTCCTGACCTTAGCTAGCGGCGCGCGCGCGTAGCATAGACAGACGCGCGATTCAACGAACGAAACGCGACGCGTACTACTCGACAACTCAACTCGACGCCACGGTGTTCATCGCGCGGCGCTTCTCGTCGACGCACCACGGGTACTGTTCCTCATCGCACGTCAGACGGACCCTGGCGCGCGCGTACGAGCTCGTCCACGGGAGCGCCTTCTTTTTTTCCGTCGCGCCCGCCGCCGCCGCCGCCGCCGCTCCGGAGTTCGCGCGCCGACACGTCCTCCGCAGGTACTCGTTCCCGCTCCACGCCGTGCGCGGGAGGTCCCCGAGGGCATCCATCGCGGGGTGCGAAGACGCGCGCACCTCCTCCGCGACGCCGTCGATGACGTCCACGTCCACGAGCTCGAGAGCGTCCAACGCGAAGCCGTGCCCTGGAACGGGCGCGACTTCGCCGCCGCCGCCGAAAACGCCGCCCGCGCCGCCGTCGCACTCGCGCGGGACCAGCCGCTCGAACCCGGTGGTCTCGTCCGCGCGGAACGTCCCCGCGACGACGTCGTCCCAGGTCCTCCCCTCCTGAAACGCGTCGCTCGTGCGCGAAATCAGGTCTGGAGCCTTCTCCTCGATCAGGTCGCGACTGAACCCGCCGACGTGCGCGTGCACGAAGCACGCGCCCTCGACCATCGACCGCGACGCGGGTAGCCTCAACCCCGCCGACGTCGTCGCCTCGGGGATGTCGTGGAACATCGTGAGGAGCGCGGCGTACGGGTAGATGCCGCATTCGCGCTCCGTCGGGTCGTGGTCGCACTTCGCGACGCGGCCGGTGCACGTCTCGTTCGCGGCGGCGGCGGCGGCGGCGTCCGAAGGTTCTTCGCGGGGTCCCGGGTATTTCAACGCCGCGCCGTGCGCGACGTTCGCGCGTCGCATCCGCGCGCCGAGGTCGTCGTCCTCCTGCCCCCACCCCCAGTACGCGTGCGAGTACCCGTCGAACGCTTTCAACTGCTCCCACGTGAACAGCCACGCGCCGCCCTTGAACGACGGGTAGATGTACTCCGGATGCACGCCCGGCGGCGACAGGTGCGTCGCCGTCTCCGGAACCGCGTCGTACGGCAGCCGCGCCGACGTCGGCAGAAGGTCGATGTCGTGCACGGCGAAGTAGTCGCACGCGTCCGTGGTTCGCGCGAGCGCGACGCCGACGTTCAGGAGCCACCCGCGGTTGAACCGGAGGTCGTCGTCCTGGTGCACGATCCACGTGGAGTGCCTCGCGACGCCCGCGACGCGGGGCAGCCAACGCGACGCGTGCGCGACGAAGCGCTCCACCTCGCCCTCCTTGCCCGGGCGGTCCCTGTACGGCGCGACGACGCAGAGAAGCGGGGAGGTCGCGGACGACGCGGACGACGCGGACGCGACGGCGTCTCTGGACGACGACGACGCCGACGACGACCGCGGCGGCGCGACGGCGCGCGACGGGTCGTCGAACGACGACGCGCGCGGCGTCCGCGCGGACGGCGCGGACGGCGCGGAAGGCGAGCGGGTCGACGTCGTCTTCTCTGGGACGCGCCGCGGCGCCGGTCGAAGGTCGCGGACGCCGCCGAGACAGAGGGACGCGAGCGCGGACGCGAGGAGGAGGACGCCGAGCGCGCGCGCGGCTTTCGCGGCGGAGGGCATCGCGAGCGAGGGAGACGATGGCGCGCGCGCGCGATGCGGTGTGCGGGCGCGGCGAGTGAGGCGACGGGGGCGTCTCGTCGAAGTCCAGTCAGGTCGTCGTCTACTGCGAGCGGAACCGACGCGACGAAACCGAAACCGAGACGGACGCCGCCGCCACTTTCTCGTCGCGCGGGCGCGATGGGGCAGCAGTCGAACAGCGGCAAGGCGCGCACGAAGCGCGATGGGATCCCGAACAACCCGAAGATGCGGAAACAGATGAAGAAGATCGCGAGCGATAAGAAGGAGGGGATGACGTACGCGAAGAGGAGGGCGATGCGCGAGGCGGCGGGGCTCGTGAAGAAGAACGAGTCCGACGACACGAATTTCGGCGCCGCGGGGATGAAACTCAAGGCGGACAAGAAAGGCCCGCTGGAGATTCGATACCGCGCGCTCGCGAAGAAGATTCGGCAGTGCGAGGATTTGGAGAAGAAGAAGAAGGAGGGCGCGACGTTAGATCAGTGGCAGCTCGCGAAGCTGCGGAAGAAGCCGTTCTTGAAGGCGGAGCTGAAAAATCTCATGAAGGCCGCGGGGGGCGGCGGGGAGGACGAGGAGGAGGAGGAGGAAGAGGAGAGCGACGAGGAGGAGGAGGAGAGCGACGAGGAGATGGAGAGCGATGAGGACGAGTGAACCGAGAAGGGTCGAGACGACGACGACGACGACGACGACGACGCGCGATGCTAGATGCTAGAACCTATCGCGCGCGTTAATAATCGATCGCGGAAGCTACGAACTCATCCGCGCGTCGCGTGCGTCCCCCAACAGTAGTCGGCGACGCCCGCGGCGCACAGCTCGTCGACGCCGAACGCCTCGCCGACGTCGGTCACGGGCACGGCCTCGCGCTCGACATCCTCGCGCTCATCGTCCGATCGCTCGCCCCACGCGCCGCCGGCGCCGCCGTCCCGGCCGCCGTCGTCGCGCCGCTCGCCGCCGTCGACGTCTTCGTCGCCGAAGCGTTCGCGTTCGCCGCCGAATGCGCCGAATGCATCGCCGAATGCGCCGCCGCCGACGCGTCTGTCGTGCCCGCCCACGCCGCGCGCGTCCGCCCACGCCCGCCGCCGCACGTACTCCTCCATGCTCTCCACGTCGTCGTCGTGCGGGTACGTCTCTCGCGCGTCGATCCACTCGTCGACGTACCGCGCGTATTCGTATTCGTATTCGCGCGCGTCCTCGCCGCTCGCGCCGCGCGCGGCGGCGCGGCGCGCCTCCGCGTCCCACGGGTCCACGTCCCACGGTCCCCGCGCCGCGCCGCCGCTCCCTTCCGGGGGGTACGCGGAGCTGCCCTCCGGCGTCGCGCGCGGAGGGACGCGCCGCCCGCCGTGTCGGAAGTGGTAGTCGCGCGCGTTCGGGTTGTTCCCCGCGCCGTCCGCGTCGCCGCGCGCCCACCACTTTTGGTTTTGGTTTTGGGCGCGGTTTTGGCGGGGACGCGGCGCGAACCCCCCCGCGTCATCGCGCGCGTCTTCGGCGGCGCGGTGATGACGCGGATGCCCGCCCGAGCCGCCCGATGGCGGCGGCGGCTCCGGCCGCGCGCGCGACTTCCGGTTCCGCTGCTCGTGCTCGTACCACCGCCGCCCCCCCGACGCCGCCGCCGCCGACGCCGCCGACGACGACGCGCGCCGAGTCGCGAACCCGCCGTCCCGCCCCGCCCCCGCGCCACCCCCCGCGGCGTCCGCCCACGCGCGCTGCGAGCGGAAGAACTCGTCGAACTTCTGCTCGCGGACCTCGCGCTCGCGCCGCGCGCGTTGTCGCGACGCGCGCGACGACGCGTCGTCTTCCTCGTCGCGGTGGCGATGGCGTCGGGGATATCCGCCCGAGAAATCGCCCCCGCCCGCGCCCTCGCGCGCGCCTCCCGCGTCCGGCCCGTCCCAGTACGCGCTGCTCTGCGGCGGCGCGAAATCGCTCCACCGCGCGCCGCCGCCGCCGTCCGCGTTCTCTCGCAGCACGCGGTACGCCTCCGCGACTCTGACGAAGGACTCGTGGCTGCCCCCCTCCTTGTCCGGATGCGCGCGCAGCGACGCGCGTCGAAACGCAGCCTTGAGCTCGTCCACGCTCTCGACGACGCGATGCGACGACGCGCCGTCGCGGTCCGCGTCGAGGCCGAGCTCGAGGCGCGCGGCGCGGACGTCGAGCGCGCGCTCGCCGGAGCCGCCGCGCGCGGCCGCGACGAGCAGGAGCGCGGCGAGGAGGACCCCCGCCGCGCGCGCCATCGCGTCTGACGACGAGACAGACGAGCGCGGGACCGCGGTCGCGCTCGTCGCGGTCGGCCACGCAGCGCAGCGGTCGGCGTCGCCCCTCCGCCGCGCGGCGCGCGTCAGGGATATTTTCAAAGTATCTCATGGCTAAGGCTGCCAAATGCGCGCCAAGCGTCGCCAGTCACCCGCGCGCGACCTGGCGTCGTCGCCGCAGAACGGCCTGCTTCGATCATGGCCGCGAACGCGCTTCTCGCGAGCGACCTCGCGTTCGCGCGCGTTTCGGCGCGCGCGGCGTCCTTCCGCGCGCGCTCCGCGCGATCGCGTTGCCTCTTATTCGGAAGAGAGAATAAAAAGACGCGCCGGGGCGACCACCACGCGATCGCCGCGGTCGCGGTCGTCGCGCGCCAGCCGGGCCCGTCTTTTGCGCCGTCTTCCAAGGCGAAGCCCGACGGCCGCAGAGTCGCGCTCGTCGCGAAGCAGCTCGACGCGGCCGTCGTCGGCGACCTCCTCGAGGTGGTGCTCACCCCGGGCGACGGCGGCGGACGCCTCGCGTCCGGCGAGGACGCGGAGATCGGCGTGGAGTACCTCACGGTGACCACGATCGGGACGTCGAGCGGCGGGCGCAGGCTCGTCGAGGGCGAGATTCGCGGGCTCAGAGTCCAGGTGATTCAGCAGTCCGGCAGTCAGGGCGGCGCGCGCCTCGGCGTCGTCGGGCTCGCGGTTCCCGCGAGCGCGGGGTGGCTGCGCGGGCCGCTCGAGGCGTGGAAGAGTCATCTCCCGAACCAGCGCGAGATCGAGCGATCGCTCCTCACGCAAGTCGTCGGCGTCCGCCACGTCTGCACGCTCGACCGCCTCACGAAAGCCGTGCGGCGGAATCCGGACATGTGGTGCCGCGGCGCGGACGCCGCGAGCCGCCGCGCGGTCATCACCGACCCGGTGGAGAGCGCGACGCAGCAAGCGGGCGAGCTCGTCGCGTTGCTCGAGGGCGAACGCGACGTCGTGTTGTGCCAGCTCAACGCGGGGTGGTTGAGCGCGCACGAGCAGCCCGCGGGGGCGCCGTACGTCTCGCAGCTCATCAAGCGGTGCGTCGAGAGCAGGGAGATCGCGAGCATGATCTCGGAGAGCGACGACGTCGAGGGGAACCCGGGGCTGAGCGTCGTGTTTTACAACAAGAACGGGTCGGCGAAAGCCGTCGCGCGAGCGGAGGCGGAGGCGAACGCGGCGGCGGGGGGCGGCGACGCGAAGGACGAGGCTGGCGGCGGCGACGCGAAGGACGAGGCAGGCGGCGGCGGCGGCGGCGGCGCGCTGTTGGGGTTGGCGTTCGCGAAGATGACCGGCGCGCCCGCGGGGAAGGGCAGCGGCAAGGCGAAGGGGAAGAAGGGCGCAGGCGGGCTGACGCCCGGGGAGGCGAATCAGCTCGCGGCGAAAAAGATCAGCGAGTTGGGCGCGCAGGCGGACTGCCCCGCGGTGACGCCGTACGAACGCGTGCTCGTGGGGCTCGCGCTGGGGTACGACGAGCGCGACGTCGCGTATCACTTGTCGCGGATCGGGTCGCCGTTCAGCGCGGCGCTGTTCATTCGCGCGAGGGAGGTGCTCTCGGGGCTGAAGTGATCTCGATATATATCTCGTTTTCGATCGTTTATTAAACGCGACGACGACGCTAACCTTAAGCTAAATCAAATCACCGCCTCTAAGAAGGCGCACTCGCGGCACTCCGCGTACAGAGCCTCGATCCCGAACTTGTCCACGACCGCGAACGAGAGCTCGCGACATCGACAGTCGCCGCCGCCGTGCCGCTCGTAACACTGATCCAACCGCGACTGCAAGAGCGCCAACCCGACTTCCCCGCCGCCGCCGCCCGCGCCGACGACCCCGCCCGACGCGTTCAGCGACAGTCGCAGCCCGCCGCAGCCGCAGAAGATGTTCCCGCTGGACCGCATCAACCGCCGCGACTTGCACACCGGGCACAGCACGACCGGATCGTCCGCGCGCGCGGCGGCGGCGCAGTCGAGTTGCCACGCGTCGAAACGGTCCGCCGCGTCTCGCAGCTCTCTGGACTGCTCCTCCTCCGCGCGCTCGAGCTCTTCCGCGAGCATCGCCGCCTCTTCCTTCTGCAGGTCCGCCTCTATGGACGCGTGCATCGCGAGCATGAGGGATTCGTACTCGACCTCGCTCAGGGTTTCGATCGTCTCTTGCCACGTCGTCGCGCCGTTCCCGTTCCGACTCCGACTCCGACTCCGACTCCGACGCGGCGGCGTCGCGTCCGCCCACATCTCATCATCGTCCTCGTCCTCGTCGTCCTCCCTCTCCCCCTGGGCCCCGACGCGCGCGCCCGACGCGTCGCCGCCCTGCGATGGCGTCTCTACGCCCGCGACGCTCGAAGGTCTCGCGGCCGCGTCCTCCGCGTCCTCCGCGCCGCCCTCGTCGTCGTTCGTTCGACGACGTTTCGCGCGCGAGATCTCATCCTCTAAGATCTCCTGGAGCGCCTCCTTGACGCCGCCGCGCGCGTCGCTCCCGGTCCGCGCGCGCGAGAGAATCGCGACGCGGTTCGCCTTGACGCGCTCGATCGCGTCCTCCTTCAGCTGCGCCTGTGCGGGTGTGATGAACCGAGAAGAGACGAACGGCGCGTCAGCGCGCGCGACGCGGGGACGGCGCCGTCGCGGAAAAAAAGGAAAAACGGAGGACGAGCGCGGTGACGCGTCGGTTCAAAGAGCAACGCGCGGCGGGCTGGACGCGCGGCGCGCACCTTCCACGCGCCCGACGCGCGGTGCTTGTTCCCGCGGCGACGCGGCGGCGCCGCGTCGCTCATCGCGCCGAGGAGGCGGCGAGAGCGACGTGCGTTGTGCCCCGTAGTAGCGCGCAGTAGGTGGGCACCGCGCCAGTTTTCGAACGACGCGACGTCGCGTCGCGTCGACGATGTCGTGGCAATCCACGTGGCGTGGTCGACGACACTCCTCGCGCGCGGCGGCGGTCATCATGACGCGCGCGATGCCGACGTCGCCCCCCGCCGCGGCGGCGACTTCTTCCTCGTCCGCGGTGCCCCCGCGTCGAAACGCGTCGTCCTCCGCGCCGCGGCGACGCGCCGTGGCGACGCGCGCGGCGACGCTGGACGACGCGGATTGGTTGCGATCGGCGTCGATAATCTACGCGTCGTCGCCAGCCATGGATCACGAGCGCGTTGGCCACCCGGAGTGCAACGCGCGCGTCCCCGCGATCCTCGCCGCGCTCGACGCCGCGCGAATCACCGCGAGAGACCGCCCGGGCGAGCTCGTCCTGTTGGAGGACTTCGCGCCCGCGACCGCGGAGCAGATCATGGAGGTTCACACGAAGAACTTCGTGCAGGGGCTCGACATCCTCGCGAAGACCCGCGCGCCGTGCGACGTCGACACCGCGCCGACGTACGTCACGCCCGGGTCGTACGACGCCGCGATGCGCGGCTGCGGCGCCGCCATCGCGCTCGTGGACGCGGTCGTGGCGTCGGCGAAGGCGCGCGCGGGGGAGGAAGGAGGACCCGAAAACGGCGGACTCGCGGCGACGGGGTTCGGGCTGTGCCGGCCCCCGGGGCACCACGCGACGCCGCGCGCGGCTATGGGCTTCTGCCTCTTCGGCACCGTCTCCGCGGCGGCGCGGCACGCGCAGAGAGCGCACGGACTCCAGCGCGTGTTGATATTTGACTTCGACGTGCACCACGGGAACGGCACGAACGACATCTTCCGCGACGACCCCGACGTGTTGTTCGTATCGACGCACGAGGACGGGTCGTATCCGGGGACGGGGAAACTCTCCGACGTCGGCGACGGCGACGGCGCGGGCGCGTCGATAAACATCCCGCTCCCGCCGGGGTCCGGCGACGCCGCCGCGCTCGCCGCGTTCGACGAGATCGTGGCCCCCGCGGCGTTACGATTCAAGCCGGACATCGTGCTCGTGAGCGCGGGGTACGACGCGCACTGGAGGGACGCGCTCGCGGGACTCAACTTTCGCACGGGGACGTATCATCGCCTGTCGACGCGGATCAAGGCGCTCGCGAACGAGCTGTGCGGCGGGAAGTGCGTGTTTCTGCTGGAGGGTGGGTACGACCTCGTCGGTCTGTCCGAGGGCGTCGTGGACTCGTTCCGGGGACTGTTGGGCGACGCGAGCGGCGAGCCGGGGGGGCGAGCGGAGGCGGTGCCGGGGTTGGGGGACGAGCCGGAGGATAAAGTGCGCGCGGTGCTACGAGAGGCCAAGGCGCTGCACCAGCTGTGATGATTTACAGAAGACGTCTTGTCTTCTTCATTCGTTCGCGATCGCGTCGCGTGCTATCGATGTACTACAGTACACAACACCTCTTCTTCTTTCCTCTCCCTCGTCGTCGTCGTCACTCGTCGTCGTCGTCGTCGCCGCCGCCGTCGCTTATGCCGAAGATGAACCGCAACCGGTCCAGCGTTCGCCGCGTTACCCGCGAGCCCGCGAGCCCGGCGTCGCCGCCCTCGTGAATCACGCTCAGCTCGTCCGCCTTCTCTTCCCCGCGATCCTCGCCGCCGCCCCCGCCGCCAAACTCGCTCTGTCGCGCGCGGTACGCGAGCAACCGTTCCTCGACCGTATCCGAGACGTAATACGTCACGCACCGCACCGGCCGCGTCTGCCCGATCCGATGCACCCGGTTCGCCGCCTGGGCCTCGTCTCCCGGCGAGAGAAACGGCTCGAGAAGGATCACGAGGTCCGCCTGCGTCAGCGTCAACCCCGCCGCCGCGGTGCCCGCGTGCAGCAAGAGCACCTTGACGTCCGGGTCGTCGCGGAACCGTTGAATGGCCGTCTCGTGGTCGCCGCCGCCGGCTGTACCGCCGCCGGCGCGCACGCCCACCGCGGCGACGCCGATGCCCTCCCATCGGAGCGCCGTCTCCGCGTGCCCGAGCGCGTCGCGAAGCTGCGAGAAGACCACCGCCTTGCCCGCCGCGCCCGGCGCGCGCAGCGCCTCCTTCAGGTCGCTCACGAGCGCGGCCATCTTCGGCGAGCGACGCATCGCGGCGCGGTGCAGGTGCGCCAGGAACCGCCCGCCGTCCATAGAGCACGCGGGGTACCGCCCGTCGCGGTAATCCGCGGGGTCCTCGCCGTCGGGGAGAGGGAGGCGGTTGTACAGCGCGGGCGTCGGCGCGGGGGTAAACCGCGTCGTCCCGGCGAGGTTAGATCGCAGCGCGGGGTTCGTGCTCCTGCCGCCCTTCTTCTTCTCGTCGCCGTCGCCGTCGCCGTCGCCGTCGCCGTCGCCGTCGCCGCCCGCGTCGTCGGCGTCGTCCTCCTTCGGCGGCGGCAGCAACCGGATCAGCTCGTCGATCGTGAACGGCTTCCGACACAGCGGGCACGGCGGCGCGCCCGACCCCGCGTTGGTCCCGTGCAACGGCGCGGCGTGATACCACGTCACCATGCACCGCGTGCACGCGAGATGCATGCACCGCGTGATGCACGGCGCCTTCGCGGGGGCGCAGCATATGCAGCACTGCGGCGAGTGCCCCGCCATGACGTCGTTCAAGAGCTCGAACCCGGACTGCTGCACCGTGGCGTGATCCAACGACGTCTCCGAGACGCCCTGCCCGCCCGCCGCGGCGAGCGCGCGCAGGTACGGAAGGAGCGTGCCCACCTCCGCCGCGAGACGGTTCGCGTGCTGCCGGTGCGCGTCGATCGCGACGCGAAGCGTCGTCGTCGCGTCGTGCGACCCCTGGTCCGTCAGCGCGACGTCCCCGAGCGCGGCGTGCATCGCGCCGCCGCGCGGCCGGCAACCGCCGGGCGCGTGCGTTTTCAACGCGCGCTCCGCGTCCTTCTTGCGCTGCTTCGCCTCCTTGAGCGCGCGCTGCAGCGGCGCGGGGGCGTCGACGATGACGCGCGTGGGTTTCCCGCTCGCGTCTCTCGCCTGCGCGGCGGCGCGCGCGACCTCGATCGCCTCCTCCGCCGCCGCGACGGGCGCCTCGAGTAGCGCCTTCAAGAGCGCGCGGCGAATGAAGCGGGGACCCAATCGCCTTCGCAAACCGCCTCCCTCGCTCTCCGTCGCGTCGTCGACGACGATCTCGTCGCACGAGTCGTACCCGTTCGAAGCGCGCGCGTTTTCGCGTTCCTCCGCGAGCGTCCGCGGAAACAGCTCGAACGCCTGGCCCGAGGTGATGAGCTCGACGGCGAGGAACCAGCGCAAGCGCGGCAGCGGCGCGCGCGCGGCGGTGATCGCGTCGTTCGCGAGGCGCTCCACGGTTTTCGCGATGTCCACGGCGAGGTCGACGCGCGCCTTCTTGTTCTCCGCGCGTTTCAGCGCTTTAAACGTCTCCGCGCGCTCGCAGCACGCGTCGTCGCGATCCTTCCTCGGCGGCCCCTCGCACGCGCACGGCGCGAAAACGCACGAGCACAAGTCGTTGAGACCGCCCGGAAACGCGTGCTTCAGCGGATGCAGCCGCGCGTACGCCGCCTTCGACGCGCGCTCCGCGACCGCCGCGTCGCTCGCGGCGGTCTCGGGAGAAACGGCCGAGGGAATACCGTTTCGACGCGGGTGCCGCTCCTCCGCCCCGCGCAAGATGCGAAACACGCCGTCGACGACGCTCGCGAGCTTATGCGCGAGGTCGGCGCCGCCCGCGTCCGCGTACTCCCTCGCGGTGCCGCGCCACTGCTGCCGCGCGGCTTCGAACGAGTGCATGTCCGCGTTGCGAAGCTGCCACGCCGTCATCGCGCCGCCGCCGCCTCCGCCTCCGCCTGATCCGCCGCCCGCCGCCCTCGCGGCGCCTTCGTTGGCGTCCTTAGGGCCATTCCATACAAGCGAATGTCGGGGTGGAGTTGAAAGGCGTCAGATGGAGTTGAAAGGCATCGAGGGCGGGGATCGAAAGCGTGGTGTGGGCGGAGAGACACGCCGGCAAAAGTCCTTAAGGATCGGCGTTCACCACGCCAGCGCGGTCGTATGGGAACCAGTGTATAGAACGCACCTTAGGCGTCATCAACTCCACGAGCGCCGCCGCCGCGGGGAGCGCGCGGACGCGGTTGAAATCCACCGCCGCCGCGGCGACGGCGTCGTCGATGCGACCGTGGCCGTGATAATCGCGTCTGAAGCCGGCGCCGCCGGCGTCGCGCGTCGCCGCCGCGCGAAGCGCCTGCTCCACGTCCCGGAGGTGGCTCCTCACGAGCGCGCTCGACGTCGTCGCGCCTCTGACGAGTCGCAGCAGCCGGCTCGCGAGCTGCCTGGCCTCGTTCACCCGCCCCGCGGTGTAGTGCCGCGCGTGTCGCGGCAGCGCGTCGTCGTCGTCGTCGTCGTCCGAGCCGCCCCGTTCGAGACGCGCGACGTGCGAGAGGATCGTCAGCGCGCCGCGGAGCGCGGCGGCGGCGTGGTTTTCGAGAAAGCCGCACACGAACCGCTCGGACGGCGCCTCGTCGATCGCGGCGCCGTGCGTCACCATCCGAAGCTCGCGGCCCGCGGGCGGGAGCGTCAGAAGCGGCGTGTCGTCCGCCGTCCGCCGCTGCGCTTTCGTGTGACGCACGGCGACGCCGCGCAAGAGCGCGTGTAACAGCGGAAGCGCCTCCGGGTCTTTCCGCGACCACGGAACGCCGACTCTGTGCGACCAAAACCCGTCGGTCTGGTCCGGAAGACAAAACGGCCAGACCCCCAAGAACGCGAGCTCGCCGTTGAGGTCGTCCACGCCCTGGTGCAGCGGCGTGCCGCTGACCATCCACCGGAAATCCGATCTCAGGCACCGGCACGCCACCGCGAGCTGCGTCGTCGACGATCGAACCATCTGGCACTCGTCCAAGACGACTCTGCGCCAGCTCACTTTCGAGAGAACTTTCGCGGCGCCCGAGCCGCTCTTTCCCTTCGCCACCTCCTTCTGCAGCTGCGGGTACGTCGCGAGGACGACGTCCGCTTTCGCGAGCTCCGCGGCGACGTCCGCGTCCGACGCCTTCAGCTCGGGTAAGGCGTCGGACCCTAAACCCTTGACCTTACCGCCTTTTTTCGCGCCGCCGCCCTTCCCGCCGCCCTTCCCTCCGCCCTTGCCGCCGTACACGACGAGCGCGAGCGACGACTCGTTCAGACACTTCTTCACCTCGGCCTCCCACTGCCGCAACAACGGCGGCGGGACGACGACGAGCGTCGCGCGCGACGGCACCGACCCGTTTTCGCGGTCGTCCGGGATGGCCGCGCGCGCCGACTTCTGCGCCTCGCACGCCTCGCTGACCGCGTCCCTGATCGTGATCTCTCCGCGTCTGATCTTCTCGTCGACGCTCTCCATGTACTCCTCGTACGCCGCCCGCCCTCTCGCGTCCGCCTCCTTCCGCAGCGCGTCCTTCGGCTTGCACTGCTTCGCCCATCGACCCGCCGCGAGCGTCTCGCTCTCGAGCTTCACGCCTCGGTTGGCTTGGAGGTCGTGCGCGATTAACGCCAAAACCTCGATCGTTTTCCCTAGCCCCATCTCCTCGCACACCATCCCGCCGCGCGACATCGGCGGCTCGTCCAAGCGCAGCTCGCCGGCGAGGGGGAAGTACCAGTAACTCCCCCGGCGCTTCACCCCGCGCGTGGCGTCGGCGGCGGTTTTGGTTTTCACGCCGTCGACGTCGTCGCCGTCGTCGTCGTCGTCGTCCGCGTCCGCGAACCGTCGCTCCTCCCAAAACACGCCGTTCAACCCCCTGGGCGCGGCCTCCTGATCCATCATCCACCGGACCGTCTGCCGCTGAAAGTCCATGAGCGGCAGCGCCAACTCCCGCGGCTGCGGCGCCTCCGCGTAGCCGTCGGTCACCGCGGCCGCGAGGAGCCCCGGCAGCGTGAAACAAAACCCCGGGTCGTCGCTCCCCCCCGCGGCGTCGGCGTCGACGACGAACGTCGGACGACGCGCCGCGTCCGTCCGCGGCGGCGCCACGCGATGCCGCACCGGCGCGGACGGCGTCAGGTGCCGCATGATAAATTTGATCTCGTCGCACGCGATGAGCTCGAACGCGAGTCGCCCGAAGTAACACGCGAGCGTGATGGTCACCGCGCCGTCGTCGTTCGCGTCGGCGTCCCACGCCGGCAGCGGCTTGGCGTTCTCCTCCACCTCGATCTCCTCCACGAACTCGATCGACGAGTCGCCGTCGCACGCCGCCTCGGTCTTCACGATCGACCGCGTCGTCGCGAAAGGGTTCTTCGCGGGGCGGCATTCCTTGTCGAAGTCGGCGACGCGATACGTCTCGTCGTCGCCGTCGTCGTATCGCACGGTGATTTGGTACTCGTCCTCCGGCACGACGCGCATGACGACGCCGCGGTAGCTCTTCCCGTCCTCGAACGTCTTCGCGACGACCTCACCGACCGCGGGCAGCGACGGCGGGAGCGGCGACGACCCGGGGGACGCCTTCGTCGGCGCGTTCACGCAGACGCATCGGAGGTAAGGCACGCGCCACGGCGTCGAGACGGGATGCTGCGCGTTGGCGAGATCTCGAAGGAGCTGCCCGCCGTGGCGCTCTTTCACGCACACGTCGCCTCGCGCGGCCGCGTCCGCGAGCTTCCCGACGGGTATCACGTTGCCGTCGTGCCCGGGCTCGCCGAGCTCGTTCCACGTCTCCACGCCGCGCTCCTTCGACTTGTAGTTTTGTCGCTTCATGAGGCGTCGCGACCGCTTCACCGGCGCCGCGAGCGCGTCGAGGACGTCCTCGACGCGCGCGTGCTCCGACGTCGACGGCAGCGACAGCGTCAGCGTCGCGGTGCCGAGGAGCCGGAACTCGTGCAGCGTGCCCGTGGACGCGCGCGTCGCCGCGTCCGCGGTGTGCCAGTCGTCCGGGGCGCGCGATCTCGTGCCGACGCCGCGCGCGAACGCGTCGTCGAACGCGATCGTCGCGGGGTACCGCCGCTCCGCGGGGAGCGGCGGGACGATCCTCCGCGGAGGCGCCTTCTTCGCCTTCTTCTTCTTCGCGGGCGCGGCGTCGCCCGAAGCGAGGCCGCCGCCGGGGGGGCGGCCTCGCTTCTTCGGCGCACCCTTGGGCGGCATCGCGCGCGCGATGGCGGGAATGAGAGGAGGTGCCACGTTATGTTTGTGTTTTCGAGAAATAATTTTATTGAAGCTTCTTCACCGTCGAGACCGCGCGTCCGCCGCCCGCGCGTCACTTCACGAACGGCATCGGGCACTTGCTCTTCGCGTCCGCGCCGCTCCCGCCCTTCGTCTCGATCCCTCTCTCCCACCACCCCTCGCCGATGTCCTTCGCCGGTCGAAGGTTCGCCCAGTCCACCGCGTCGCCGCCGCCCTTTCGACGCGTCTCTCTCCTCGTCGCGTTCACGAGCATCCCGTCTCGCGTGTGAATCGTCGCCCCGGACGTCATCACGACGTCGTGCCCGGCCACGAGCTCCATGTCGAGCCTGCGGAAGAGCACCGCCCAGATCGCCATTCCCTCCAGAACCGCGAACTTATCCCCGGGGCACCGTCGCGGCCCCGCGCTGAACGGCGTGTACCGGTAGCCCGTGTTGAGCTCGTTGGGCTGACCCGCGGACAACGGGCCGAATCGCATCGGCTCGAACGCCTGCGACGCCGGGCCCCAGTTCGCGGGCGAGCGGTGCAGGTTATAGATGGACACGAGGAGGTCCTGCCCCGCGGGGATCGTGCCGAGGCCGTGCGGGAGGACATCCTCGACGACCGCGCGTCGCGTGTACACCGGAGGCTGCGGGTACAGGCGCATGGACTCGTGGAAACACCGCTCCAAGTACGGCAACTTCAGCATGTCCGCGTAGTCCGGAAACGGCTTATCGCCCAAGACTTCGTCGAGCTCCGCGCGCAGAAGACGCAGCTGCTCCGCGTTCTCCGGTTTCAGGAGCTCGAACGTCCCCCACGTCAGCACGGACGCGGTCGTCTCGTGTCCAGCGACGAGCAGAGAGAGGAGGTCGTCTCGCAACTGCGTCGAGGACACCTCCTCGCGCGCGGCGATGAGGTATCGCAACACGCTCGGGTTCGCGTCGTTGAGGTAGTCGCGCGCCCACGCCTCCGCGCCACCGACGGCTTCTTCCTCTTCGACCATCTTCTTGCAGTCATCCACGAGTTTTGTCGTGACCTCTTGGATCACGGTCACGGCGTCTTGCGCCGCCTTCTGGCGCGGCGAGACGATTCGCAAAAACTGCTCCGGGAGCCGCCACGTCGGCAGCAAGTCCATCGACCGCGTCTCCACCTCCTTGAGCGCGGTGTACGTCGCCTGAATGACCGGCGCCGCGGACGTCAGCGCTTTGAAGTCGTAGTTGAACACCGAGATGCCGATGATGTCGAGCGCGGCTTGCGAAAATTTGCTCTCCATGTTGACGCGTTCCCTCCGCCCGCCGTCAGCGTTGATCTGATCCTCGACGAGCGACACCATGCGGTCCGCGCACGGGCCGAAGCACCGGTCGACCATCGCCTCGACGTACCTACGATGCAGCGACGGCGCGACGGCTTTCCGTCGTATCTTCCACGCCTCGTTCTCCTGCAACGCGACGCCCAATCCGAAGAGAAACGCGCCGGCTTCCGCGATCGTGCCCTTGATGTACTTGCTTCCGTAGTTGAAGAGGACCTGCTTGATGCAGTCCGGGTCGCTGACGACGACGTAGGACGTGATCGGCCCGGTCGGGAGGAGGTACACCGGCCCCGCTTCCTTCATCCACTTGAACAGCGGCTGGAAGAGACCGCCGCCGAGGAGGCCGGTGATGTCGTCGAGCTTCGCGTCCGCGACTGGGATCTCGCTCTTCCCGCCCCACAGTCGGTTCAGCTGCGTCATCCAGTCCGGCGCGGCCATCGTCGCGCCGGCGCCGTCTTTATTGCTGATCGCCGCGGCGTCTTTTTGCGGCGAGACGAATTCGATCGCGTCGACGTCGAACTCCTCGATGCCGTCGGACCACTTATCCGCGGTCTCGACGGCGACGGACGCGGACGACGACGACGACGACGACGACGACGACGACGACGACGTCGTCTCCGGCTCTCGGACCGAGGCGAAGGTTTTCGTCGTCGCGCCGCGGGCGCGCGCGCGTCGCGAGGACGCGCGGCGGTTCGCGCGCGCGGGGGGCGCGCGGCGCCCTAACGCGAGCGAGACGCTCGGGGACGCGATGACGCCGTGCATGGTGGACGGGGCGACGCGCGAGGGAATGACGACGGCGTGTCGTAAAACAGGCGCCGACTTGGTTCTTATCTGAAAAGCGAATCTTGTCGGCGGCTTCGCCGTCAGACGTCAACCGCGTGACTGTTTGCTCATACAGCACTGTACAAAAGTACGTGCATCTACCGCCCCAGACGACGAATTTAGCTCGGACGCGACGATTCGTGTTCGTCGCCTCGCGCCTCATCAACGCGCGCGTCGCGTCGTTCACTTCGCGCGACGCATGGCGCCGCGACGAGCGCGCCCCGCGGCGGAGACGGACGCGCCCGCGTCCGAGGTCGACGTCCGCCTCTACACCCTCGCGGACGCGGAGGAAGGGAAAGCGAGGGACGACGACGGCGACGACGACGACGACGACGACGACGACGACGACGCATTGACCGCCGATCCGGTTCGACTGCCGGGCACGGGCGAGATCGACGCGGCGGCGTCCGCGACGATGTCGCGCATCGCGCGCGTCGCCTCGCGCGCGCTCGATCCTCTCGACGCGCACGAGGTCGACGACAGCGACAGCGACGGCGACTCGAGCTCCTCGGACGCGGATCGATCCGACGTGGACGACCCCGTCGCGGACGCGACGATGGAGCGCATCTTCGCGACGTCGCGCGCGACGCCGCACGACGACGCGCACGACCGCTCGTGCGACACGCGCAAGAACGAGGAGCACGTCACGCGCTCGGACCGCGCGACGCTCGAGTCCGAGATGCGGAAGCTGCGCGACGAGCGGATCGCGGAGCGCGCGGTATCGAACGGAGGTGGAGGAGGAGGAGGAGGAAACGGCGGCGGCAGCGGCGCGAGCTCCTCCGACGGTTCGTTTCGCGATCTCGGGCCGCTCGCGACGGTCGCGGAGGACGGGGACGATCACCGCCGCGAGGAGCGCGCGGACGTCGCGGAGGAGACGCGGAGGCGCACCGCACGCGCGCGCGAGGACGGCGGCGGCGGCGCGCGAGGCGGCGGCGGCGGCGACGTCGTCGCGCGAAAGCGGCTCGCGTCGCGATCGCCCGCGTCGTTCGTCGGCCTCGCGAATTTTTTCAACGCGGGGGGCGGCGGGTCTTCGAATAACGCCTCGTATTCGAGCGTTACCAGTATCGGCGGCGGCGACGGCCACTCCAAGCACTCCCCGACGCAAAACCTCCTCCCCGCGGACGTCCCGGTGATACGCTTACGCCGCACGTCGTCGTACTTCGTCGCGGACGGCTCGACCGGAGCGTCGTCCAAGCTGTCGTCCTCCATCTGCGGCTGCGACGGCCTCGACGGCGGCGGCGGCGTCTCCACAGAGGACATCATGCGCAAGCGCCGCAACGAGCTCATCACGTACCGACTCCGCGTCGCCGGGTTCGGCAAGCTGTGCGTCACGCTCCTCGCGGGCGTCCTCGCCGGCGTCGTGATGTGGGCGATGACCACGGTCACCGCGAAGCTGACGCAACTCAAGTTCGACAAGACGCGAGCGCTGCTGTCCTCCGAAGACGTCGCGACCGCGTGGGCGTACTACGCCGGCGTCGCGATGGCGTCCGTGGGCGCGACCGCGTTCACGGTGCTGCACCCGCGAGGGTGCCCGATGGCGCGCGGCAGCGGCATCCCCGAGCTGAAGGGCTACCTCAACGGCAACCGACAGCGAGGGCTGTTTCACTGGCGAACGTTCCTCGGTCGCAGCGTCGGCGTCTGCCTCGTCATCGTCGCGACGATGCCGTTCGGTCGCGAGGGCCCGTCCGTGCACATCGGCGCGTGCGTCGCGAGCATGAGCCTGAACCTCCCGTGGCGGAAGTACCTGGGGTGGCAGCCTTCGCCGGAGGAACGGCGTCAGATTTTACAGCTCGGCTCCGCGGCGGGCGTCGCCGGCGCGTTCAACGCGCCCATCGGCGGCTTACTGTACGTCATGGAAGAGATCGCGTCGACGCTGCCGCCGGACTACGTCTGGAGGGCGATGATCACCGCGGGGATGGCCGTCGGCGTCGCGCAGGTGTTATACAGCGCGAACGAGGGCAGGGTCGATTACACGAGCCTCGTCATCTCGGACCCGAACTCGTCCACCGGGTGGGACATGTCCGAGATTCCGCTGATCGTCGTCCTCGCCGTGCTCGCCGGCGCGCTGTCCGCGCTCTTCACCGTCGCCGCGGACTTTTTTGGGAGCGTTCGCCGCGGGAAAGTGCGGTGGGTGCCGACCAAGATGAGGGCGTTCCTCGCGTCGAAGCACGGGCAGTTGATCGACGCGGTGCTCTCCGCCGCGCTCGTCGCGAGTTGCCAAATTTTGATTCCGCTGGCGTACAGCTGTCGCGCCGCGCCGGGGGAGTACGACCCGTACGACCCCTCCACCGAGGCCGCGTCGGGCGCCGCCGCGCGATCTCTTCAGACGGTGATCCAAATCCCGCGGACGTTCGTGCCGTACACGTGCGCGGACGGCGAATTCTCCGAGATGGCGACGTTGATGCTTCAAAACGAAGAGGGCGTCGTGAAGCACCTCTTCGCTAGGGACGAGCTGTACAGCGAGAAGCTCTTCACCGCGCCCGTGGTGGCCGCGTTTCTGGCGTACTTCTTCGTCATCGCGAGCGTCACCACCGGCGGCGCGTTCCCCGCCGGGGTATTCATCCCGAACATGCTCATGGGCGCCGCGCTCGGCCGCCTGTTCGGGTTCCTCGCCGAGTGGTGCGTTTTATCTCACACTGGTCCCCATACGACCGCGTCGGCGTGGTGAACGCCGATCCTTAAGGACTTTTGCGGGCGCATCTCTCCGCCCAGGGTCCCTCGCTTTCAATACCCGCACTCGACGCCTTTCAACTCCGTCTGACGCCTTTGAACTCCAGGGTCACCCCCGCGGCGAACAAGGGCACGTACGCGCTCATCGGCTCCGCGGCGATGCTGTCCGGGTTCTCGAGGATGACCGCCGCGGTGACGGTGATCATGATCGAGGTGACGTCGTCGTTGGACGTCCTCGCGCCGATCATTCTGTCGTGCATCGTCGCGCGGTTCGTCGCGCAGTACCTCGTCGGGCACAACCTCGACGAGAGGCTCATCCTCGCGAAGGGGGTGCCGTTCTTAGAGCACGACGCGCACCCGTCCACGGCGTCGACGCGCATCGGCGACGCGCTCGCGGAGGCGGACAAACGCCGCGGGCCGGTGATCGCGTTTCGACCGCAGGAGAGGCTCCAAGTGCTGTTGAACGCGCTGCTGTTGACGGACCACAACGCGTTTCCCGTTTTGGACGACGTCGAGAGAAACACCGGCATCGGCGGCTTGGTCACGCGCGCGATGTTACAACGCGTCTTGCGGATCGTCCTCGAGAACAGCACGAGCGAGGAGGGCGTCGCGAAAGCGCACGACGACGACGCGGAGGAAGGGAAGGACGGGTTGGGTCCGCTCCCGCCGCCCGCGGCGGAGAGAGCGGCGGTGCCGATGCCGAAACCTCGCGGCCGGTCGTGGTTCGCGCGCGACGGCGGCGACGACGGCGGCGGCGGCGGCGACGCGACGCGCGGCCGACGACGAACCCGCCGCTCGTTCGAGGACTGGTCCGTGGAGGGGTTCGAGGACCGGACCTCCGCGCAGTCGCCGCCGCCGGCGCGAAGGGACCGACGCGCGATCGAGACCGTGGACGCGGACGCCCCGTCGCCGCGCGCGTCCGCCGGCGCCGCCGGCGGTTCTTCCAACGCCAACGGCGGTTCTTCCAACCCCAACGGCGGGTCCGGGTCCGCCGCGAAGAAGAAAGACGCCGACGGCGACTTCATGCGCACGGTCGCGCGATGGACGCGCGCGCACTCCACCGCGGTCCCGCGCTCGTGCCACCCAACCCGGAGCTCGTCGAAGTGCGGCGGGTCGAGCGAGCCGGGGGTGGCGACGCGCGTCGGCGCCGCCGCGGCGGCGAGCGGCGGCAAACCCACCGTAGCGCGCGCCGACGACAGCAACCACTTCGACGAGCTCAAGGAGGGCCTCGTTGCGCAGATACGCGAGGGCGTGAAGCACGTCCCGAACGAGCAGCTGTCGCGGATGGTGGACCTGACGCACGCGGTGGATAAGGCGCCGTGGACCGTGGACGCCGCGATGAAGTTGGCGCGCGTTCATGCGTTGTTCTCGCGGCTCGGCGTCCGACATTTGTGCGTGACGTCGCGCGGCGGGAACAAGCTCGAGGGGATCATCACGCGGCACGACTTGATTCACGTCCATAGGAGGGCGCAGGAGCACTGAGACTGCAGTGCTGTGTGTGTGTGTGTGCGGCGCTGGGGGGATGGCGAGGAAGCGCCGCGAGGACGCGGCGTTCTCGTCGCGTCTAAAATCTATCTATGTTTTGATTTTTAATGTATGAACGCATCACGTCTTCTGCTCGTCGTCACCGCGTCTTCGACGCGAGAAACGCGCGCCGCGCCTCCTTGGTCTTCTCCGAGCACTTCTCCAGCCTCTCGTCCAACAACCCCGCCGCGATCAGCGGCCGTATCCCCGGGTTCCCGTCGTTGCACCCGCCCACGTACTCCCCCGCGATCCAGACGGACGGGATCGACGACCGCCCCGTGAGCGTCGCGAGCGCGGGCGCGAACCCGCTCCCGCCCTCGATCTGATTCCACTCGTACGCGCTGAACCGCACGCCCTCCGCTCGCAGCGCCGCCTTCGCCGCGGCGCTGAACGGGCAGTACGTCGCGCTGAAGACGACGACGTCGTCGGACGCGATGAGCGATCGCACCGTCGCGAGCGACTTCTCCGCGTCGTACGACGGGTCCCACACCTCCGCGAGCTTGGTCGTGATCCACGTCTTGAGCGGCGAGTTCACGAGCCACGCCGGCGCCGGGTGCTCGATGAGCCAGTCCCCGGTGGCGTCGTAGACCTTCGCGAGCGGCGACGGCAGGTCGATCTTCTCCCCGGGGCGGTCCGCGTCGTTCGGGGAGGAGGAGGCGGAGACGCGGAAGCGATCGCGATCTCGACGCGGTCGTCGACGCGTCGACGACGACGACGACGACGACGCGGGCGCGGGCGCGGACGCGCGACGCGGGCGCGGGCGCGACGGCGCGACGCCGGCGACCGAGGCGACCGCGGCGACCGAGGCGTTCATCGAAATCGACGCGTCGACCTCCGTGCGCGGCGCGAGGTGGCCGGGGCGCGGGCGACGCGTCGGCTTCCAGAGTCGAGACGCGCGAGCGGTGAACGTTGACGACGCGTGACTCGGATTATTTTCGATTCCATCACATCGCCGCCCGCGCGTCCGCACGCGCCGCGACCTCCCACTCCGACCATGGCGCCCCCCCTCCTCGCGATCGCGAGCTTCGGCGTGTACGCGTACACCATCTACTGGTACGCCATCCCCGGCGCCGGGTACCTCCCCGCGGGGAAGCAGGACGTCCCGGCGTGGATAGGAAACCTCTCCCTCGAGCTTCCGCTCGCGGCGACGGTCCTGTACCTCGGCATGTGCTACTTCGGCCCGAAGATCATGGCGAAGAGGAACGCGTTCGATCCGAAGGGGTTCATGCTCGTGTACAACGCGTACCAGACCGCGTTCAACGTCGCGACCGTGGCGCTGTTCGTCACGGAGCTCAAGCGCCTGAGCGTCGACCCGTGGGGCGGCCGACTGAAGTGGAAAAACCCGGAATCGTTCCGCATCTGCCTCGGCATCTGGCTCCACTACAACAACAAGTACCTCGAGCTGCTCGACACCGTCTTCATGGTCGTGCGCAAGAAGACCGAACAGGTGTCCTTCCTGCACGTCTACCACCACTGCCTCCTCATCTGGGCGTGGTGGCTCGTGTGCTTCACGATAAAAAACAACGATTGCGTCGACGCCTACTTTGGCGCGTGCATGAACGCGGGGATTCACGTGATCATGTACTCGTACTACCTCATGGCCGCGCTGAAGATCGCGTGCCCGTGGAAGAAGTACATCACCCAAGCGCAGATGCTGCAGTTCGTGATATGTTTCGCGCACGCGGTGTTCGTGTTGAGAGACGGGCACTGCCCGCGCGTGTTGCCGTACTCGCAGATGTTCGTCATGGCGAACATGCTCTACCTCTTCGGGCAGTTTTACGTCAAGTCGTACAAGAAGAAGAAGGTCGGCGCCGCGAAGAAGACGGACGGGGAGAAGGAGGAGGAGGACGCCCCCGCGGCGAGGCCGAGAAGGCGCCGCGCGTGATGATCGCGACTCGCGCGTCTTCTATTATCGCGCCGCCGCGTTCTGTTCTGTTCTGAAATCGAAAGAGAACGAACGCTCCGTGAATGATATCCCATCGCGGCGCGTTCGTCGTCTGCTCTACTCACGCCGCCCTCCCTCCGGGCTTCCGCACTGAGAAGAAGATGAACTGCCGCTCGCGCTTCCTCTCGAACCGCTCCAGCCCGCACATCCCCGTCGTCAGATCCCTGAGCTCCTTCTCGCTCCAAAACTGGTTAAACGCGCCCCCCGTGCCGAGCCCGCTCTCTCGAAACGCCGCGCTCAACGGCTGCACCATCTCGTCGCTCCCCAGCGCGTCCCCGAGCATCGACGTCGGGTCCAAAAACGTGCTCGCGATGAACACCCCGCCGGGACGCAACACCCTCGATATCTCCGCGACCGCGGCGGACGGCGACGGCCAGCAGTGCATCGCCGCGCCCGCGTGCACGGCGTCGAACGACCCAGTCGCGAACGGCAGCCGCCCGACGTCCGCGCGGACGAACGACAGCCGCGTCGACGTCGTCGACGTCGACGTCGACGTCGACGCGCTCGCTCTCGCGGCGGCGTCCTCCTCCTCCCACCCCGCCTCCCACACCGGCTTCCGTCGCAGCGCGTTCGATAACCTCGCGTCCGCCTCGCAGTACGCCTTCGTCTGTCGCATCATCGACGCGCTGAAGTCGCTCGCGACGACGTGCGCGAACTCGCCGCTCGCCGCGAATCGCCTGGAGAAGAGGCCGCTGCCGCAGCTCACGTCGAGCAACGTCGCGCGCGGCGCGGTCGTCGCGCCCGCGCCGCGCAAGAACGTCATCGCGATCTCGGTCTCCTCCTCCTCGCCCGGGAACCCCGCCCACGCGAACGACTGCCTCCATCCGTTTTCGTACGCCGCGGAGATGACGTCGCTCTGGAAGAGCCTCGTCCCCGATCGCTGCGGCTCCGCGTACGCGCCCGCCGCGCCGTTCGCGTCGAGGCACAGGTCCAAGATGCCGTCCTTGGTCGGGTACGCGTCTCGCGCGCAGCGCGCGCATCGCAGCGACCCGGCGGGGAACGGCGTCAGGCATATCGGGCACGCGAGCAGCGCGGGCGTCGAGAGCTTCTTCGTCACCGGCGCCTTCGCGAAGGCTTGCTCTAAGATCTCGATCTCGTCGCCGCTCCCTCCGGGGGCGGACGCGCGCGGGGTCAGGACGGAGACGCGCCGCGAGGGCTTCGAGGGACGCGGCTTCACGAGCGCGGGGCGCGCCGCGCGCGCGGCGAGCGACTGCATCGGCGTCGCCGTCGTGCGTCGGGCGCGGACGCCACTGACGAAGATCCGCGGTGACGTGTCAAAACCGTTTATTCCGCGCGAGAAAATGTTCGAAGCGCGAAAGGACGACTTCTTGATGATAGACGATTTAGGGTTTCCCCCCCCCATTCTCGACGCGCGAGGACGACCCGCGCGCGAGTCCGATCACGCCGAGCAGCGTCATGGCGTGCGTCACGACCGCCGCGAGCGCGAACCCGCGCGCGCTTCTCGCGCGCCGCGGGCGCTTCAACGCCGGCGGCGAGATCGCGCTCGGGGGCGCGCGCACGAAAAAAATCGTCGCGTCGACGACGACGCGCGCCAACTCCCCGTTCATCCCCGACGAGTTCCAGTCCTCGAAGAAGCCGCGGAAGGTCCTTCTCCCCGGCGACGAGGGCTACGAGCGCGCGAACGGCGTCGAAGGCCTGAGCGCGAGGCAGATCGCGATGATGGGCCTAGGCCCGGACCAAGCGCATCGCCGACCGGACGTCGACCCGTTCAGCATATCCGCGCGCGCGTCGTACCGAAACGAGATGCCGTGCGAGGCGAACGGCGGCCCGGTGAGCATGACGACCGCGATGTCCGGCGGGGGCAACTTCACGATGAGCGCGGGGATGAACACCGGCGGCGCGGGCCCGCCCCCGGATCTCCCGTCGCTCCTACTGAACGCGCGAATCGTCTACATCGGCATGCCCCTCCTCCCGGCGGTCACAGAGCTCGTCGTCGCGGAGCTTCTGTTCCTCAACTACGAACAGAACGAGCGACCGGGGTACATGTACATCCACAGCGGCGGGAGCATCAACGAGAAGGGCGAGGTGGTCGGCATCGACACCGAGGCGTACGCCATCCTTGACACCATGCGGTACATCAAGCCGAAGATGCACACCGTCGCCGTCGGGAAATGCTTCGGGAACGCCGCGATGCTCCTCGCGGCGGGGCATCCGGGGTGCCGGCACGCGCTGCCCAACGCGCAGATCATGACGCACCCGCCGAAGCTGAACCGGACGTTCGACACCGCGGTGAACGTGCAGATCCGAGCGAACGAGATCGACGTGTGCGAGGACACGTACATGGGATTCATGTCGGAGTTTAGCGGGAAACCCCAGGAGGAGGTGACGAGAGACCTCGATCGCCGGAGGTACTTCACGCCGAAGCAAGCGATCGAGTACGGTTTGATCGATAGGATCATTCAGAAGGGGAGCGACGTGTTCGAGAGGAAGGACTACGAGCGCGAGACGCAGCAGTTCCAGGCGCAGATGCAAAACGCGCAGAGGAATCAGCAGATGCAACAGAGGAGCCGCTGAGATAGAGAGAGAGAGAGAGAGAGAAGACAAGCGCGGCGGCGCGTCTCGTGTACACCAACCCAACCATGATACGTAGCCGATGTAATCAGTACGGCAGTGAAAGCTACGGTAAAACATACCTACAGTACAACGACAACCTCTACAACACGCGCGCGCGTCCGTCGAAAGAATCGATCGTCCGGGCGGTTCGCTCGCCGTCGCCGTCGCGAGACGACGGAGGAAAGAATCGATTCACGCCTTGCTGCCCCCACCCCCGTCCCCACCGCTCATCTCCACCCCGAGCTTCGCGCGCTGATACATCCAGAACCCGACCATCGCGATCGAGTACCCGATCACCTGCGTGCCCGTCATCGCGCTGTTGAAGATCATCACGCTGACTACGATGACCACCGTATTTTTCACCTGCCCGACGACTTTAAACGTCAACCCGCTCGTGCTCTTGATCACCGCGAGCGTGAGCAAGTTCACTAAGAATCCTAAGAACGCCGCGGTGAGGTACTTGTGCGGCGCGTTCGCGATCCTCGCGAACCCGTCCTCTTCCGCGAAAGTTCTGTATTCGAACACCGCGAAGCCGGCGACGAGGAACAACAGCGACGCCGGCGCCATCACGTACAACCTTCGTCCGAACGTCGGGGTGGAGTTCAAAGGCGTCAGGTGGAGTTGAAAGGCATCGAGGTGTGTCGGGATTGAAAGCGAGGGGTGGGCGGAGAGATGCGCCGGGAAAAGTCCTTAAGGATCGGCGTTCACCACGCCGACGCGGTCGTACGGGAACCAGTGTATAGAACGCACCCCTCCAGGAGGTCGAACCGCAAGTTCCCGAGCAAGAACTGCAGGACCGCCATCCTGAGCGCCTCGGAGAACTCGGACGTGATCATCATCGCGACGCCGACCCACTGGAACGCGATCTCGCCGTACGCCGCGAGCGCGGTCCCCAACGTCAGCACGATCACCCCCGCGATCGTGTCCGGCCGCGGCTTCTCGAGCCCGCAGCCGACCATGACGCACATCGTGATGAACGGCACGATCGCCTTGAGCATCTGAATGAACGACACGGACAGGTACAGGTACGTGTAGTTCCCGAGCGCGAGAGACAGCGCGGCGAACCCGCCGATCGGGAGGACGTGCCGGACGTACCACCCCGCGGTCATGTGTTGGCTCCTCTCGAGGCGAACGAGGCCGAAGGTGACGAGCAGCGACGACGTCGTCCACGACGCCGCGAGGCCCATGCTGCACAGGCATATCGGGTAGTGGAACCCGTCCTCGGTGAGGAGGTGATTGTTCAGGAAGATCAGCGAGCTCGACGCGGTCGACCACGCGACGATGTACATCAGCGCGAGCACGCCCTGTCGAGATCGAGAGATGAACGAGCGGTGATGGGTTAGGTTTCGCCGAGAGAACGGACAGAGCGAACGGAAGGAAATACGAGACGACCGCGGGAGCGCGCGACGCGACGCGGCGCGGGCGCGAGGGTCGCGTCGGGGAAGGCGCGCGCGCGCCTTGGATCGAATCCTCATCTCGCGCGGACGCGGCGCGTGGCGTCTGCGCGTGCCTCCGCGCGAGGCGTTGTGCAGATCGCGCGCGCGAGGCGACGGCGTACGGCCAACGGCGGAGCAGTTTTTTTTTCGCGCTGAGATGACAGGCCGACCGCGACCGCGACCGCGACCTCTTCTGCCGACGCCGTTCACTCTTCGCGCCGCGCGCGACGCTCTCCCCACCCCCCGCGTCGCTCACGATGAAGCTCGGGGACGCGCTCGTGCTCGCGAAGACGAAGGTCGAGTCCGTGGACCAGGTCCGGAACTTGAACCTCTGGGGGAACGGCCTCACCGACGTCGAGGTGCGCGAGGCGCGCCCGTCGCGTCCGTCGTCGCGCTCGCGTTCGCTTTTCGAATTCTTCGCGCCTCGTCCCTCCGCCCTCCCCGCGCGTCGCCTGACCCGCGTCCGTCCATCGCGCCGTGCCCGCCCCCCGGCGCGCTGCACCCATCACAATCGTAGCTCGTGACGAAGATGCCGCTGTTAGAGATGCTCTCGCTCAGCGTGAACCAGCTGTCGACGCTGCGACCGTTCGCGAGGTGCGCCAAGCTGACGGAGCTGCACCTGCGCAAGAACGAGATCGCGGACCTGGACGAGCTGCGGCACCTCGTCGGTCTCAGGCGCGTTGTCCTCACACTGGTTCCCACACGACCCCGTTCGCGCGGTGAACGCCGTTTAGTTCTCGAGGACTTTCCCCGGCGTTCGTCCCCGCCGCCCGCGCCTCGGTTTCAATCCCGACACACCGCGACGCCTCACGACTCCATCTGATGACGCATTTCAACTCCACCCCGACGTCGCTTCTTCGCACGGAACGACCCTCATCAGACACCTGCGCGTGCTGTGGCTGTGCGATAACCCGTGCGCGGAGGTCCCGGGGTATCGCGCGCGCGTCGTCCTCGCGCTGCCGAGGCTGGAGAAGCTGGACAACGAGGAGATCACGGAGCGGGAGAGAGAGGAGGCCGCGGCCGTCGTCGCCGCGGCGAACGCGGCGTCGCCGAAACTGAGGTGCGTTCTATACACTGGTCCCCATACGACCGCGTTGGCGTGGTGAACGCCGTTCCTTAAGGACTTTTGCCGTCGTCTCTGTCCGCCCACACCACGGTTTCAATCCCCGTCCTCGATGTCTTTCAACGCCAACTGACGCCTTTGAACTCCACCCCAACATTCGCTCGTATAGAACGGCCCTGAAATCGCCGCCGCCGTCGCGGTCGCCGCCGCGGTCGCCGCTGCGGTCGCCGGCGAGGAAGTACGCCGCCGAGAGCGGCGCCGGCGGCGGCGCGGGGCCGACGTCGCCGACGTCGCGGGGGAGCGCGCCGTCGACGCCGCGCGGCGGGTTCGGGTCGAGTGGTAAGAAGGGCCCGGGACGATTTCATCGCGCGTCGGCGTCGACGCGGGTGTTGTACGCGGTGATGGCGTTGGTGGCGGACCTGGACGAGGAAGGGCTGAAGATCGTCCAGAGGGAGGTGGACGAGCGGTTAGAGGACGGCGAGTTTTTCGACGACTGACATGACGCGCGAGAAGGAGGAGGAGGCGTCGGGTCGGCGTGCGGCGCGCTGCGTGCGTCGTGTCGCTAGGCGTCGTTAATTAAGGTATCAAAGACATCGTCAAGCCGCGTCGTCGTCGTCCGACGACGAGTCCGCCGCCTCCCGCGTCGTCGCGCCCGCGGCCGCGCCCGTCTTCCCCGACGCGAACGCCTCCATCGCCGCGCGCGCGCACCTGTCGTACGCCGCGACCTCGCGCCCGCACTTCAGACCGTCGCCGTCGTGACCCTCGTAGCACTTCACGCACGCCTCTCTCTCCTCCGCGCACGGCGTCGGCGCGCCTCTGATCGAATACGCCCCCGCGTGAAGCTCGCTCGCCCACGCCCTCACCTTCGGGAGCTCCTCGTTCTCGCGCTTTATCAGCGCGGCGCCCAACCGCTCGCTTCGCGCGAGCCCGGACTCAAGGCCGGGGTACGCCGCGCGCTCCGCGTCCGTCGGCGCGAGCGGCGGTAAGGGCGGCGCGGAGAACGCGGGCGATCCCCCGGGGAACGCGCCGAAGGGGCTGCCGAACTGGGGCAGCCCCGGCGACGGCGGAGATGATGATCCGCGGCCGCTCGTCTCCGCGGCGGCGCTCGGTTCGACGCCGTCGAGCTTCTCTACGAGCCTTCGCGTGATCTGCGTCGGTTCACGAGACGGCGGGGGAGAGCGCGAGGAGCGCGGGCGCGGCGGTCGGTCAGTCGACGCGCGCGGCGCCGATGGAACGCATCGCGAGAGGGGTCGTCGGGGCGACGGATCGATCGGATCCAACCGGGGACGGACGCGACGCGCGGGGCGAGGACGCGCGCGGGGGACGGACCTTGACGCCGACGCGTCCATCGGGGTTGATTAACGGGCGCTGACGCTGCGTGGATCCCGCGACGCCCATCCTAGCGCCGAGGACGGCGACGGGCCGCGCGCGGAAGAGTGCGATCGCGGGGGGCGGGCGCGGGCGTCGCGTCGGCGGGGCGCGAGCGAAGAAGCCAAATAAATCGCCAACAGAAAAATAAAGTGAAGTGCAGTGGGGGAACCTTTCGCCTTCTCCGCGAAAGCGGCGCGCGACGAACACCGCGCGTTCGACATCTCTCGTGTTCTTACAACATTCGTATACATCATCACTGGTACAGCGGAGGTATGAGTATCATACAAAGAATGTACACCGCTTCGCGGCGGTCGCTCGTCGGAGGACGCGCCTCGACGCGCGTCGCTTCAAAATTCAACCGTCGTCGTCGTCGGCGGCGGCGCGCTCGCGTCGTCGTCGTCGTCGTCGTCGTCACTCCTCGTCGATCTCCGGCCCGGTCATGAGCTTCGAAGAGAGCAGCGCGTAGAACACGCCCACGATCTCCTGCGGGTTATCCGACACCCGCCACCCGAGGACGCACCCGCACCCTCTGCACCGGCACTTCGTCGCTCGCCGAGGCGGCCACCACTGCGACGCGCGCGCGTCCTCCGGCGAGTCCTCCACCGCGTCCACGTCCGCGCTTTTATACACGCCGAGGCTGACGAACCCTTCGCCGTACTGCCTGCGGTGCAAGAACGCCTTGTCCTTCTCGCCCTCGTCGCTTCGTCGCGAGACGCGCGTCTTGCACTCGCCGCAGACGACCGCGCGATCCACCTTCGGGACGTCGTCGCGCGTCATCGACAGGAGGCGCTCGAGCGATTCGCGCTTGTACATGACCGCGTCGCGCTCCTTGTCGATGTCCCACGCCTCCGTGGGGGAGTCCGAGCGCTTCCACGACTTGTTCTCCTCGATGCGTCGGCGCTCGTCCGGGTCCCAAATTTCTTCGCCGTTGTACATCATCGCGCGCGTCGCGAGCGCGGCGCCGCGCGAAGACGAGGGGACGCGGCGCGTCCCCAGAGCTCCCCGCCGCGAAAAGTCGGGGGAAGGAGGATTAATTTGACTTTTCGTCGTCGCGCCGAATCGCGGGTAGATCGCGCACGCGAGGATCGCGCCGCGCGAGGACGACGGCGCGGGCGCGCGCGCGTCGACGACGCGCGCGATCGCGGCGATGTGCGTCATTTCGTGCGTGCGCGCGCGGGCGTGCGAAGCGCGCGGACGAACTGAACGGACCGCGGGGACGGACGGACGGACGCGTCGATATTTACTTTTGCGTTGATTTTTTCGCGGGAAAACCAACGGATCTCCCGATCGACGGAGCGCAGTCCTTCGAACTGCCACCTCGGACGGAGACCTCGGCACGCGCGCTCGAGCTCGCCGGCAGTGCGGGGAAACCAATTTCCTCGAGACGGGACGATTTTCGGAGAGGGTTTCTTTCGGTGCCGTCGACGCGCGGGTCCGACGCACAATCGGAGGCGTCGGGGGCGAGGACGCGCAGGGATAGGACTCGCTCCGTCGCGTCGTCTCGTCCGCGCGATCGACGACGTTGTCGAACCGCGCGAGGGCCTCGCGGCGAGGGTAGACGGCCGCGGGCGAGCGGCGGCGGGTCTACGAAACTCGAGACGGGACATCCTCCACGTCGACGCGGATCAGCGTATCTCGCTCGGCGTCGAGCTAGCTATCCTATAGTAGGGCAGACGGGATGAGGGTCGCCGGGGCCGCGTCGTTCGCGGCCCCGCGGGCGACCCCCTCGGCGCGCGCTCGCGCCGCCGCGAAACGCGCGGCGGCGACGGCGGCGGCGCGCCCCCCGACGCGCGTCGTCGTCGTCGTCGCGCGGCGCGATTCCGAAAGATGGGGGGGCGCGACCGCGCTCGCGCCCCCCGCGTCGTCGTCGTCCGTCGCGACGAAGAACACGACGCGAACGCGAACGCGAACGCGCGCGGTCGTGGACGACGCCGCGGACGGCTTCCTCCGCGAGGTGGCGCGCTCCACCGGCGGCGGGAACGGCGGCGGGGACGACGACGACGACGACGACGACGACGACGAGAAGCTGTTCGGGCTCCCCCGCGCCGAAGTCGGCGAGCCGCTCGCCGTTCTCCTCGCGTCGCAGTTCGTCCTCTTCCTCGGCGTCGGCGCGCTGCTCCCCGCGCTGCCGCTCTACGCGCAGAACATCGGCCTCAGCGGCAGCGCGAACGGCATCGTGCTCTCCGCGCCCGCGCTCGCGATGCTCCTCCTGAACCTCCCCGCGGGGAAGCTCGTGGACTCGTGGGGACGCAAGCAGATGATGGTGGCGGGGATGCTGATCATCGCGTTCAGGCGCGTTCTAGTATCACACTGGTCCCCATACGACCGCGTTCGCGTGGTGAACGCCGATCCTTAAGGACTTTCTCTCCCGGCGCATCTCTCCGCCCAGGGTCCCTCGCTTTCAATCCCGACACACCTCGACGCCTTTCAACTCCGCTTCTGACGCCTTTCAACTCCACCCCGATATCATCGCTCGTACGGACAATTACCTTCAGCGACCTCGCGACGTCGCAGTGCCGGAGCGTCACCGCGCTCGTGCCCGCGAGGCTCGCGCTCGGGGTGGGCCGCGCGGGCGCGGAGAACGGCGACCGAGCGTACCTCGCGGATCTCACCGACCGGTTCCCGAGCGCGCGAGGGACGATGAGCGGCGCGCAGCAGGCGGTGCAGGCGCGTTCTATTCTACACACTGGTCCCCATACGACCGCGTCGGCGCGGTGAACGCCGTTCCTTGAGGACTTTCTCTCCCGGCAATCGTTTCCCTCCGCCCAGGGTCCCTCGCTTTCAATCCCGACGCACACACCGCGACGCCTCACAACTCCGCTTCTGACGCCTTTGAACTCCACCCCGACGTTCGCTCGCGCGGACCCTCGACCCTCAGGCGTTGGGTCTGGTCATCGGACCGCTCGTCGGCGGACGCGTCGCGGAGAGCACGGGCGACGCCGCGTCGGTGTTTTTCCTCATCTCCGGCGCCGCGTTCGCGTGCACCGCGGGGTACTCGCTGCTGCCGGACATCAACGTCGCGGCGGAGCGCGAGGAGGAGTACAAGCTCATGTCGATGGACATGACCGAGGACGAGGAGGAGGAGTTTCTGATGGAGCGGGAGGAGAAGAAAGCCGCGGGGGATTGGCGCACGCTGCTTCGGAGTAATCGCCAGCGCGTGATCACGTTCGCGGCGGCGGCGAACGCGCTCGGGTTCGTCGCGAAGCTGACGTGCATCCCGTGGTTCGCGACCGCGGCGCTGGGCGCGACGCCGCAGCAGGTGGGCGAGCTGTTCAGCATCACCGCGCTGTTGGGGATGGCCTCGGCGCCGATATCGGGTGCGTTATACGCGCGGCGCGTTACGTTACGTTTTTCACACACCACAACGTACCGCTCGGTTTCAACATAGGGCCTATGTAGCCCTAGTATCGTCCGCATCCCCTTTCGACTGACCGACGAACACACACATTCGCATCGAACGACCCCATCATCGCGCAGGCGTCGTCGCCGACAAGATCGGCCTGAAATCCGTCCTCTTCGCGTCGCTGCTCGCGTGCGCCGTCGGCCTCGGCTTCGCGCAACACGCGTCCGACGTCCGCGAGCTGCAGCTGTGGATCGGCCTGTGGGGCATGGGCACCGCGGCCGCGGGGCCCGCGGTGAACGCGCTCGCGCAGGAGAGCGCGCCCGCGGGCGCGGAGGGGGAGGCGTTGACGTTGCCGAAAACCGCCGGGGACGTCGTCTTCCTCGTCGGGCCCGTCGCGTTGGGGCTCGCGGACGATCTCCTCGGGAGCGAGGGCGCGAGCTTGGCGCTGGTGAGCGCGACCGCGGCGGCGAGCGCGGTGGCGACGTTGGCGTTCTTGAGCGCGTTGGGGGAGGAGGAGGGCGAGAAAGAGGTCGCCCGCTAGCGGCGAGGAGCGTTATCGATGAGAGGTGACAAAAATTCCAGTTCGTCGTTTATTATTCACGAATTTCATTCTCTAAGCGGTCTCGTCGCGCGCGCGCGCATCGCCCCGCGCGCTCCGCCGGGGGTCGCGATGTCGCGCGTCGGAAGCGCGCGTCGTCTCTCGCGCGACGCCGTCGTCGCGGCGGCGCGGGCGGCGTCAGCGGCGGCGGCGCCCGCGGGGCATCGCGCGAGCGTCGTTCGCGCCGTGGACGCGACGCGCGCGTCGTCGTCGTCTTCGTCGTCGTCGTCGTCGTCGTCGACGTCGACGACGACGACGCGGCGACTCCGTCCGGACGCGACGACGCGATGGCGCGGCTTCGCGTCCGCGAGCGACTCGAATCACGACGACGACCGCGCGGCGGTGTGCTGGTCGTGCGCGGCGCCCGCGTCGTCCTCCGCGCGGCGGTTCTTCTGCGACGCGTGCGGGGTCATCCTCCCGGTCGATCCCGCCGCCTCGACGAGGGACCCGACGTTTTACTTCTCGCTCCTGTCCGTCCCCGCGAGGTACGCGCTCAACCTCGGCGACTTGGAGGCGTCGATGAAGACGTTACAGAAGGCGTTACACCCCGATAAGTTCAGCGCGAAGGGCGAGACGGAGCGCGCGCACAGCGCCGCGCACGCGAGCCTCGTGAACGCGGCGTACGCGACGCTGCGGGATCCGCTGCGGCGGGCCAAGTACATCCTGGCCGGACGCGGCGCCGGCGTCGCGGAGGACGACGGGTTGGGCGCGGGCGGCGGCGAGGGGGGGGACGATACGGGGGAACGCGGAACGTCAACCGGCGCCGACTCGAAGCGTCTCGTGCCCCCCGAGCTGCTGATGGAGGTGATGGAGACGCGGGAGGCGATCGAGGACGCGGCGGGCGACGCCGACACGTTGCGGCGGTTACGCGACGCCAACGACGCCGAGGAGGCCGCGTGCCGCGAAGCGCTCGCGCGCGCGTTGGACGGCGAGCCGATGGATTTGGAGACGGCGAGGAGAGTCACGGTGAAGATGACGTACCTCGCGAGGATACGGACGGAGATCACGGAGCGGTCGTGAGGAGGAGGACGCGCGAGTATCCTATACTGTAGTTTGACGACATACTTTTGGCGACGGCGACGAGAACGGTCCGCGTGGAACACATACCATACCTCCTCAGGCGACGTCTGGTCGCGCGAGCGTCGTCGAGTCGAGCCTGCCTCTCAGAACCGCGACCCGCCGCTGCCGCCGAACCCGCTGCTCACGGACGCCCCCGCGAGCGCGCCGAGGCGGTCGGTCCGCCCCCGCCCCCGCGACCGAGCGCCGCCGCCGCCCCGCCCCGCGTCGTCGTCTTCGTCCGACTCGTCCCCGGCTGCCGCCGCGCGAAGCTTCCGCAGGTACCCGCTCTCGTCCGCCCTCGCCCGCGCGTCGAACGTCCTCCGGAGCTCGTCCAAGACGCGCTTGTCCCTCTGCTGCTTCGACTCGAGCGCGGCGACGCGCTTCCCGAGGTCGCCAGCTGTACCGCCGTCGCCGCCGCTCGCCGCGGAGCTCGCCGCGTCGATCATCTCTCGCACCTTCTCCGTCGTCGGTCGGTCCTTCAGGTTCGTCCCAACCGCGGCGTGCAGCTGCGATATCGCGCCGCTCAGCGCGGCGATCGACGCGCGGTCCGTCGTGAGCTCCGCGCCGAGGGCGTCCACGCGCTCGCGCATCGCGGACGCGCGCGAGCGCACGACGGGGAATCCGCCGCTCACGCCCCCCGCGGACTTCCCCGGCTCCCCGAGGCCGCTGCTCGGGGTCCAGAACGCGCCGTCGCCGCCGCCGCCGCGCGAGGACGGCGCCCCGGGCGTCGTCGTCGCGGCGTCGTCGCCGTTCCTGAGGTACGACGTCATCCACGCGGGGGTCGCGCCGTCGTCCTCGGCGTCGAGTCCGCCCAGGGACAAGCCCACGACGACGCGGTCGAGGCGCTCGAGGTGTCGCGACTGCGCGTCGAGGACGGTCGCGAAGTGCTCGATCGCGCGCCGGACGGAGGGCGTGACGTTGTACCAGTCGTTCAGGCCCTTCGAGAGGTCGTGGCGATCGATCGGGTCGTCGTCCGGGCGCGTCATCCTCGCCGGGGAGCGCGCGAGCGTTTGAACAGATGGATGCTGTTCGTTCACAATTCGAGCAGTTCGTCTGTCGCGCACTGATGCACTGAGCTTGCACAGAAAACCTCTCGGCGCGCGCGTGCGTGATGTACGTACCGACGCGGAACGATTTCCGAGAGCGGCGATCGCGCGCGCGCGTCGTCGTCGCGTCATTCTTCAGAGCTCTTCTTAAAGTAGTCTTCACGTTAATGGAACGCGCACGCTCGCCGCGCGCCGCCGCCGCCTCCAGTCGCGCTCACGCGAGCTTCGCCTCCAGCTCCGCGATGCGTCGCATCAACGCGGCTTCTCTCTCGCTCACGCCGCCGCCCGTCGCGCCCCCGCCGCGCGCGCCCACCCCCCTCCTCTCCGCCGCGATCTCGAACACGCGCTCCAGGTCCACGAGCAGATCCTTCGCGTCCTCGATCCCGGTGCTTATCCGCACGAGGTCGTCCGGGAGCCCCCTCGCGGCGCGCGTCTCCGCCGGTATGGACGCGTGCGACATGAAGCACGGCAACGAGATGAGCGAACTCACGCCGCCGAAAGAGACGGTGATCTTGAACAGCTTGGACTCCTCGACGATGATCTTCGACAGCTCGACGTCGCCGGTCGCGAACGATAAGATGCTGCCCCCGCCGCGCGCTTGCGACGCGTGCAGCGCGTGCCCGGCGTTGCTCTCGAGACCGGGGTAGTTTACGTACGTCACCAGCGGATGCGACTCGAGCCACCGCGCGATGGCGACGGCGTTCTCTTGCTGCTTCGTCATCCGCAGCGACATCGTCTTCAGCCCGCGCAGGGCGAGCCAGCAGTCGAACGGCCCGAGGAGCGTCCCTTCCGCGTTCTGGTGGAAGTAAACCTCCTTCGCGAGCGCCTCGCCCTTCACCGCGAGTATCCCGCCGGTGACGTCGGAGTGCCCGGCGATGAACTTCGTCGCCGACGTCATCGAGATGTCCGCGCCGAGCGCGAGCGGGGACTGGAACACCGGCGCCATGATGCTGTTGTCCACGCACACCAGCGCGCCTCTCTCGTGCGCGTGATCGCTTATCGCGCGGATGTCCGTGATCTGCAGACGCGGGTTCGTCGGGGACTCGAGCATCACCATCGTCGTGTTCCCGCCGTCGACGGCTCGGTAAACCGCGTCGAGATCGTTCATGTCCACGTTCACCACCTCGATGCCAACCTTCGGGACCACCTGCGCGAGCAACCGCGACGTGCCGCCGTAGATGTCGTCCCCGGTGACGATCCTCTCGCCCGACTTGACGAGCCTCGTCACGGTCATCAGCGCGGACATGCCGGAGGAGAAGGCGAACGCGCGGTCGGCGCCCTCGAGCTCCGCCATCTGCATCTCGAGGAGATCCCTGGTCGGGTTGCCGCTCCTGGTGTAGTCGTACGGCCCGTTCGTCGTCGCGCTCGGCTGCGCGAACGTCGCGGTCTGGTACAGCGGCGGCGCGGACGCCATGAACGGGTCTTCCAGCGTGTTCGCCGGGTGCACGAGTCTCGTGGCGACGCCCCAGTCGTCGGCGTCGGTCGATCCAGAGCCTTCCTTCCCGGTCGCCGTCGACGTCGACGCGGCGACGCCCGAGACCGACCCCGCGGAGGAGACGCCGCTTTCGGCGGGCGGCGCGTACTTGTACTCCGCGGCCAACGCCTGTAGCGCCGCCCAGAGGTTCGCCTCGATGTTAATCTTCCCCGCGCGCTTCGCCGCCGCCGCGCGCGCGTTCCCGCGTTCGCCCGGAAGAAAAATCTCCTCCGTCCCCGGCGCCTTCTTCGCGTCCTTCACGCGCCGCGTCACGATCGCCGCGCGCTTCTCGAACTCGTCCTGCCCCAAGAGCGCGGGGTCGATCGCGACGACCAAGTTCCCCCAGTTTTTCTCCGACATCTTGGACGTCACCGCGGCGCCCACGAGCGGCCCCGCGAGAAGCTCGACGATCAGCGCCAAGTTCGAGCTCTTGTACCCGCCGTCGAACGTCTTGATCGCGCCGCCGTCGATGACCGCGTTTGGATCCTCGGTCAAGCTCCCGCTCCCGTCGATCGCCACCCCGAGCGGGATCTTCTTCCCCGCGGTGCGCGCCTCGAGCAGACCGAAGAACGAGTACGCGGAGGTGGCCATGTCCAGGACTACGGGCCCCGTCGCCGTCGGTATCCCGACGCCGATCGGATTCGTCCCGAATATCGGCTCGATCGCGCCCGCGGGCGCGACAAACTCCGGGCTCACCGCGAGCACGAGCGCGATGAGCCCCTCATTCGCCACCTTCTCCGCGTAGTACCCCAGCGCGCCCGTGGACGTGAACGTGTTGCAGGTGCCGCACACGCCGACGCCGTGCGCTTTCGCCTTGTCGATCGCGTTCTCCATCGCGCGGTGTAACACGACCATGCCCGCGTTTTTCCCGCCGTCGTACGCCGCGCTGAGCTTGGTCTCGTGCGTTATCGTCGCCGGTGTCGCGCTCGGGTCGCGCGCGATGCCTTTCGTCGTGACTTTTATGATCCCCTGGTTGTTCCCGCGAAGTTGCGCGTAGAGCATGACGTCGAGAAGGATCCGCGTCTCGTCGTCGTCGTATCCGTACGTCTTGATCGCGCGACGGCACGTCTCCGTGAGCTCGTCGATCGGGACGGTGACGTCCGGCGCGGATTCTTTCGGCGTCGACGGCGGGGATTCTTTCTTGCCGAACAGCGCGGCGGGGACGACGACGCGCCCGGAGGGATCCCTGGTGGACGATGTCGAATCGCCGCGTCTGCTCGGGACGACGCGCGATTTCGTCGTCGCGATTCGAGGTCGACGCGCGACGCGCGCGCGCGAGGAGAGCGCCGGCGACGCGCGCGCCGTGCAGCCGCTCATCATCGACGCGGAGGGCCCGTCGGGTTCGGACGCGCGTCGGCGGTGACTCGGGGTGTGACGCGCTCTCGGAAGGGTTTCGCGTTAACCTTTCGGTCGGCCGCCCTGCGATTTCTTGTGAATTTTACGTTCGTCGGTCATCAGTTGAAAGGGAAAGCGATCGAATGTTGAAACCGAGGGATGGGTGGAGAACGTTTGCATTGAACGCAGCGTTGAAAGGCTCGTGCACGCTCTTCTCGCGCGCGTCATCGACTGCACTGAGTGTTTTTGAACGTCGTCGTCGAGCCACATCGCGTCGCGCGCGTCGCCGCGGTCGCCATGTCGTGGTTCCAGGGCATCTTCCAGAACTGTTCGTCCTCGGGCGTGGACGCGGACGACTACACCGAGTCATCGCTCGCGTCGTCGCCGGCGTCGACCCCGTGCGCGTCGCCCGCGAGAGCGCGTTCCGCGGGAGGGGCGAATCGCGAGGGGGGGCTCCTCCCGCATCATCATCAACGACTGGGCGCGTCGTCCCCGAACGGCGGCGGGAGCCCGCCGGTGCGCGTCGGCGGCTCGCGCGGCGTCGGCGAGACGCGAGACGTCGACGCGCACGCGCGCACCGCGCACGCGGCGGAGATCTCCAAGCTTCGCCGCGCGCTGGAGGCGAAGACGCTCGAGCTGTTCCGCGTGCAGGACGAGCTCGAGGAAAAGGACGCGCGGCTGCGTCGCGCGGAGCTGGCCCTGGACGCGAGGGGGCTCGAGCGCGGCGGACGCAACGCGGGCGGGTTCCACGGCGACCTCCTCGACGCGGACGGCGGCGGCGCGGAGATGGACGTCGCGCTTCTCGTGGAGCGCCTCGCGGAGAGCGACGCGCGGAGAGACGCGGCGATCGAGGAGGTGGCGGAGGGCGAGCGCGCGATGGAGGCGCTGTCGCGAGAGTTCGCGCGTGCGCTGGAGCAGACGCGCGCGACGCAGCTGAAGCTCATGCGCGAGCTCAGCGCGCACAAGACGAGGATGGAGGCGGACGCGCGCGAGGTGGAGGCGGAGGCGACGACCGCGTATTGGGCGTTGCGCGGGGTCACGGACGACGCGCGACAGAGGGAAGCGCAGGCGGCGCGTTTTGACGAGGATACAAACGTCGGGGACGTCGTCGTCGCGGAGGCGGAGGCGGAGGCGGAGGCGTCGCGCGAGCGCGCTTCGCCCTCGTCGCCAACGTCGGCGCCGTCGGTCGCCGCGGCGTCGCCGGCGGCGGTCGCGGTACCGGTACCGTCGACGTCGCCGCGCGTCGAGTCCGCGCTGCTCAGGCGCGTTCTATACGCTGGTTCCCATACGACCGCGTTGGCGTGGTGAACGCCGTTCCTTAAGGACTTTTGCCGTCGTCTCTCTCCGCCCAGGGTCCATCGCTTTCAATCCCGACACACCTCGACGCCTTTCAACTCCAACTGACGCCTTTCAACTCCACCCCGACGTTCGCTCGTATAGAGCGGCGCTGACCAAGGCGGAGGAGGCGCGCACGGATCGCGACGCGCTCGCGGCGGAGAACGCCGCGTTACGAGACGAGATGGAGCGTCTGCGCGCGGACATGGAGACGTCCGCGGCGGCGTCCGTCGCCGTGGAAGATGGAACGTCAACCGTCGCCGGCGCGACGGCGGCTCCCGCGTCCCCGGCGAGGGAGCGGCGCGGGTTCGGCGAGCCGTCGTCGCCGTCGTCGTCGCCGGCGCCGTCGCCGTCGCCGGCGCGGCGGGTGTCGTTCGCGTCGTCGCCGCCTCCATCTTCGTCGTCCGCGACGCCATCCCCGGTGTCTTTCTCATCGTCGTCGTCGCCGCCGAGCCGTCCGACCGCGCGCGGGACCGGCGACCCCGGGGGTGGAAGAGATGATGATGATGCGCCGGTAAAAGTCCTTAAGGATCGGCGTTCACCACGCCAACGCGATCGTATGGGAACCAGTGTGAGCGCGAGCGCCGCGAGGAAGGAGAGCGCGGCGTCCAAGGCGGCGTTCGTCCCTCCGGGGTCGTTTTCCCCCGCCAAGGCGAAGCTCGCGACGCTGCTCGCGGAGATGGACGCGATGCAGCGGCAGATGGACGCGCTGAGGAGCCCCGGCGGGAGCGCGTTCGCGCCGACGACCCCCGGGTAGGTAGCCCGCGCCGCGCGCGTGAGAAAAAAGAGTCGGTCCGAGAAGAGTCCAGTCTTCTCCAAAAAACTGAGCCCATAACCTTCTTTGGCCATGCGGTCGGTCGACCCCCGCGTCGAACCGCCGCGTCGGCCATTCCGAGGCTGAGAAACGCGCACACGCCGCGCCTGCGGACAAAACGACGTCTCCCCCGATCGCGTCGCTCCTTTACGTACCGCGCGCTCTCGCCGCAACACGCAACACACCTCAACAAAGATGGCCGCCCCTTCCGCTATGTGCGTCGTCGAGACCGTCAACGGTCGCGAGTACAAGGTTCGCGACATGGCCATGGCTGACTTCGGGTGCGTCTCGATCGCGCTTTCTCCGGCCCCGCGCGGCGTTCTCGGCACCGGCGTCTGAGGGTCGATCGCGCGACGACGCGCGACGCGGACGCGCGCCGCGCGTCCGCGCGCGCGCCGCGCCGCCTTCGTCTTCGCGCGGTTCCGACGAGACGCGTTCTTCTCGCGCGCGGTCGCGCGGTCGCGCGGCCGGAACCGCGCGACGGCGGCCGTCGCGGCGCGGTCTCCGGGCCGCGGTCGCGCCGTCGCCGGCGTCGCTTTTCCGCCGTCGGTCCGAGATGTTCGATCGATGGATCGCGCCGCGCCGCGTCGATCCGGCCGTCGCGGCGTCGCGGTCGCGCGTCCGCGGCGTCGCGCCGCGCGTCCGCGGCGTTTGCTCCTCGCGACCGCGCGGTAGTCGATTCGCGCGCGTCGTCGCGCGTCGCGACGTCGTCGGTCGCCGTCGCGCGTCGCGGCCGCCGTTTCGTCGCGTTCGGATTCTCGCCAGCTGGCTGGCGGCCGAGGCCCTGCTCGGTCCCCCGGATGGGAATCATCGGATTATTCCTCCCCCCGCCGCCCGCCGCTGACGTCCGTCCTCTTCCCCACTCCCCGACGCCGTCCACCCCAAAAACGAAACGTCTCCCTTCAGTCGCATGGAGATCGAGCTCGCGCAGGTCGAGATGCCCGGCCTCATGTCCATGATCAAGGAGTTCGGCCCCTCCCAGCCGCTCAAGGGCGCGAACGTCTCCGGCTCGCTCCACATGACCATCCAAACCGCGGTGCTCATCGAGACGCTCGTCGCGCTCGGCGCTAACGTGAGGTGGTGCTCGTGCAACATCTTCTCCACGCAGGACCACGCCGCGGCCGCGGTCGCGCGCGACTCCGCCGCGGTGTTCGCGTGGAAGGGCGAGACGCTCGAGGAGTACTGGTGGTGCACCGATAAGATGCTCAACTGGGGCTCCGACCCGCTCGACATCATCGTCGACGACGGCGGCGACGCGACGCTCCTCATCCACGAGGGCTACAAGGCTGAGATCGAGTTCGAGAAGTCCGGCGCGATCCCGGACCCGTCCACCACGAACAACGCGGAGATGAAGCTCGTGCTCAAGACGATCAAGGAGAACCTCGCGATCGACCCCAAGCGTTGGCACAAGATCGTCGAGACGTGCGTCGGCGTCTCCGAGGAGACGACGACGGGCGTCAAGCGTCTGTACGAGATGCAGAAGGCGGGCGAGCTCCTCTTCCCGGCCATCAACGTCAACGACTCCGTGACCAAGTGCAAGTTCGACAACCTCTACGGCTGCCGTCACTCGCTTCCGGACGGCATCATGCGCGCGACGGACGTGATGATCGCGTCCAAGACGGTGTTCGTCGCCGGCTTCGGCGACGTCGGGAAGGGCTCCGCGCAGGCGATGAAGGCGGCGGGCGCGCGCGTGATCGTGTCCGAGATCGATCCGATCTGCGCGCTCCAGGCGGCGATGGACGGGTTCCAGGTCGCGCCCATCGAGGACTGCGTCAAGGAGGCGGACATCTTCATCACGACGACGGGTAACAAGGACATCATCATGGTGGAGCACATGAAGCAGATGAAGAACAACGCCATCGTCGGCAACATCGGTCACTTCGACAACGAGATCGACATGGCCGGCCTCGAGTCTTACCCGGGCATCAAGCACACGAACATCAAGCCCCAGTGCGACCGCTACGAGTTCCCCGACGGCCACGGCATCATCATGCTCGCGGAGGGCCGTCTCCTCAACCTCGGGTGCGCCACCGGTCACCCCTCCTTCGTCATGTCGTGCTCGTTCACGAACCAGGCGATCGCGCAGCTCGAGCTCTGGAACGAGCGCAAGACGGGCAAGTACGAGAAGAAGGTGTACGTCCTCCCCAAGCACCTCGACGAGAAGGTCGCCGCGCTTCACCTCGAAAAGATTGGCGTCAAGCTCACGAAGCTCAGCGCGGAGCAGGCGGCGTACATCAACGTCCCGGTCGAGGGTCCGTACAAGCCCGCGGCGTACCGCTACTAAGCGCGCGCGTGCGCAGCAATTCCGTTTGCGTTTCACGGATAAACGTTAGATGAAATACTACCACCGCTCGCTTATTAGTCTGGTCGAGTCCCACGGGGGGGTAGGCGCCGAGAGTCGAAGCTTTTATTAACGAGCTCGACGACGAAGACTCGGCGCCGAACACGGCACGCGTATTGTTTTCTTTGCCAACCCGCTATTCTTTGCTTTGTAATGAAGTTACCGACGTATAAATCAAATCGATCATCATCGAGACGAACGACGACCACGGCACTGCGTTCGCTATACACACGCGCGGCGGCGCGACCTCTCACCCGCCGAAGCCGTCTTCCACCGCCCCCCTGCCCCCCCCCTCGCCCGCCGCTACCGCTTCGGTCGCAACGCGTGCCACGCCGCCACTTTGTCGCGATCCGTCGGCGTGACGCGAATGAAATCCAACGACCGCACCTTCTGCAGCTGGTGCGGGACGTACATCCGGTAGTCCGCGCGCTCCTCGATCGGGTTCCCCATCGCGGTGAACTTCGACAGCTCCTCCAGCGCGCTCAGCTTGTCGATCTCGCGTATGCTCTCGATCTTATTCCCGTGGAGGTAGACGCAACTCAGCCTCGGGTACTTCAGGATCACGGGGTCTACCCTCGTCAGCTGGTTGTGCGACAAGTCCAGCCATCGCAGCTCGCTCGGGTCGTCGAGCACCGCGTCTAGGAACTCCTCGAGCCCCGCGAGGTCGCGCAGCGCGTTGTTGTTCAGCCGCACGCCGGTCGCGTTCAGGACGCTGCCCTTGGGGAGTTTCGAGTGATCCATCCCTTTCGCGATCCCCGCGAACGGCTTCCCGTCGTCCTCTAAGAACCCGGCCACGGACGTCACCTCTTTGTACGAGTAATCGAGCGGGAAACCCGCGGGCGGGCACTGCGCGCGGGGAGGAGGGACGACGACGGAGGGAGCGGGCGGTCGGAAGTCGGGTCGACGACGTGGGGTGACGAATGAATTATCGGATCACATTCGGATTATTATCGCATCGCATCGTCGTCTCGCTGCCGCGCGGTTTCGAGCGAGGACGACGGGACGAAGGCGCGCGGGGGACCATCGCGCGAGGGGACGCACCGACGCGCCGGGGGTGATCCCCGTGACCCTGCCGCCGCCGTGCGACATGCCGGGCCTTCGACGCCGCGCCGCGTCCTCGCGCGTCCGCGACTGCGGAGGGACGACGACCGGCACGACACCTCCGACGAATCCGACGAGGTGCAATTTACATTGGTTTTAAACCCATCCCTCGGTTTCAACATTTGATCGCTCTCCCTTTCAACTGACCGATGAACTTTTTTTGTAGACACAGGAATCGCCCGAGCGCGTAAAAAGCCACAAGCAGCCACATCAGGTTTTTCTCCGCGGACAACCCTCGTCGCCGCCGTCGCCGGCGCGCACACTCGCGCGACGCACGCCATGGCGCCCCTCACGCTCACCGTCGACGCGCTCACGAGCGTCGTCGGCAAGACGATGACGATCCTGATCAAGCACGCGGGCGTGGCGGACGAGATCGCCGTCGCCGCGGGCGCGCCCGAGGGCGGCGCGTGCTCGATCGACGCCCCCGACGCGGGCGGCGTCCTCGACGGGCTCGTCACCGTCGCGAAGTACGTCTGCTCGCGCTCGCCGCGCGCGGCGGTCCTGATGAACTCGAAAACGCCCGAAGGCGAGGCGTTCGTCACCGAATGGATCAACCGCGCGACGACGGAGTACGCCGCCGGGGTGACCCACGAGGCGTTCGACGCGCTGAACGAGCACCTCCTGCCGCGATCCTTCATCGCGTCCGACGCCGCGCTGTCGCTCGCGGACGTCCTCGCGTACGCGTCGCTCCACGCGCCGTTCATCGCGCTCGGCGCGGAGCGGCACAAGGCGCTCGTCAACGTCATGCGGTGGATGGACCACGTCGGCGCGGTCACCGGCGGCGATGCTTCGGGATGCTTCGGCCCGGTGCCCATCGTGCACCAAACGTTTACCGCGCACGGCGTGGAGGGGCTTCCGATGCCGGACCTGAGGGAGATCAAGGAGCGGTACGACGCGGAGGCGGCGGCGAGGAAGAAAGAAGGCGGCGGGAAGGAGGGGAAGGAGGGAAAACCGAAGAAGGAAGGGAAGCTCTCGAAGGACGAGAGGCGCGGGATCGCGCCGAAGAGCAAGGAGAAGAAGACGACGATGACGATGAGCGACGGGCGGGTCATCGCGCGGCCGGGGGGCGCGAAGAAACCCGAGGAGGGCGGCGAAGGCGGCGGCGGTGGCGGCGGCGCGGCGGAGGGCGGCGACGCGAAGAAAGAGAAGAAGGAGAAGAAGGAGAAAGAGAAGAAGGAGGCGAAACCGCAGGCGACGAAGAAGGCGATCGACGTCTCCGTGCTGGACATCCGCGTCGGGACGATCGTCAAGGCGTGGGAGCACCCCGGCGCGGATAAGCTCTGGGTCGAGAGCGTCGAGCTCGGCGAGGAGCGGCCGCGGCAGATCGTCAGCGGTTTGCGAGCGTTTAAGACCGAGGCGCAGATGACGGGCGCGCGCGTGCTCGTGCTCTGCAACGTCAAGAAAGGCCCGCTGCGGGAGGAGCTCAGCGAGGGGATGGTCATGTGCGCGTCAAACGCGGACCACACCGAGGTGGACTTCATCGTCCCGCCGGAGGGCGTCCCGAACGGAGAGAAGGTTGCGTTCGAGGGGTTCGACGGCGAGCCCGTCGACGTGTTGACCCCGAAGAAGAAGATGTTCGAGCAGTGCGCGGAGAAGCTCTCGACGGACGCGGACGGCGTCGCCAAGTACGACGGCGTGCCGTTCATGACGAGCAAAGGGCCGTGCGTCTCGACGCTCAAGAACGCGGCCATCAAGTGACGGATTTCGTTTCGACGCTTCATCATCTACGTAATACGATGCGATGCGAACCGCTAGACCGGGCGTCTTCTTCCGTTCCGCTGCGCGTACGCGTACCGCACCGCGCGCCACATACGGGGGATATGCTAAGTGTATTAAGCGACCGAGCGCTCGCCGCGTCACGCCTCGCCGCCGATCTCGACGTTGTCCAACAGCCGAACGTCCCCGTACTTGGCGGCGACGAGCACGACGACCTTGTCCCCCGCCGTCACCCTCTCCACCGGCCGCAACGTGAGCTGATCCACGACCTCGACGTAGTCCACCTCGCCGCCGGACATCGCGATCGCGTCGCGGACGATCGTCTGCAGCGACGACGCGAGCGCGCCGCCCGCCATGAGCGTCGCCTCGAGACCCCTCCCTTCCTTCGCCGCGTTGGCGTTGTTCATCACCGCGCCCATCTCAGAGGTCGTTCCGTACGAGCGAACGTCGGGGTGGAGTTGAAAGGCGTCAGATGGCGTTGAAAGGCGTCGCGGTCGGGTATTGAAAGCGAGGGACCCTGGGCGGAGAGACGCGCCGGGAAAAGTCCTTAAGGATCAGCGTTCACCACGCCGACGCGGTCGTACGGGGACCAGTGTATAGAACGCACCTCAGCGACGCACTCCAACGCGACGGAGACGGCGCGGCACGCGAGCCTGTTCTTCGGCGTGAGACGGACGTTCCGCGAGCTCATCGCGACGCCGTCTTCCTCGCGCATCAGCGGCACGCCCACGATCTCGATCGCGAAGTCCAAGTCGCGCGTCATGCGCTCGACGAGTCGCCACTGCTGGTAGTCCTTCTTGCCGAACACCGCGACGTCCGGGTCGCAGATGTTGAACAGCTTGCACACCACGGTCGCGACGCCGCGGAAGAAGTGCGGGCGCGTGATCGCGCAGAAGCCTCGCTGGAGGTTCTCCACGGTGACGTACGTCTCGTGCGGCGGCGGCGGCGGCGACGACGACGACGACGGCGACGGCGCGCTCGCCGTCGCGCCGTCGCCGTCGCCGTCGGACGCTTCGCCTCCTCCCGACGAATGTGACGTCTTCTCGTCGCTTTTCGCGCTCGTCGCGCTCCTCGCCCTCATCGCGTCCTCGTCCGCGGCGACGTACAGCCGCCTCGGCGCGAACACCGCGTCCACGCGCATTTCGCGCAGCTTCGCCGCGTCGCCTTCCTCGTCGCGCGGGTACGTCCCGAAGTCCTCGTTCGCGGCGAACTGCGCGGGGTTGACGTATATCGAGACGATCACGACGTCCGCGACCGCCTTGGCGCGACGCACGAGCTCGAGGTGGCCCTCGTGCAGGTATCCCATCGTCGGCACGAGCGCGATCCTGCGGCCGGCGGCGCGTTGCGCGCGCGACCACGCGCGCATCGTCGCGGAGGACTCGATGACCTCCATGTCGCGCCGCGACGACGCGCCGCCGCGATCCCCGAAATGATGAATATGCGCCGACGGATGACGAAAAGCGCGTGCGTCGTCGTCAACTCGTCATCATTTGTGCAGCGCACGACGCATCGCAGCGCGTCCTCCGCGGGCGCGATGGCGCGCGCGAAGCCGCCGAAGCCCCTCGACGCGCTCGCCGTCTTCACGCTCCTGCTCTCGCACTGCCTCGCGCTGCAGGTCGCGAAGGACGCGCAGCGATTGGTGGAGTGGCGGTCCCTCTTCTCCGCGCTCCCGACGATCCTGCTCGCGACCGCGATAATCCGCGCGAATCGCTCGCCCTCCTCCACGGGCCGCCTCGCGGACCTGTCGCACGCCGGCGTCCTCGTCCTCCTCGTCAACGGCTCGCAGAGCAACCACGTCCTGCTCGAGCTCGCGACGTGCGTCGCCGTCGCGATCGCGACGTGGGGGAAGGCGACGAGCTCCGGGGGGGCGGACGCGAACGCGCTCGCGGTCTCGTCGTCGCGTCGCGCCGCGGTGGAGGATCGACTCGTCCGCTCCTGCAGAGCGATCCTCTTCGCGCTCTATCTCTCCACCGGCGTCGCGAAGCTGAACGACGCGTGGCACGACCCGAAGACGTCGTGCTGCGTCGGCATGTTCGTCGCGGCCGCGTCTACGCTCGGCGTGAGCGCGAGCTTTTCATCCCCCGCGGTCCTTCGCGCGATGCCGTACGCGGCGACCGTGTTCGAGCTGTCGTTTCCGACGCTTCTCTGGGTCGCGTCCAGGTACCGCGACGACGCGTACGTCGTCCCTTGGCTCAAAGTGTCGTACACGCCGGTCGTGACGCGGCGTAAGCGCGCGAAGATCATCATGCGATGCCTGTGCGTCGCCGGCGCGGCGTTCCACGTCGTGATCGCGCTCCCGCCGCCGCCGATGTCCGCGTACCCGTTCAGGCGCGTTCTGTTGTACACTGGTTCCCGTACGACCGCGTCGGCGCGGTGAACGCCGATCCTTAAGGACTTTTGTCGTCGTCTCTCTCCGCCCAGGGTCCATCGCTTTCAATCCCGACACACCTCGACGCCTTTCAACGCCATCTGACGCCTTTCAACTCCACCCCGATATCATCGCTCGTATGGACCCTCGACCCTCAGCATGATCATGGCGCCGCTATACGCCGTCGCGTTTCGACCGAAATCCGTCGCGGCGGGCGCGCGGCGGCTGGCTCGACTCGCGCCGCCGCACGTCCGGCACCAGGCTGGCGTCGTCGTGCTAAGTTGGCTGCTCGTCGTGACGAGTGGGAGAGCGCGCCGCGCGGAGAAGCTGTTCGAATACCCGGCGTATTTCGCGTGGGAAGTCGGCGCGGCGTGGACGGTCGTCGCGTTCGCGTTCGTCGCGGCGTGCTCGGCGCTTTCGTTCTCGACCCTGAATCGCGATGAGCTCGCGGAGGAAACCGACGACGAGCACGAGAACGACTTGGTGGAGGAGCGATCCTCGACGCCGACGACGCCGCGAAGACGACTCACCGGCGCGATCGGCGAGCGAAGGACGGAGACGCCTTTGCGCTCGACGGAGAAGCGACGGACCGGGTGGCGGCGGGTGATCACCAACCGACGCGCCGGGACGCTCCCCGCGGCGTTCATCGCGGTGGCGTCAGGTGCGTTCTATACACTGGTTCCCATACGACCGCGTCGGCGTGGTGAACGCCGTTCCTTAAGGACTTTTGCCGTCGTGTCTCTCCGCCCACCCATCGCTTTCAATCCCCGCCCTCGACCCCTTTCAACTCCAACTGACGCCTTTGAACTCCACCCCGACGTCGCTTTGTATGGAACGACCATCAGCGTGCGCGTATCTCGGCGTGCGCACCTACCCCGCGTTCGCGATGTTCAGTAACCTCGCGATCGAGGGCGGGAGGACGAATCACTGGATCGCGCTCCACGTGTTGCCCAAAGCGCTGACGTGGACGGCACCCGATGCTGACGTGGACGTGTCGACGCTCGGGAACTACTACGGCGCGCACGTCGGGATCGTCGTATTAGACACCGACGTCGACGCGTTGAAAACCGCGCAGGTGAACCTCGCGCCGTTGCTTCCAACGCACGCGAAGGAGGCGTTACGTCGCGCGGGCGCGGACCTGGACTTTCACATCACCCCCCCGCCCGGGTCATGGCCGTACGGTCCCACGGAGGAGACGTTCCGGCCGTTCGCGCTGCCGCTCGCGGAGGCTCGTCGTCGCGTCGCCGGCGTCGTCGGCGGGAGATCGCCCGGGGACGGCTTCGTGACGTACCGGTGGGTCGCGGGCGGTCGCGTCGTCGGCGCGACGAAGACGATGAAGGTGGCGGGCGGGAAGGCGAGAGGCGGGGATGAGGTCTTGGCGAGGCCCTTGCCGCGGTGGCGAGCGTGGTTGCACCGGTATCGGTCGTTCTCCTTGGACGAGTCGCCGTGTCGGCATTAGACAGACGATGGATGTCATCCAGTTGAAGCGTCGCTCGGAGAGGCCGCGTCCCGCGCGCTGCTCCCCGCCCGCCCGTCGCGTCACGCGAGTAACACCTGTGAGCACCCGTCTTCGCCGTCGTCATTCCCCGCGCGCGGGCGGAGCGAGCGCCCCCCGCGGCCGGCGAGCGCCCCCGCCCTCCGGCGCGATGGACTTCTCCGAGCTCGAGAAGCGCGAGGGCGTGCGGTTATCGTGGAACGCGTGGCCGTCGTCGCGGATCGAGGCGACGCGCGTGGTGCTTCCGTTCGGCGCGGTGTGCACGCCGTGCCGCGCGATGCCGGAGATGCCCGTGCTGCCGTACGGACCCGTCGTGTGCACCGAGTGCAGCGCGGTTCTGAACCCGTACTGTATGATGGACTACCACCAGAAACGGTGCGCGCGTAAACGCGCCCTCCCGCGTCGCCGCCGCCGCCGTCGTCGCGGTCGATCGCGACCGCGATCGCGCCTCGCGATCGAATCCGCCCCTCCACGCCGAATCATCCATCGCGCGCATCCATCGACGGATCTCTTCCGTCGCGCCTCCTCGACCCGCCTTATTTATCGCCGACGCCCCAACCCGCCCGAAACCGCGCCCTCCCATAATCATCAATCAGATGGCAGTGCTGCCTGTGCAACACCGGGAACGCGCTGCCGCGCAACTACCACGAGATCAGCGAGCAGAACCTCCCCGCGGAGCTCTTCCCCGCGTACACGACGGTGGAGTACCAGATGCAGAATAAATCCCCGCGGCCGCCGTGCTTCGTCCTCGTCCTCGACGTCACGATGTCTCGAGAGGAGCTCCAGGACGCGAAAGACTCGCTCGGGCAGCTCGTCGCGCTGCTTCCCGAGGAGTGCTTCGTCGCGCTGGTGACGTTCGGGAGCACGGTGACGATTCACGAGCTGTGCGAGACGTCGCACGGGATGTCCAAGGCGTTCGTGCTGAGAGGCAACGACGACGTGGAGCAAGATAAGCTGAAGAAGCTGCTGGGGTTGGAGCTCACGCCGGAGGAGCACGCGTACTACGCGCAGAATAAGCAGCGCGGGTCGCACGTCGCCGAGGAAGCCGGCGCGATGAAACGCTTCGTGCTCCCGGTGAGCGAGTGCGAGTTTCAACTGCAAACCGTGCTGGACGAGCTCTCGCCCGATCCGTCGCCGACGGAGAAGGGCACGCGGCCGTGCCGGTGCACCGGCGTCGCGATCGCCGCCGCGCAGGCGCTCGTCGCGGAGTCGCACAGCGCGCAGGGCGCGCGAGTGATGGTGTTCACGTCGGGGCCGTGCACGCTGGGGCCGGGGACCATCGTCGGGCGGGACATGAGCGAAAACATCCGGACGCATCAAGACTTCGCGAAGAGCAACGCGAAGTATTGGAAGCAGGCGAACAACTACTACAACTCGCTGGGCGTTCGCCTCGCGACGCACGCGCACACGCTGGACGTGTTCGCGTGCTCGCTCGACCAGGTTGGGCTCGCGGAGATGAAGACCGCGGTGGATCAGACGGGCGGCGTGATGGTTCTCGCGGAGCAATTCCGAGCGGAGTCGTTCCGGCAGTCGCTGAAGCGGATGTTCCGACGCGACGAGAACGGGATGCTGGACATGTACTTCAACGGGACCTTCTCCGTGTTTTGCGTCCCGCAGGTCATGGTGCAGGGCGCGATCGGCCCGGTCAGCGCGCTCGCGGTCAAGTCGCGGTCCATCTCGGAGAACGAAGTCGGCCTCGGACAGACGACGAGCTGGCGATGCTGCGCGATGAACCAGAGCACGTCCCTCGCGGTGTACTACGAGATCATCAACCAGCACGCGAACCCCATACCCGCGGGGACGCCGTTCTACCTTCAGTTTTGCACCAGGTTCAAGCTGAGCGACGGGGAGATTCGATTGCGGGTGATGACCGTCGCGCGAAGGTGGGCGGAGAGCAGCGCCGCGCACGACATCGTGCAGGGGTTCGATCAGGAGGCGACGGCGACGCTGATGGCCAGGCAGGCGACGTTCAGGGTGGAGCACGAGGAGGAGTTCGACCTGCTTCGCTGGCTGGACCGGACGCTGATACGCGTCGGGTCGAAATTTGGGGAGTACGCGAAGGACGCGCCGGAGACGTTTCGCATGCCCGGACCGTTTGCGATTTACCCGCAGTTTATGTTTAACCTGCGTCGGTCGCAGTTTTTGCAGACGGCGAATAACTCGCCGGACGAGACCGCGTTTTACCGCCTCATGATGGGCCGAGAGACGGTTTTGAACTCGCTGGTCATGATACAGCCGACGCTGATGTCGTACACGTTTAACGGGCCGCCGACGCCCGTTTTATTAGACGTCGCGTCGATCACGCCGGATTCGATTTTGTTGCTGGACACGTTCTTCATGATCGTCGTGCACGCGGGGGCGACGATCGCGGCGTGGAGGAAGGCGAACTACCAGGACCAACCCGAGCACGAGGCGTTCAGGGAGCTCCTCGCGAAGCCGGTCGCGGACGCCGCGGCCGCGATGGCGATTCGGTGCCCGACGCCGCGGTTAGTCGAGTGCGACCAGGGCGGCTCGCAGGCGCGGTTTCTTCTCGCCAAGTTGAACCCGTCGTCGACGCACGCGACGAGCGGCTCCGGCGGCGTGGGGAGCTACGAGAGCGCGATCGCGGGCGGGGGCGGCGACGGCGGCGGGGGGTCGGAGATCATCCTCACGGACGACATCTCCATGAGCGTGTTCATGGCGCACCTCGCGAAGCTCGCGGTGCAGTCGTAGTAGCGTTCCGCGTCGTTCGCGTTTTGTTCAACGACGAAAACGTTCTAGTCACGACGACCGTCATCGCATCTCACCTCTCACTTCTCTCTCTCTCGCCACACCCAGCGCGCGACCGTCTCCGCGAGCGCGTCCATGAACGGCTCCGCGACGTCCGCGTACTCGTACACGTCGTCGTTCACGACCCCGTTCGCGTTCGTCTCTATCGCCGCCGCGAGGTAAAACGGATTTTTGTTTCTGTTTTCATCTTCGTCCTCGCCGCCGCCGATCCACTCGACGAACGCGTTGTCCACGCTGAACCCGAACGCCTGCCCGCACTTATTCGTGATCCTCACGCGGCTCCCGTCGCCCCCCACCGCGCGCGTCACGCCGTCCACGAAGAACTTGTTGTAGTTGTTCGGGAACGTCGCCGCGTCGTCGCGCGCGGACGGATCCGGCGAGTCGCGCGGCGACCCCGCGGCGGCGGCGAGAACGAACCGCCGGTGCGTCTCCGTCAGCTTAAAGTTCGACTCGTCGAACTCCGGGCGCGTGAGTCGTATCAGCGTGTCCTGGAGGCTCGCGAGGCTCGCGCGGTTGCGTGCCGAGCAGTCTAGCGGCTCGTCGACGACCGTTCCGTCCGCGGCGACGTGCGCCTTTCCGACGGACTCTCGCTTCGCGTCTCCGACCAAGTGGCCGCAGACGTCGTGCCTGCGACATAACACCCTCCGCCAGGCGTCCTCGTCGCCGTCTCGCCCGACGCGCGCCCATACCCCGGGGAAGGACCCGCCGTCGTCCGTTCCCTTCGCCTCGCTGAACAGTCGGTGGAGTATCCGCGGCCCTCGGAAGGGGGGATTCAAACTTTCCGAGTTGGCCCACTCCCACATGAGCGTCCTCCCCGCGACGTCGTAACACCGGTTGAACGCCTCGTTGTCGGAGACGTGAAACAACGCGGAGATCTCGCGGCGCATCGTCGTCGGCGCGGAGCACCCGAGCGGCGGCGCGGCGGCCGACTTCGGCGGCGGCGCGTCGTTCGACGCCGCGACCGGTGCCGTCCTCGATTCGAACGCGAGCGGGGTGTCGAGCTCGACGACGGCGACGCCTTGCGACGCCATCAGCTGCAGCTGAAACAGCGCGACGACCGCGCCGTAGATCTTGACCGCGCTCGCGGGGTAGAAGTACTCCGCGTCCGCGCGATACGCGCGCCGTCGCAGCGTCGCTCTCGTCGTCGTCGTTCTCGTCGTCGTCGTCGTCGTCGTCGCCTCGCAGGGTGCCGAGTGGGCACCGTCGTCGTCGCCGTCGCCGTCGCTCGCGGGTGCGACCTCGGTGAGGAGGACCTGGAGGCGGTATCGCTCCGGGTCCTCGAGCACGCTCGCGAGTCTCGGGTCCGCGCGGAGGATCGCGAGAAGCTCCGCGTCGTCGGGAAGCGCGGCGGGCGCCCCTCGCCCGGCCGCCATCGCGCCCGTCGATCTGACGTTTGATGAGAATGCTTCGCGAGCTGGACTGATGAAGTTTGGCAATGCCAATCATTCCATTCGCCCGCGCGCGCCGCACGCCTCGGTCTGACGATGCGCGGCCGCGTCGTCTCGCCTCTCCTGCGCGTCGCCGTCGCGTCCGTGACGGACGCGGCGGCGTCGAGCGACGCCTCGCGGCTCGCCCGCGTCGCGCGGTCCGCGGCCGCGTCTTCCTCCTCCTCCTCCTCCTCCTCCTCCTCCTCCTCCTCCTCGCGCCGCGCGTTCGCCTCCTCCTCCTCCCCCGCGGCGTCGTCGTCGTCGTCCGCCGCGACGCCGCCGGTGGACAAGATCCACATGCGCGGGATGGTGTTCCACGCGTACCACGGCGTCCTCCCCGAGGAGAAGACGCTCGGGCAGAAGTTCGTCGTCGACGTCGCGATGTCGACGTGCCTTCGCGCCGCGGAGGCGAGCGACGACATCGGCGACACGGTCGATTACGCGCGCGCGTTCGACGTCGTCAAGGGAGAGGTGACCGGGGCGTCGAGGGACCTCATCGAGTGCGTGGGCGGGCGCGTCGCGAGCGCGCTCCTTCGGACGTTCCCGAGCGTCGCGGACGTGCGCGTCGGGGTCAGGAAGCCGCACGTCGCGGTCGAGGGCGTGCTCGAGTCGCTCGGGGTGGAGGTTTTCCGGAGCAGAGTAGGCGATAGACTGCCGTGACGAATGAATCCTCAAACGATGCCCGTAACGAACCGCGCCGCCGACGTCGTCGTCACAGTCTCCCGCGCCCCCCTCCCCCCCCCCCCCGCCCTCCCCCCGCGCGCCGTCGGCATGCCCGGCATCGCCGCGGCCGCGCGCGGCGTCGCGAGCGCGCGCGCGCCGCGCGTCGAGGTCGCGTCGCGGACCCGTCGCGGCGTCGAGGCGATGATAGTCGGCCACGTCACGGCCCGGAGGATCCGCGCGACGACGACGACGACGACGACGACGACGACGACGACGACGACGCGCGCGTCGTCGTCGACGCGACGGCGCGTCGTCCCCGCCGCGCGCGCGTCCTCGGACGGCGAGGCGGTGCTCTACTCCTTCGGCGACGGCGGCGACGCGAAGAAGGTGGCGCCCTCGTCGTCGTCGTCGTCGTCGTCGTCGTCGACCGGTACCGGTGTCGACGACGACGTCGGCGCGGGGACGAAAACCAAAACCTTCGACGAGCT